GACGGCTTCTGGGCACTATATACGACTTTGGCACCTTAACCCGCCACCGTGATAGCCGCCGCTGCCCCGGCACCGGGGGCTCCACCGGCTCGGCTCCGCCTCCACCAGGCGGACCCCCTGGCCCACCTCCCCCGCCGTTTCCGTCACCGTCTCCATCATCACTCGAAGACAAATCATCCATGTCCTTTCGCAAGTACTGGAGTCGCTTCATCATCTTGTCTCGCTCCCGTCTCTTGGCCGCATCACTGCGGCGCTTTGCCTCTTTCATTTTCTCCTTCGTTATGCCGCCTTTTCCTTTATATCGCGACTCCGAGACTGCCTTACATCCCAGGTAGTCTGCCTCCTCCATCGATGCCTCGAACGACCCCTTCTTTCGCTTCGATCGATCCAGTTTCGCCTTCGTAAACGCCAGGTGCTTCGTGAGGTTCTCATGGTTATCCTTGCGGTACCTCAACGTCGACACCTCCGTCGCCAATCCAAGAGCTTCTCTCACTCGGGCTTTCAACATCAAAGAGTCGGTTACGGACGCTGCAGACGATGCGCGTGTAGAGCGCGTAGTTGGTCGTGAGGGTCCCGGTGGAGGTGCAGCTGGAGGGGCTGCGGGCGCTACCGTCTTACAGGCCGTTTGCTTCTTCTTGCCGTCGCCGCTCTTCTTGCCACTCGCGCTGTTCTTGCCTCTGTTCGCCATTGTTTTGCGTATCGTGTGGTGGTCTGGGATACGGTAGTTGAGGATGGGAACGTTGGTCTTACCTCTCTGGGGCGACTGACAGCTGTCTCTTGTTTTATACTCGCGGCGTTTCCCTCTTCTTTCATTTTACTCTTTCATTTCTTTCATTTTTAGTCATAGCTATTCACCCGACGTCCGCCCGCTTTTCGCGTACGGCCGCACCATTGTACTCATTGTTTAGATTTATCTTTCACTTAGATGGACTCGTGAGTTTGAGTGGGGGTGTTGGAGGTATCATCCTCCCGAGTCCCCGGTTAGGGTTCCCGTAGTTTATTTCCTCACATGACTCCCCTCCCCCTTACGCCACGCTTCCGCGTATGGGACTTCACTCTTTTCTTCCCCTTTCGGACCTTGCGTCCTCTTTTCTACCACAAGACAATACATACTTCACAGTACTAGATCTCACACAACATAGAGTTCGCTCAGTCATCTGCTTCCTCTGCCGACTACTGCTAAATCCATCCACGTAGCTGAGAATCGAAGTCCTCTTTGTTTGTCGACTTATAGGTTGATTCCTTGTGGATGTAAATTTTGTATGCAATTGGCGTTCGACCTTTGTTGTGTTGACGTGTGAATGGATCTTCCAATCTCTGGAGGTTTCCGTGTACGATACGAGCAATATCTTCCTGCCCTCTCTTGTAGAGTTCAATTTCGTTTCGATCTACAGCTCAAAGCTTCAGTTCTTGTCCCTCGAGCGTCGGGTTCAAACCCGGTACGATTGGAGAGCGTCCGGGATCTACTTCAAATGGCGATAAACCCTCATATTCCTCTCTCGGAGCAGTATTGGATGCGAATTTGACTGGGGGTAATAGCATAACCCAATGGGTTTTGTCGTAATTGAGGTATTGCCTCCAAATCCTTTTCAGGGTTTGGATGGCTTGCTCAACTTTGCCGTCGGTCTGCTGATGTTGAGCCGTAGCAAATTTGTGTTTAACAGCGAGGAGAATATCAAATGCGCGGAAGAAGTTGGAGAGTGTGCAAGGTTCACCATCCGTAACGAAGACTTTTGGCGTACCGCCATGTTTCCATATGTGATCTAAGAAAGCTTGGGCTAATTCACGTCCAGTGATAGTCTTCTTGATCGGCGTCAGGATTACATGTCCACAAAGATAATCGATGCAAACAAGACAAGAGTTTATCCCACCTACGGTGAAAATATCGAATCCGACCGTATGCCATCTTCCCAGAGGTCAAAGAGGTCAAAGAAATGCATATCGACGACGGCCAGGTTTGAATTGTCGACAGGATTTGCAAGTTCCAACCTATTTGAGAACGTCGGAGCGTACGGTAGGCCAGTAGTATTCCGTAGGAATTCTGGCGAGAGTCTTCCTAACACCAAGGTGTCCTCGGGTGGCGAGTTTGTAATGAAATTGTCATAAGATCTTTGGGCCAATGGCATCAGGAACATATAAATGTTCTTCATGTCGCGCAATACCATTTGCGAACGTATAACAAAGTTCTTTTGAGCTTTTCTCGTGCTGAAGTTTGTTGCTAGGCTGACATCTGGTGTCCGCACTCTCGTCAAAAACGCCCTGAGCTTCATCAGACCACTGGTGCCGCTCCGTTCTTCATCGGCTCAAGGCCTTCCCCGTTCTTCTTTGAAAGTATGGCCGAGGTGCCGAGGATTTCCCCATTCACGCTGGCTTGGGCAGTTCCTCAGCCGCATATCACGGACCTCACATCACTTTCACAACACCCATCCAGTGAAGCACCCTCCCGGTCACCCTCCTCCGCTCAGACAGCGCCATGAATACCTGAACTATGTCAAATCGCCTGTTGTCGGCCGTCCACGCCACGCCTCGGAAATGTTGTCACAGACTCCGAGGCCCAGCGCAATGCGGCAGCACAACAGGCACCCAGCCCAAGGCAAGATGCCCTCACACAAGCCTTGTTGCAGGCCTCAATGGTCATCCTCCTCTACATCCAATGGCTGAAATGGGGACCGGCAGAGGCGGGACGGAGCGCCAACTGATATCCATGGTCAAGGTGATCAGCGGTTACTGACCCCACCCACACGGGCCGTTGTCACCAACGAATATGGCTCAACCAGCCAGCATCCGTGGCGCAACCGTTGCCTTTTTGCATTGGTCACCTAGTGACACTCTCAACGAGCTCCGACTGCTGGGGGTACTGTCCTCTTGACGCGTGAGGACGACGCGTTTTCACTCCAGATCCATCTTCGGACTCGCCCTTTCGGACTCGCTCGCTGGGAGAGACTTCCCAGCTTCGCCCACTGCCCATTGCGCCCTTCCTTAGACGACGGTTCCTACCAGCCACTTTTCCCCCAGGCAGTCCAGCAGGAGCAGCAGCAACGAGTCCCCTCTTTCCTTCCCGAGATTTCCCAAGAGGGGTTGGAGGGGTCTCGCGGTGGCTGCTCCTGCTGCTCTTCTGCCGCCGCCTATATAGAGCCAACCCTCCCGTCGTCCTTTTCCCAAATTCCTACCATCACTAACCATTGCCACAGTTGCCATGCCGCGGCCCAAACTAAAGGACGAGATGTACCCGGAGGACTTGATGGATCACGAAGTGGCCCGCTCCGTGGAACTAATCACCAACGAGCGATATGTGTATATGAGCATGAAGCAATAGGAGGGCATTTTGAACATGAAGCAAATGGAGAGCTTGCGGAAATGGGCGGGGTGGTGGACTTGTTTGGATGGTTGACGTTGGGGACCGACTCTCCTTTCAGCGTTGGTGTCGTAGGATAGGAGGACGTTTCGAACAAATTTTGTGGATTTGAGAACCTCCATACCCCATATATGTACATATATATAGTCTTTATTAATATATTTGCTTCCGTCGCACTATGTTTTGTCAAAGAGCTGCATAGGGAAGCTTCATCACATGAACACCATGCGGTGCTCACTTGGGAAGGCTGTCCAATGAGTTCAAGGGGGGCCGAGAGAAGACCAGAGCATACCGCGAGTAGTACCTGGAACAGCGCTCCAGACACTTTTACCGGTTTTGCGATGGCTGATACAGTAAGTGTGCACCAAAGACTTTTTTCAATCCACGACGATCGTCACATCATCGTCACATCAGAAGTTTGAAACGATGGGGGAGTATCAGCTTTTCATTGCATTTCCGACCTGCTTTCATTGCTGAGGAAGTGCACACGGCCTTGCGCGGCGCAACCAAAAGATTGCTGGCATTCTCCCAGCTCCAATCGGACGCGCAACCAAACATTCTGCTGGCATTCTCTATTGTCAGAGCTCGACACGGACAAAAGTGGCATCGGCAAACGGCCAGCTCTTATTATAAGTAGGATAGTACACAGCCAAGAAAAGGCTTCCTCAGAATAACGCGTTGAGAGTCGGACAATCCAGACAACGAACGCGGTAAAGCGGTGATGAGTTGGCGTTGCGCGTGCCGAAAGTTTTCGACAGGCGGCAGATTTGCAGATTTGCCAAGCTCCTCATCCCAGCGCAGGCCCCAGACACTCGGGACAACGCGGCGCTCGACGGTTCTCAAGGAGAAGGAGGAGGACAGGAGGTGATTCCTGCCGGTGATCAGCCTTGATCCATGTGGAAAACCGTCCAAATGGCCCAGACGCCCAGGGATCACATCACGACTCCATCGCATAGGGCTGTTTCTTTGGCCATTTGATTGTGGGGCGAAACCGTGGGACAGACCGTGGGATCGTAATCCGCAGCGGTTGAGTGGGACGGGGGCTCGGGACTTTGAAAAGGAGAGAAAGGAGCTGGCTGGAGGAGGTCGGGAGTCGGACGAGGAGGTGGGCTTGGAAATGCCGCTTGACGCCAGCCTGCAGATACCAATGGTTTCACACTTTCATGCTCAAAGCTGCGTGTGTCTCTCAAGGTGGACGTTGGACGGGGATCGGGTTTTGTCATGCATGCGTCTTGGCTGTCTCACGAATAATATCCATACTGTACAGTACATACGAAGCAGCACCTCGAATACTCTTCCTCCCGTCTGTGTGTACTGTATATGTACAGTAGGATTGCACAGTATCTGCACTTGCCAGTCTGTCTGCTCAGTGTCGCACATTGATCCAGCCAGCAGCGATCGATATCGTCTGAGGGTGCGGGCGCATAAGGAGGGGGGCAACGTCAGCTCTCGCAGGTCTCCACGCGTCAGAAGGGCCTGAAAGCGCTCAGCAACTTCATAACTGTACAGTACATACAGTAACCTCCACGGCATTCCTCTCCATCCCGCTGGGGAAAACACACAAGCACCCCCCTCACAGCACTCTCAGCGATGACGCACAGCCCTCTACTGTGAGGCTTCACAACCCCACCCCCGACCTCTATCAGAGAGGGCGGAAACACAGACAAACTCTCTTCGCTCGGCAAACAAACCGGACATCCTCCAGTCATTTTCCCACGGACGGGACGTCGAGGCAGCGATTATCTTTGAAAGCTCAGATGGCAGCGCCGGCGATGGCACAGCATGAAGTCTCTACCCGTGTTTCCCTGGTCGCCGCCACTCCACTGACAAACAGTGCAGCGATGTTCCGAAACACGGCGAGGCCAAGGACATCACGGGCACCTTCACAATCGTCCAAGACACCTGACGTGGAGAAGGTAGTTGGCCAGAAGACGGCAGTCGCCGCACGGAAGACTGCGACCCGGAACTCTTCTCCATCCCCTTCTCGCACTCCTACTCCTCCATCTCCTACCGTTGAGCAACCACGCACCCCGGTTCTCGAAGTGGAAACTGTGCGGACATCAATAGCCACCACTGTTATCGAGTTCCCCATCATCACACCAGTGGCAGCCCCGCCACGTTCCATGCGCTACCAGGTCGCTCCGCACACAACTCTTCACCACACGGCCTCTCCGCGGCGTATGGCGCCAAGGCCTTCATCATCATCATCATTATCAAATCCAGGGAGTGTGACGAGCAGTGCGGATGGGTCGGCGACCCCAACGCCAATTGTGGACCCTGCGATGGCGGAACGGGGGTCGCCGAGTGTGAATCGCGTCGGCGTATTCTCGGCTGTAGGTGGATCGGTGGTGGTTGCGATTGGGTTCTTGGTGGCTATGCTGATGTGCAGGAGGAGGCGGAAACGGAGGAAGCGGGTCCGAAAGGTAAGTCCTTTCGAACGTTTGCTTCATTTTCGCCTGTAAAGACATCTGACCCTCGCGTTCTTATCGCGTGACATAGAGCGCAGTCCCATTATTCGGCGGAGACGAGGACTATGAGCCTCCGAACTATAGAGCCTTGGGAGCCGAGTCGAGAAGATCATACCCTTCCACGGGCCGGCTATCGAGAACCGCGATGGTGTCGACGGTCAAGGATGCGTTCACGAATTGGAGTGAAGGCCTGAACAGCTGGGGTTCCCGCGTCAAAGGGCGGATGAAAGGCGAGGGCATCGCTGTACGTGATTTCGCGATACTTTCCTTGGCGTTTCCTGACTTGTATCTAGAGACTCACGGATATCCCTCGTATTTGCAGCCATCATTACCAGACATCCTTCGGTGTTCTCACGCACCCCTCACATCAATGACGACCCGATACTCCGATGCGACGGACCGACATGCCAACCCTCATCAAACGCCGGATCCAGATCTTTTAGTTGAGGACTTCATCTTCTCCGATACCCGTGGCCCGGACATGGATACATCACACAGGATAGGAAGAATGCCATCGCGCGACGATTGGGATCCGCCGTTAACACCAGACGGAAACGACACCCCGTTCCGCGTACCCCGGCCACCACGGGCTCTCACGCGGGAATGGTCGTGGGGAAGTGTTGAAAGCAACGGTGGCGTGGATATGTCGCGAAGTACGGTAACCTCGGCGTACGAATTTACGACGGCGGAAGCTTCTATGCCGATGGCAAGTCCGATGACAAGGAGGGATGACCAGCATCACTCGTGGCTTCACCTACCCTATAAGAATATGGAGGTTCCCACCTCCGCATCGACAACGCATGATCATACTCATCCTGCCAACAAAGAATATGACAGCACGTTCACGGACGAGCGGGATCAGAGCCACTACAACAGCCGTTACAACAACACACCCTTCTCCTCGTGGAACTCTTCGGAAAGCACGGCGTATCTTAGCGGAGACATCTCCCATACCCAATCGCATATGCCCCCTCGCACTTACCAGCACCGCACCGACAGCAAACTCAACAGCATGTACACAGCCTCTTCCTCGCTCTACCACCCCACCAACCCCTTCCGCGACCCGACCCCACCCCTTCGCCGCCCCGCCTCCCTCAACACCATCCAAACAAAACTCACGCACGTGACAACAACAACTACTGCATCCTCCGCCGTCTCAAACTACCTCTGCGATCAATGCCGGATGGGCACGACCGTGATTTCACCTGTCCGACTACCTATTATCTGTAAAGCATGCAGTGGTGGCGGTAGCGGCAATCACGCGTCAAAGTCCACCTACTCGTCGTCATCATCCTACTCCCGGTCGAGATCGTCACTGGACACCTTCAACTCGGAGGTTTATCGGTATAAGCATTATCATCGGCAGCATGAGCATCAGAGAGCGGGCAGTGCGGCCTCGGTGGGAAGGAGTGACAGGAGTTTGTCCGAGTTTCTGACGGGCGTTGTGTAGTGTAGCGACGGCGGAAGGCAGAGGAGAGGCGGAATTGTACAGATTTCTTTACATACACCCTGTGACGGCGTCGGCTTCACTCACATTTTACCCCAGTCGCCCCCTTATCGCCGATTATCTTTTGTACATAGCTTGGTAGCTGCGGGGATTTGATTTGTCCCTTTCTCCTTCGCTTTCTTGCACATATATCGTTTCTTGCCGGCACGTTATTTTTTCCCACACACCTTGTATTCACATCTTTTCTTGTTCTGCATGGGATGTACATACGTATATACGTACATACGGAATTGAATTTGCACTCGGAGAGCTATATATATATACAATGCCATGTGTGTTTGTCGGACGAGGGAGGGGTTTGAAGTTTGAACTTGAAGAACAACGGGCCTCCGTTTTGCTCAACTTCCCTCACTTCCCTCACTACTGAACACTCAACAAAAGCAGCACAGGACCCGCAATGCATTCTTTATTGCCCACCCCACCACCGCAAGGCGACCTCCCAGACCTCCCTTCTACCACCTCCCGCCCATTATTTGCCCCAGCAACCCCAAACCCGGACCCACCACGTCTCAATCCTGCAGTGTTCCGCGCGCTCGTGGCTCAATTCGCGTATGACGCTGGAAACGTTAGGAAGAGGGGGCGGGAGGAGAGGGGAGATAGAGGGGATGGAGAGGAGGAGGAGGTGGAGGAGGTAGATATGGAGGTCAAGCGGGAGCTTACGCCCGAAATCGGGGATGGGGATGGACCGAAAGGGAATCGCGAGGGGGTACCGGATTCTGAGTTTCCGAGTGTGAGGACGACTGTGAAAACAGAGGAAGATAATACCATAGCGTCTATTACGAGCCCAGCAAAGAAGAAGCGAAAGCCGCTCGGGCCTGGGTCAGTGCTTTCTCGATCCTTACAAGAAAGGGGAATCCGGGGTCCGGCATCCCACCCCTCGACCATCCCCACACTCCCCAACACCACAACCGACACGTCCCCTGTTCCGGACCATCTGGCCCACCACCTCCGCGTCCTTTTCATCGGTTTCAACCCGGGCGTGCAGTCTGCAAGAAGAAGGTGCCACTATGGAAACCCCGGAAACCATTTTTGGAAGTGTGTGGTGGGGAGTGGGTTGACGGGGGGTGTCGGTGTTACTTGTGATGGTAAGCACATCACCCGTGTGGAGTTTGAGGGGCCTAGCTGATTCCCTCTATCGTGTGACATCTCAGACGACAAACTCTGCCCACGACTCTACGGCCTCGGCTTCACCAACATTATCTCCCGCTCCTCCCCCAGCGTCGCAACCCTCCAGAAATCCGAATACTCCGCCGGCGTACCACCCATCGTCGCGAAACTGGTAACGCACAGACCGCGAGTGGTCTGCTTTGTCGGCGTCAAGGTGTTTGAGGCGTTCTGGGAGGGGGTGCAGGGGGCGTGCCGTGAGGTGTGTAGAGGGGTGAATAGGGGCGAGGGGGATGTGAGGGTCTGGGTTGGGAGCGCGAGTGTGAGCGAGGAGGCGGGTGATGAGGATGAGGATGGGGATGGGGAGACGGAGGCGGATGGATCTGCCATCAACCGTCGCCCACTACCCGCATCCCGCAAATTTCAACTCGGCTTGCAACCCAAATCCATTCACTACGCACCCCGACGCCGCCCGACACCCGTCGATGGGCCCGCCGAACGCGACACTGACAGCAAAGACGAGACAACAATCAAAGAAGAGGAAGAAACGCTCTTATTCGTGATGCCGTCGACATCCGGCCGCGTGGTGCATTACACGCGGGCGGACAAGTTGGCGTTCTTTGTGAGGCTAAGGGAGGTTGCGGATAGGGCTGTTCGTGCGGGTGGCGCTGCGTAGGACAGAGGAAAGGTAGTTCAGCGAGGAATAGTTCAGCGAGGCGAAGCCGATATTGACGTCTTTACGTAGCATAATGCTGGTATTTTGGTTTTGTCATGCTTGTAACATTGCAATGCCATCATTCACTGAAATTGCATCCTAGATCTAGAGCGCATCGCTGCCTGTCGGCGGAGATACGGAAGAAGGCAAGATGAGAGGTAGTGCAGCTAGGGTAATGCGGCGGCGTATGGAATAGGTCCTGCGAGGCACAGGCGATATGGACGGCTTTTATGTCCCATAACGCTAGTATCTTAGTTTTGTCATACTTGTGATGTTGTAATACTTGGTTCATTGAGGTTCTACATCAGTGGTGAGTGCGTCGTTGCCTGTCGGCGGAGCTTGTATGCCACTCTAGAGGTTCATGCACAAAGCCATGTGGGGGACCAGTGTTGTGCGATGAACGTAACATGAGAACACGCGCGGTCGGACACGCGCGAAAAGCGGTCTCTCGCACCCATCTGCGAAAGTCTCGCGGAGGGTGTGACGTTTGGCCTCGTTTGGAGACGACATGGATAGGCACTTTCCCACGTTTGAACACTCACATAGGGGGGGCAAACTCCAACCGCTCTCATCAGCGCAACGACATATCACTGGAGGATAGGACAGGGCTGGTAGTGGCTGCGTAGTTGCGCAATTTGGTCGCCTCAAAACCACATATTCGCCGCCGGGCACATCTCGGGAACCAGACGAGCACCGTGTCTCACTCGCTACAACGACACAGACCAGGCAGTTCAAACGAACAGCATGTCGCTGACGCAAGGGGACGTAACGCCGACAGCAGTAGAGGACGATGCTTGCATAGATATCCCTCTCCCAACACGACCCAGAGGCTTCGAAGTATGGGTCGAAATCCCAACCACGATCTCTGCACACGGGCCCTACATCCCGCCCGCTCGTCCAGCAGCGCCAAAGGTGAAGCGAGAACATGTCAAGCGCCGGCCAGTGGGTGCATCGAATCGAAAGCGGCCGACCATTATTGTGGAGGAGCCACCAGGACTACCGTTGCGACGGCCGAGAGGACGGCCGAAGAAGGATGGAATCACGTCGCCTGGGAGCAGTAGGAGTGGGAGTGGGATACGGCTGAATAGGAGTGAGAGAAGTGTTGTTGAGTCGCCGCCACCGCATTTCCCGTTGTTTGATTCGGCGACGACGAGGGTAGCGGCAGAAGGAGAGATCAGCGCGGAATTTACCACTGATGTGCGAACGATGCCCGCCGCTATCCGGTTCATCGTATTCTGCTACGGGTTCGCGGATTACATAAAGTGGACGCCGCTAGACGTCGAGTTCCTCGAAGCCGAACTCCTGAAGGGCGACAGTCTCTACATCATCAACGTCATCATCAAACTCCTCCAACACGTCGTCAAACCCACCACCGTAGTCACAATCTCGAACTGGCAAGAAGTGTTCCGAGCCCAGCTCTACAGCCTCGCCAAATACCACCGCGACACCGGCAAAGTTCAGTGGTCCGCTGATCTCCCGTTTCCGCTCTTGGACCTCGACCGCCGGCTCACATTGCTCATCGCCCTCTGCGAACGGGTACTGCATACCACAAAACGTAACGTCCCATCGCATCTACTAAGAAATGCGTCGATTATGCCCGTCGGAATCGAACACGTACAGTCGCAGCAGAAGAGCTACGTGTATTGGCATTTCCCTGTGGGCAGTTTTCGGGAACGGCTGTATTGTCAGATTTTCGAGCATTCGGAGGAGATGGAGACGTTTATGCCGGATGTCGGGGTAGTGGATGGGCGGTTTGCGGTGGACTTTGGCGATGGAGGTGGAGATGCGAACCTGGCGACGGATGAGAGGGATGAACAGGATTGGAGTGTCGCTGTTGATGAGAGTGGCAGTATACCCGCGGGTGACGACGTCGGGCAGGGGAATTGGAATATACCCGGAGAAGTGCAACCTACCACTTCCAATATGTCGCTGTGGAACTCCAGTGTCCATACGACATCGGCGGTACATGCTGGAGGCAGCGCAGCGGAGATCTTGCAAAGTTCGACGGCCTCGGCTGTCGCCCCGGATGGGAATCCTGTATCACAGGAAGCAAATACACCGAATGCTGGTATTGCATCGAATCACTGGGAAGCATCTCAGGAATCAACAACGACTCAGACGCAGCAACAACCACATATGCGATTCTACATTGTGGCATCCGATGCAGAAAGCTGGACTTCGTTCCTCAAAACAGCACTGTCCAGCAATGTCCCCGCCCATCAAGCCTTGCGACCCGCCTTCCTCACTACAAAATACAAAACAGGTTTCTTTGAAGCTGCCGCCGACGAAACCGCGGACGACGATACTATCGACGCACCAGTCGCCCCACCATCACCCAGACGACTCCTGGAAGCCATGCAGTCTGAAGAACGCAACAGGCTGGAAATGCAGAGCACGGAGGAGCAGGGGTGGCTGCAGCGGAGGGCGGATGCTCGTGCGAGGAAGCAGAAATCGAGAGCGGCTAAGAAGTTGGCTCTTGTTGCGGCGAGGGAGGGTGGAGATGGGGAGGATGGGGATGAAGGTAATGAAGGTGGTGAAGGTCTTGGCGACACACCTTACGAGCCACCAGCGAAGAGACGCAGAACTTCGCTATTGCCTGGGAGTCTGGCCGAGTCGGCGTTGTCGACGCAGCGAAGTCAAGCCGACGTTGCTCCTCAAGATGGCAAAAGACCTACCAAACGCGGACGAGGACGACCTCGGAAAAGTGAGGGTACAGCGCCCAGAGGGAGACGGAGAAAAAACTCTTCCGACATGGACGACGACGAGGATAGCGTCTTGACAGCAGCCGAACGTGCTGAAATAGAGCAACGCCTTTTGGCAAAACGAGCAGCGGGCTTAGATATTCGCAAACGCATGGCCAAGGGTCTCTTAGATCTCTACAAGGACGTCGATACCCACTGCGCCAACCTACCGCCCTTAGACGACGCCCCCTTCTGGTCCCGCCTCTCCAATCAACTAGGCCCATACCTCCCCATTCCCAACTCACCCTTCGATACCCGCATGTGGGTCCGCAACGTCTACGGCCTCCAATTCGACACCCGCCTCACCAACCAACCCACGTCCTCCATCATCAAGAACGTGTGTAGACACCTCGTGGACAACCTCAAGCACTACCCCGCCCACGACCCTTTCTTCGAGCCCATCGACCCAGACGATTTCCCCAACTACGCCAAAATCGTCACAAAGCCCATGGATATTAAAACCCTCTACGTCAAGCTGATCCTGGACGAGTATGCGGATTTCAACGCCTTCCTTACCGATCTGCACCTCATCTTCCGCAACTGCCGGCGATACAACGAGCCCCACTCGCGGATCGTGTACCAGTGCCTCCAGCTTGAGTTGAGTTTCATTGAGGTGGCTTGCATGCTGGGGATTGTGACGGGCCATGTGGATAGCGAGGTTGTGTTGGCGCTGAAACCGGACCCCTTTGAGAGGTTTGCGGATTATTTGGAAGAGGATGAGCGGGAGAAGGTGACGGCGCAGGAGAAGGCGCGGAAGAAGAGGGGTAGGCCGAAGAAGAACGTTGATGTTGAAGTTAGAGTCGAAAGAGACATTGGAGATGTGTCGGGTACTAGTACGCCGAGAAACGTGCAGGCACAGCCGGACGGCGGGACGGGCGATCCACCGCAGTCCTCCACCAGCAGCCTAGGCATGTTCGGTTTCACGGCCCAGTCCGAAGATATCAACGACAATCAGATCATGTCCGACCATGGGATCGGGCAAGACATCTCGTTCGGCGAGCCTTCGTCCAATAGCGTCGATAACGGGCTTGATTCGAATAATGAGTTTGGCGCTATCATGCCGTTACCGCCGGCGCCCGAGACGGCCCTGCATGCGTATGACCACGACCATCACCATCTTGACGACCATCATGACGAGCGCGGGGCAGAATCAGGGCCGTCGGCGGCGGTGCTCTATGCCGCGGCGTCGACGTTGGCGTTGGCGAGTATATACGGACAAGCACCTGCAGCTGTCGTGCAGAATTCGGCCGGTTCCAGCACTGAGATGTATGCCTCCATGTATACACAACGAACCATCGCCTCACAGCGGAATCAGGGCCACGAGAACGAGGATGGGAACGGTGATGATGAGGGATCCCCGTTCTCGTTTGCACGGCCGGGAAAGGAGGTTTCGGATCATTACGCTTCTACTGCTGCCACTAGCCCAAGGGCGACTTCGGCGGATAGTCAGCGATCCCAGGTGACTTCTGATTCTTCGGACGTGTATGGAGGGGTGTATGGAGGGTTGTGGGGGCAGACGCAGGCACCAGCGGAGGTGCAGGCGCAGGCGCAGGCGCAGGTCCACACGCTGATGCAGATACAGCAGACACGCCCACCCTCTGCCACGCGAGTTCAAGCACCTGTAGCATCGTACAACGAGCAGCGTACCTCGTATCCCTCGCAACAACAGCAGCCCAGAACGCAAGGGCAGTTGACGAGCAGTTCGGTGACGGATGTTTCTGTCGGTAGCGCGTATGGCGCACAAATGCAGCAACAGCAGCATCCATCCGCGGCTGACGCCTCGACCATAGGGCTGGATTCGCGGAGGTCTTCTTCGTACGCTTCGCAACACCAATCTTCTTCGTATTCCGCCCCATCGATCGTCACCTCCGCCTCGTACATTCCTGCTCTGCATCCTAACCTGAACCGATCTTATGCCCAGCCGCAACAGCCGTATCCCTCACTGTCAACGGTCAGTTCCGCGGCCTCCGTCCCGTCAGTGCAGCCTGACGCGAATCGATCCTCTGCCACTCAACAATATCCCAGCGAGAGGTCGAGCGCGAAGGACGAAGCCTCGATAGCAGCGGCGGCAGCGGCTGTAAAAGCGAATCATATGACACTTGAGGAGCTCCTTGGGGATAATGATGATCCATATACGTATGGAAGTGAGCCGACGGCGCTGGACACGCTTGCTGCTACAGCTACGATGGGGCTAGGGACGAGTACGGTTGTGTATGGGCAGCAGCAGCGGATGAATGAGTGGACCACGGTGGAGGCCGGAAGGGTGTCGCAAACGGCGCAAAGTCAACCACAGCAACAGCAGGGGTTGGCTACGGGGTATGGAGGACAGGTTGAGACCCGGCAACGGACGGCTCCCGCTGTACCGCAGCCGCAACAACATTCGGAATACGGGCAAACGGCGAGCGAATCTCGACAGGGACTCCAATCTTCGTTGCGGGTCCCGCAGCAGCAAGCGCCGTCTACTCTACCACAGGCACAATCACAGCATCATATGCCCTACCAACAGCAGCCGCATCAACAGGAGGAACACCAAAAGCTACCGGAACCAGCGTCACAGCAGTTGCGAATTGAGGAATTGCTAGGCAATCGCCAATCACCGCGACAACACCGGAGCTTGCAGTTGCCACAAATGCAGGCTCAGAATACCGCCAATCCCAACGATGCGAGGCATGAGCCTGCGTGGGCGGGTACCAACAGCAGTAGCAGTAGCGTTGATGGGCAGGGGACCACCTCGGCCTCGGTGCAGCAGGCACGGCAGTATGGTGATGCCGCGGCCGCGCCTTCGACCGCGTGGCAACAGCACAACTATCAGCAGCAGCAATCTTATGGCCAGTCGAACCCGCCGGCATTACGATCAGCATCGACGGAGAGTTTGAACAAGCAGCGCCAACAGCAGCATGCGCACACGTACAACGCGCACACTCAGGCTTCGTCATCACCGGCACGGAAAACCACGCAGAGCAACGAGAGCGCATTGTCGGTTTCAAATTTGTTGTATGGTGGAGATTCCACCACCTCGTTCAAAGGGTCAACGGGGACGCATGCGGCTGGAGCTGCACCTGCAGCGCCGCGGTTACCGCCCAAGACCAATACGAGCCAACATATTCAACAAGCGCTGCCCACCATGCAAAGTCAAACGTCGTCGGTGTCGGTGTCGGCGAGTGCCTGGAATAGTGTGTATTTGTCGGAGACGCAACAACAGTCACTACCGGCGCCCATACAACCGCCGCTGAACCGGAACATTTTCTATCCCTCACAAACGCAATTACAACAACAACATTCATCCCCGGCAACCATGCAGCCGTCGCTGACTCATGGTGGGTACCAACCCACCCACTCATCGCAGGCGCGTCAGTTGCAGCAGACCGCGGCTGTCCATATGCGGTACAGTAACTCGTTGGCGGCCGATAGGAACGGGGCGGCTGTATGGCGGCGGTGAAGGGAACGCTACGAGTGGAGGTGCGAGAACCAGTTCGGGGAGTACGCACTATACCGGTCAGCAACATCACACGCAAACGCAACCCCAACCGCAGACGCAGACGCAATCGGTCGCGAGTACGAGTGCGCGTCCGGTGCAGTATAGTTCACAGGTACATCATCAACAACAGCAGCAGCAACCACCGCGGTATGAAGACGGCCAGCAGTCGCAGCTTTACACTCAGTCGCAGCCGCAGCAGCAATCGTCGTACGCGTTCGAGTGGCCGCCACGAAATCCCCAGCCGTCCCGCGTTCCAGCACCAGCGCAACAATCTCAACAACAACCACAGTACAGATCGGAGCATACCGACCAGCGACAAACCCAGCAGTATCAACCATTGTCCGCCGCGTCATCATCCTCATCTGCTTCCGCACCGACTCTGCAAAATGATTGGTCGACCAGCAGCACCACACATATCAACATCCGCACAACCAGACCACTCAACAGCAGCAGCAACCAGAGCCAGGCAGCGGACCCGAGATACCGTGATGCGTCACAGCAGCAGCAGCAACAGGTGTTTGGAAACCAGAGTCAAAATGCGAATGCGAGTTCAAATGCGTACCCCGCGGCGTATGGGGCGAGTGGGTATCGACTTTGAGGTAGCGGCGGGTGTGGGTTCGGAAGTGGATTGGGAGGCGAATGTTTTGGGATGCTTGGAAAGAGTGTGGGGAGGGTGCGACAAAGAAGTGAAGGGAAGATGAGGGTATTGATAGTAACATCAGAGGGAAATGGAAGGCGGTAAAGCAACTGCCTGTGCTTTTGAGCATAGTAATCATTAATGCGATGCATAACAAAATGTTCTATCTGTGCAAGGATTTTGGCGATGACTACCAATGCTTGAAGTCGCCCGCTGGCGTTCGTTACCTCATATTATAGCCATATTTTTGCTCTTGTTGCAACATCTTTGTATCTTTGTGTATCGAACGTTGAAGGGCCAAGACGCCGAAGACCCATTCGACGGCGAGACGGCCAGCGGCCAGACGCGTGGGAAAGGAGAGAAATGCAACAGCGAAGATCAGCTAGATCAGCTCACGCACAAGCACAACACCGATTGAATAGAAGCCTTTCGCAGAAGAAAGGACGGGCTGTGCAGAGTCTACTCTGAAGCAGACATTCGAGCATACCACGGATGCGACGTCGAAAGGATGACAGTCGATACCCTATCCCTGGACGCCATCAAGCGGCTAACGGACATTTCAACGATCACGGCGCAGCTGCGCGCGGTGCTGGAGGCAGAGAGCGGGTCGGATGCCCGCCTGGCGGAGCTGATGGAGACGCAGGGGGATGTTGATGTCGAGAGGAAGTTGAGGGAACTGGATGCTTTGCGGTGCGTTCGGGGTGCTAGTGAATGTGGGCAGTCTCAGGGCTTCGGTGCGCACTACTGGGAGGATTTGGAGGGAAGGGTCGAAGCGCCGCCGAAAAGCCTAATGGGCTTCTCAGCCGGGGCATGGCCGTAGCTTCCCGCATGGGCAAGGACAGGCACATCCTAACCGATTTGTCGAAGATACTCATCGGTGTCCCTTCCTTTTTCCCACGTAGTTTAGCCCGCAGATCGAGTTTGTGCGGCACGACGCGCAGCCGCTGCTGAAGGTGCTGGGTGAGACGTCGACGCTCGCGGAACGCATCAGTGGGAAAGTCCGCCAGCTGGATCTGGAGCAGGGGAGGGTCAAGGCGACTATTGGGCTTGTGGATGATATTCAGGAGTTGCAGGTACGTTGGGTTGGATTTTCCAGTAGAGGTGCAAGCTTGATACCGGAAGGCTGAAGATGGGGGACTCTTTGTATGTAGAAATGCGCTGTAGGAGTGGACAAAGCACTAGCGGCCCTCGACTACGAGCGTGCCGGTGATTTCGTGAGCCGATACCTCAGCTACGACCCATCCGTCGTCGAACGGATCTTCGCTGCCTACGCAACCTCCGACCAGGACGCCTACTTCCCCACCATCAAAGACGCCGCTGACCCAACACCCAAAGCAGCGTCCTACTTGGAAACGCTCAAAAAAGCCCAGCAGCAACTGACCGACGTGGCCATGGACGAGTTTGACAATGCCGTTCAAGCGGCGAACGAGGAGGCGATTCTGAGATACTTTAAGATTTTCCCGCTCGTGGGACATCATGAGGTTGGGTTGGATAAGTTCTCGGCGTATATCTGTGGCAGTATCTCCAGGCAGTGTCAGGATAACATGCGGGAGTCGGCGGATCAGCCTTTGTTTTACGCGAAGCTGCTTACGCAGTTGTTTGAGACGATTGCTATGATCGTTGACCGACAGGAGGCGATGGTCAACTCGGTGTATGGACCAGGCAAGATGCTCCGCGTTATTCAACGATTGCAGCGCGAGGCGGATATACAGGGGTCCATCATCCTCAACGCCTTTTCCGAGCGGCGCCAGTTGCAGCGGAAGGTATAGTACAAAGAGTCATTGCAGATTTCAGCACCTCTCGCATTCCGCGACTGACATTGTACCCTCATGCCTAGCTGGCAGACGTAGCAAAGTACGAAGCCAGCCTCCGCAAAAAGCCTTCTGCAACCGCCCCGCAAGTCTCTCTCGACACGCTAGTCGAACCGAGGGACGTCGATACGGTGCTCAACGAGCTCGCTTTGATATCACAGAAAGCAAGGATCTTTGACCGGTTTCTCCATGTTCGCGCTGAGGTACGCAGGAGACGGGTTTGCTTACGTGTCTCTACCGCCCCATAATTCTATCATTCCCTAGGGTGAGGCGTTGAAAGTCCGCGAAACGCCCGTAACGACCAGCACAGACTGGACGAGCTCGCTAGACGGCGAAGGCGACGGCCTAGTCAAAGTCAGCAAGCTCGACGAGCTATCACAGCAGCTGATGAGCGATTACGTCTCCCTCGAAGAGTATTTTATCCGAAGGAGCGTCGAAAAGGCCATGTCGATCGACACCCTCGACAATCCCAACGACCTCACCTCCAGCAGCGTCGAGGATGTCTTCTACATTCTGAAAACGTGCGCGCGGCGCGCACTGACAACGTCCGATTCGAACTGCATATCGGCTATCGTCAATGGGATTGGAAGGATATTAGAACTGGATTATATCAATATCTTCCAGAGTCGATTAAGTGCGGCGTTCTCGATGGGGGTTGCGGAGGCGGGTGGGGTGAAGGAAGGTGCGGGGAAGAGTGGCGGGTACATGGTGGTACTGAACAATATCGACGTCAGCTGCGAGTACATTGTCAAGCTTACCGAAGAGCTGGACGACGAGGTTGGGCGGCTATTTGCGCCATCGCAGGATCTGTCGGTGGAGAAGATCCGGTCGTGTCTTGGTGTGCTGTCGGAGTATGCTGACAGTTTCCGGAGTATCTTGAAGGTGCGTTGATGAGCTTCGCGATTGATGGATGCTACTCTTCATCTTTGGGTAACGAAGTCGACATTTCCTAACCCCTTCATTTTGCATCCCGACAGACATGGATAGACAACATCTTCAAACAGCAAATGAAACCGCGGATCCGCCCCCTTCTCCAATCCTCCTACCTGCAGGATGTCAAATACAACATCACAACCTCCGACGAATACGCGCAACAAGAAGTCAACGACGCTTTCATTAAACGCTTCATCCCCGGCTGGACAAAACTCTGCACCCCATATAAACGCGGCTTCTCAGAATGGAACCTCGACCATACGATGGGCTGCATGGTCGATTTCATGGCGCGTGAATGGGAACGCTTCGTGATCCAGATGTTTCGGTTTACGCAGCTGGGCGCACTGAGGTTTGATCGGGATGTGAGGACTGTGGCTGCGCATTTTACAGCGACGCTGAACACGCATCATAATGTGGATACGGGGACGACCTCGGCGTCTTCTTCCCCCGGTAGATCGGGCAACGCCGGTGGAGCGCGCTGGTCAACGAGGGAGAAGTTTGCGAGGCTGAGTCAAATGTCGACTTTATTGAATTTGGATTCCGTGGAGGAGGTTTTGGAACTTTGGGGGAAGCCTGGGGCTGCAGGTGGTGGAGGCGGGGTTGGAGGCGGTGGGGCTGCGCAAAGTGGAGGCGGGTCGATTACGTGGCGGTTGAGTGCAAAGGACGTGAAGAAAATTTTGGCGTTGAGGTATGGTTGCCGTACGGTCTGAACGGACATGGCGACAACCCTTATCAACATGCTCTTCTTTACCTTAGGGTCGATTTCAATCCGGACACCATCGCCAAGCTTGAGCTTTAGATGGAAGCTTAGCGAGGGGTCTCAGCTGGGAGGCCTCGGCTGGGAGACCCCGAAGGCCGTTCTAATCACGCACCTCGACTAGGCGGGCACGTAACGCCTACCGTAACAACGGTAGCCTCCTTAGAACATTCAGCGTCGTACGGACAACAAAGATGGATGGACATCTTTCAGGGGAAGGTGTCTTCAACGCGACAAAATCTCGCCGCCGTACCGCCCACTCTACCACGTTTCCTCTTGCGGGATGCGACCCCAGCGCTGTTTCCCCTCGGCGATGGCCGCTTCTCACAACCTATCGCCCGTTCTTCCCCGCACTGGGCCTCTGTAGTACCGCGCTGTATGTGTTCTACCCAACTGCCCGCCATGTTGCAGACGGGCACATCTTATTGTAGCGACAATTTGCATGAATCATACATAAGGGGTCTGGATCTATGAGTTGGTTTACTTCTGTTTTTGTACGGCTCCGGCGGCGTATCTATGATCTGTTCCCGCTGGAGCGTTGTCACGGTCTCACAGATATCACTGCGAATTAAGAAATCCCACATCTTAGGCAGTATACGCAGCGATCGGGTTGTTTTCTAATCATTTAGACGACAGCTCGGGGATAGAAGGCCTACTGATAGATTGCAAACATGCCTCCAGTCAGGAGTGATGAATGCAACCACTGGTCTCATAACGAGGATCATCATGTTCGCTTTGACCAGTGGTTGCATTCATCACCCTGTCCTCGGCTTTCAGCTCATGCTGTCCGGCAACACAGGGCCTCGCAGACCAAGTTGTGCGTCACACAACTTTCTTTGGAAACTACAACACTGCGGAAATTGGTGCAGGATAACTTGCCTTCAATGTCTTGATTCTGGTGGAGATCCGGACTCTCTCTTCTTGGCGCAACTCTATAGGGCTACCCCAGGTGGTCTCTTTCGCGGCTCTCATGACACGTGAATGCCAGTCCGCCGGCGTCGTCTTCAGAACGTCCGCGATGCCCAGATCGTCACTGATCGCCTGCAGTAATGCAAGCGCCCCCATCGGTTCCCAGTACTACGCGCCTGATGGTGTTGGCCCAGGGCCGTCCCGGTGAATTGCTGTGTGGATCGGGTGTTATCAGATAGTTATCTTTTGGTGGCTGGCAGCTTCATTTCGACCAGAACCCCGCGTGTGGATTTATCCCAGGGTAATCAAGGCCCACAGGATTCCCAGGATTTATCCAAAAAGAGGGGATAAAATGGCGATGTATGTAGATTTACCCGCAGGGAGGGAGGGAACGAGGGGCCGAAGAATCTGAACGCAAACGGAACTCCGCCTTCGATTATCCTCATCACCTCAAGCAAGTTCTCAACGGAGATCGCGCGGGAATTTCGGTCCTCGGACCTCCATGCGGCTACTTACAATATACAACTAGGGACCGTCCATCGCTCGCCACGCAACAAACACCCGCATTCATGCAAGCTCAACTACCTGCGATACCAGCGGTATGCAGCCAGGAATAGGCACCCAAAACCCGTGGTGTGATGATCTTAATGGGAAATGAATCCAAAAACTTAAACGTGGGAGAAATTTTGTAGATAGGTATCATGACGGCACTGTGAGGAATCTCCGTTGCAGCACAAGCCTCAAAAAACGGCCCTCAAAGGCGACCTTCCTGTATTATGGTATGGATCAGGGCAGGTACCGCTGCATTCGGGTGGGAATATCCTACGAGAAAACTGTCAAAGACACGCATATAAACAGTCGGTGGTTCGTCAATATTCCCACGGGTATCTCTCAGGTATACCGCAATCCCCACAACACAACACCTATCCCCAACCAGTGCACCGCTTTGAAGGTGGGACTGTGTCACTCTGTCATACCGCTTCCCTGCCTCGCCTTTTGGCCAGCTGTAGGGCAATTGTCAATTCACGACTTCCATATCCCGACACGAGGGCGATAACGAAATGTCAAGGCCTAACGAAGAGGAGATAAAGCTGAACGAGGTGGTCGTGGAGTCCACCGCCGCCGTCCCACCAGCCATCCCCGGCGACATCGCAAAACTCCCCGCCGATGGCTTTGCCGCCGCAACCGAGGCCGCTACGGAGCCTCTGGACGCCAAAGCGCCGGCGGCTAAAGGCTTCTGGGCTAAATTGAAAGCGAAAAAGGCCGAGCCCAAAAAGGACCCAGGCCCGCCGCCTGTCCCCGTCTTCCAACTCTTCCGCTTTGCGTCGCAGTCCGACAAGTTGATGATTATCACCGCCTGCCTGTTCAGCGCGGGTGTCGGTGCGTTGATGCCGGTGTCGATTTTGATTATTGGAGATGTGCTGGGAAACTTCTCGGGACAATCGACCGGTGCCATCCCGGCGGGCTTTGATCTGGTCGGCGCGATGGTTCCGACGATTCTGAAGTTCGTGTATTTGGGATGTGCGACATTGATCGGTGGATACCTCACGCAGATGTTTTGGGTGTTGACTGGAGAGAATCAGGCCAAGGTATGAAGTACCGCCGCGAAATCCATATTCTGGTGAATAGCGTAACTTACCAGGATCCCCTTTCATTAGCGCATTCGTGAACTCTATGTTCACAGCATCCTCCGCCAAAACATCGGGTGGTTTGACATGGCCGAGGAAGGGTCCCTCACCACCCGTCTCGCCCAGGACACGCAACTGATCCAGGACGGTATCTCGGAGAAGGCCGGTTTGATTATCCAGACGCTCGCTGGTTTCGTCGCTGGTTTCGTTATTGCGTTCTTGAAGGGATGGAAGCTTGCTGTTGTCATGTTGGCCTCTTTGCCTGTTATGGGTATTGTTGGCGGTATCATGATTGCGATCGTGACCAAGTATGTTGGAAAGGGACAGGATGCTTACGCCGATGGTATGTGTGGACCATGCAGTTAAACTTGCTCAAACCCGCGTATCGGTGGATGACTGCGAACTCATACACGGCATACCATTCACAGCCGGGGCAGTCGCCGAGCAAATCATCGCAGGAATCCGTACCGTCTATTCGTTCTCCCTGCAAAGCCGTTTCCAGCGCAAATACGAAGTGGAGCTCGCAAAGGCGTACCAGGCCGACCTGAAGAAGGGAATGGGAATCGGAGCAGGCTTCGGTTCTTTCATGTTGACCCTCTTCTGCACTTACGGGCTGGCCTTCTGGTATGGGTCCCGCTTGGTCATCAATGGAGAGATGGAGGGCGCCCAGGTCATGGTTGTCTTCTTTTCTATGTTGATGGGTATGTTGGCGCGATCGTCTTCAACTTGTGCTCTCCAAATTGGGCATCGTATCACCATGGCTGACTCGCAATCCATTCGACAGGTGCAATGTCCCTCATTATGCTCCCACCCAATCTCTCCGCCATGTCCTCCGCCCGAGGCGCCGCCTCGAAAATTTACGCAACAATCGACCGTGTCCCCACCATCGATTCCGGCTCCGACGCCGGCCTCAAACCCACTAAAACCGCGGGCGAAATCGAGCTTCGCAATGTCAACTTCCACTACCCCTCCCGCCCGGACGTCAAAATCTTCAACGACCTCACGCTCACCATCAAGCCTGGAAGCACTGTGGCGTTCGTTGGACCCTCGGGCTCTGGCAAGAGTACCACTGTCTCCATGGTCCAGCGGTTTTACGACCCGACCTCAGGCAGTGTCTTATTGGATGGCAACGACCTGAAGGATTTGAACGTCAAATGGCTTCGTCAGCAGATTGGTGTCGTTGGACAGGAACCTGTGCTCTTCAACATGAGCATCAAGCAGAACATCTTGATGGGCGCCGTGGATGAGGTTACGGAAGGGGACCTGATTGAGGCGGCCAAGAAGGCCAACTGTCATAACTTCATTATGAAGTTGCCGAAGAAGTATGATACCCTTGTCGGCTCTGGAATGTTGTCGGGAGGACAGAAACAGGTGAGCTTGAGAAAGGTTGTGCGAGTGCGATCTTGCGAGCATTTCTAACAGAACTCTCTGCATGTCCAGCGTGTCGCGATTGCAAGGGCTCTGATCAAGAACCCCAAGATCTTGCTGTTGGACGAAGCCACGTCAGCACTCGACACCGCCAGCGAGCGCCTCGTGCAAGCCGCTTTGGACGCCGCTTCCGCAAACCGCACCACCATTGTGGTCGCACATCGTCTCTCAACCATTCGCAACGCCGATCTCATTGTCGTGATGGACAAGGGTAACCTAGTGGAGAAGGGCACCCACGACGAACTCGTCGCGCTGAACGGTGTTTACAACCAGCTGGTTCTCAAGCAAAAGATCAAGACCCGCGATGACGACAAGTCGCAGCATCACAACGGTGGTGGATCACCACCGGAATATGACGACGACGTTGTGAATACCCAAGCGGTAACCAAAGACGACGACATGAAGGACTCTGCCATCGTGGATATGACCGTGGAAACGGGCACCGGTCTCGACAAGAAGCTCAAGCTGTTCGACAAGCACACCCTCGCCCGCCAAGCATCCATGATCAGACGACAAGAAGAGGCCGAGAAGAAGACCGTTACCGCCAAGATCGAAGATGCGTACATGTGGCGCGTCGTGCAGATGATGCGCCCCGAGTGGCAGTGGTTAGCACTCGGATGCACAGCTGCCGCCATCGCCGGGTGCGTGTTCCCCGTGTTCGGATACACATTAGCGAAAGTCGTCACCGTCCTCCTCTACAAGGATCCCGCCAAGATCGACCCGGGACCGTTCCAGGGCGCCAACCTGTACGCGTTCATCTTTGTGCTGATTGGGTTCACGGCGTTCTTCTCGTTCTTTGGACAAGTTTACATCTTTGAGCGCGCGGGTGCGGCGCTTACGAGGAGATTGAGGGCTGAGGCTATGCATGCACTTATGCGACAAGAGGTTGGGTTCTTTGACCAGGAGGGCAACTCGCTGGGAGCGTTGACATCGCGATTGGCGACGGATGCTGCCGCCGTTTGTGACATGATCACCAAAGTCTGGGGCGACGTTGTGCAATTGGTTGTTACCGCCATCGCCGGTCTGGTCATCGGCTTCGTACACACATGGCAGCTCACCCTCATCGTCCTGTGCGCGGTTCCCTTCCTCCTCGGCGCTTCCATGTACGAGTCCAAGATCCACCGCGGGTTCGAAGACAAGACCAAGAAGTCCTACGAAATGTCTGGCGACGTTGCTTCTGAAGCCATCAAGAACATCCGTACGGTGAGCTCCCTTTCCAAAGAAGACTACTTCGAAAGCAAGTTCGCCGCCGCTATCGAACGCCCTCACTACCTCGCCCGCCGCAAGGCGTTCCTGTCCTCCCTTGGACACGGTGCCAACCAGGGATTCCAGATGTTCACCAACGCCCTTGGATTCTACGCCGGTATCCGCCTCATCGAATCTGGCACAGTCGACTTTGAAAGGATGTTCATCGTCATCATGGCCATTATGATCTCCGCGCAAGGAATGGGTCGTTCGTCAACGTTCACGACCCACATCGCGAAGGGCAAATTCGCCGCGTTCAAGACGTTCGAGCTGCTGGACCGCAAAACGGAGATTGACCCTGACGCACCTGGATACTCCCACGACACCATTGAAGGAGAGTTTGAGTTCAAGGACGTCGCGTTTACCTACCCCGCGCGTCCCGACCAGCCTATCTTCACCGGTGGGTTCAACCTCGCCGGCAAGACCCGCCAAACAGTTGCCCTCGTCGGCCCCTCCGGGTGCGGCAAGTCAACGACCATCGGCATGCTACAACGGTGGTACGACGCAAAAGAAGGCACGGTCTCCGTCGACGGGCAGAACGTCAAGAGTTACCAGCTGAAAGAAGGCTTGAGGCGGCATATGGCGCTTGTAGGGCAGGAACCGGTATTGTTTGATATGAGTATTCGGGAGAATATCATGTGGGGAACGGATCGGGAGGATGTGACTGAGGAGGAGATGATGGAGGCGGCCAAGATGGCGAATATTTATACTTTTGCCAGTGAGTTACCTCAAGGTATGTTCTTGTCCCTATTTCGTATGTCTTTCGTACCTTTTCGAGTGATATCACATGCTCATTGCCCATTCTTCTTTTCATTAGGCTTTGACACCCCCGTCGGAGACAAAGGCGGACAACTCTCCGGAGGTCAGAAGCAACGAGTCGCCATTGCCCGCGCCCTCATCCGCAAACCCAAACTCCTCCTCCTCGACGAAGCGACCTCCGCACTGGACTCTGAATCCGAGAAACTGGTCCAAGAAGCCCTCGACCGCGCCGTCGAAGGCCGCACGACCGTCGTGATCGCGCACCGTCTCTCGACGATCCAGAACGCCGATATTATCGCCGTTGTAAATAACGGACGCGTCGTGGAGCAGGGCACGCATTTTGAGCTGTTGGATTTGAATGGGGTTTATACGGATTTGGTTAAACAGCAGGATTTGAATGTTCTTGCTTAGGTGATATCGGGTGGATGGGACGGTAGTAGATGCGCAGAGCGTAGCTCCTCAGATATTTTGTCTTTTTCACTACGTAGTCGACGGACGTTTTCATTTTGCTGCATACTCCACTTTACTACTGCACTCTTCATGCATTAATCGTGTTCATTCTTAATGAGAATCTTATTTACTTGATCACCGCAAATAGCTAATGCTTGCTCTTGCCAAGCTTCCTGTTGTGTGTGCTTAGAATTGAAGAAGGTCCTTGGTGACTTGCAAATACCAATAGTACTGTAGATTAATCAAACGTTGACCTCCCGGCTTTGCACCTGGACGTCGACGATTCCCACGACCAGTAACCCTTCTTTGTCTTGCGCAAGGCGTACTTGGCGTCATTGAAGTCCCGATACCCACAATAACCAGCTCGGTGATAGCGTTCGTATACGCAAAGATACCTTCTGCGCCGCCGAAGCTCCACTTCCACTCGGGGATTCTCAAGCATCTCGCAATCCAGAGCTTTTGGTCCCTACTTCATGCGGCCGAGAGCTTACGATCTATCCATGCCCAGCGACGGAGTTCGCCTTTTGACGGGACGCTCCAAATGCTGTCAAATTGTAATTTCACCTTGAGATTCCATCAGCTCCTCCGACTCCAGCATGCGTACAGGGACACAGCTCTATTAATCTAGCGGATGTTTCAGGGGTGTATTGATTTTCAGTCGTGAATATCGACGGGGGTGTCAGGGCGAGATATCTGGGGGGCATTTAGGACAAGCTTAAACCTCCTTTTTTTCGTCAAGCCACATTTCTGCTGGCTGAGCGGACAGACTTTTCGCGAAACGAGTCTGCTCTCTCTGCGGTTCACGAATAGCCTACAACCCCATGGAAACCCTCGCAACCCCGAGACGGGACCGCCTCACCCAAATCCATCATAGTAACCCGTCATAATACCCGTCACCTTGAGCCGCCCCACGCTCGGCCCCTTCCAAGTCTAGGCTCTGCACCCCTTCACATCAATCCCTGAGACGTGAGAGTGTCCTGGATTGCCCAGATCTGCCCATGACAGATCATTGCAAATCAACGGGCAAATCACGAAATCAACGGGCATCTTGGCAAAACACCGCACATCATGCATGACGAGCGGGGAGACGACGAGATGCAGATGCAGAGGCCAGGGTTGCTGAGAATCACCAGACCCTGTGCGCATCATGACGACGAGGAGAGGGCGGCGAACAAGCTTTTTGGGTGCCCTTCTTCGCATGGCCGACGGCTCCCACACCCCGTCTGGTAGAGTCGATCCTTAAACTCACAAAGGCGGGAGAGCGGAAAGTCATAGACGCCATGCCATGCCTGATATACCGGACCCACATTTTGCTACACGATCTGCATCGAGTGACTGCATCGACGAGCCGAGACCAGCAGTGCCCATGGGTCCCGGCTGATCTCCATTGCTCTAAACTGAAGAGTCTATTCCCAGATGTCGCCCTCACCTGGGAATAGACATTTTGGGCATGGACCGTGGGAGGCATCACGTCAGATATTGTTTGTGGATGCGCCGGCGGATGGGCCTTGCATCGTCGTGCCCCTTCTCGGCGGCGGATGTTCCCATGGTCTGTTCGGATCGTATGTGTGTAGCATCGAAGGCGTTTTCCCGTATCCGTATGGGTGCGGTGTGGTAGAGGAAGAAGGCGTGTGAGGCGCGCAGAGGATGGGGCGAGGGGGCCAATGCATCTGCGTGCAGAGTGTCGGTGGTGAGAGTTTTCTGAGTATACTTCGGTACAGGCAGGCATCCGAGATGCATTTCCAATGGACGTCTGGTCGACCTTATGCGTGGTTGCGGTTGTCCTTTGAACATTCCTGCCCATCTCGCACGGCGTTTTCTGATTTGCAGAGCGGGCATCAAACCGCCACAAATAACGAAACGAGAGCTTCCAACATCAATGATATGAACATGTTCACTAGCGCGAATGCCAGCCATCCTGAATGCGCTCTCGCCGGGTCGCATCCTCCTCTATAGACGGGCGTAGATGACACGCAAAAGTAGCAGCAGTTGCAAAGACGCGCAATACTCTCGAAACAGTGTCATCCCGACAACGAAGACAACACATATTCCAAGCCTAATCCGAGAAGTTCCAAAAAGAGGTTCCGATTATACGTTTTCAACTATTATACAGAGCACAGACATGTCCGAAGCAACACAAGGGGTATGGGATATGGGGGGTTTGACCAGAGAGCGACCAAAACCGGAGAACATGCCCGAATAACAGCAAAGACTACATGTTCACGTAAACGTGGGTATGAGGGCCGGGGGGGGGGGGGGATCGCAAACGCTTCCAGAGCATATTTGCAACGACAGATAAAACAGATTAAGCGATGAATGTTATACATCCAACTCCAACACCCCCGTCTCGACCCCCGCCGACGCGCTCCTCGCCAACACACTGGGCGGGACCAGGAAATCAAAGTAATCCACGCTCGCAACCACCGTGTTCGGCGGGAGGAACGGCCACCACAGATGCGGGGGCGGCGTGGCCAGCTGCGCGCTCACTGACGAGTGGCGTTTTGCGCGCAGCGGCGGGGTGTTGACCGCTGAAGAGGGGGTTGATGTTGAGGAGGAGGCGAGGGAGGTGAGGGATTGGGTGTGGAGGGGCGGTGTTGCGGCGCCGTGGATGTGCATTTTGGTAGGTAAGGTGGATGTTGATGCTGAGGATGGTTGTGTTGGGGAGGATGCAGAGGCGAGTTGCGCGACGGCGGTGAAGACGCAGGAGCTGAGCATCGATGACACGGTTGGGACGATGACGTGGAGTGTCGCTGCGGTTGCGGGAATGTCGTCGGCGTCGGTAGTTAGGACCTTGGGTGTACTTGCGTTGACGATAGCGACAGTCCTTGAAGATGACTCGGTTTTGAGCCCCAAAGCGGAAAAGTTCCTATTCAAAGTCGACGGCGGCGAAGGGAGCTGGTGGTGCGGGTCGATGAGTGTTGCTTCTTTCGTGAGATCCGGGTTGGACACTGGCGGGGTTATCAACGCAGAGCTGGGTGTGGGGATCTTTGAACCGGTGGAGCGTGGTAATGATGTCTCTTCCAGAACACGGCGCGGAGGGAGGCTGCAACTGCCAGTGAAAAGATCGCCGAGAGACGAGCAAGGTCTTCGCACGCCGGAGCTGCTTATGCGGTGCTGCACCAGGATATGCGAAGGGGGTTGTTGCGCCTGGTTCTGGTACTGATTCGGTTCCAGATCCGGATGGTGGTGACCTTGTTCACGAAGCTGCTGTTGGAGCTTGGCGTAGGTGTACGAGCTCAGCGCCAAATGGTAACCTTGCGGCCGAGACATGTTACAGGTTCGCCCTTGGTTCGTTGTTGTAGGTACTGAGAAAACGTAACCGAGGAAAGAGCGTCGCGTTGCAAATGCGCGCCCTGGGCTCAGCTCTGAGCACTGTCCAGTCTATGAATGTATGTCAATGACAGAGTGCAAGGGTCTGGGATGGGCCTTTCGAGTGCTGGATCTTATAGCTCCCCGCGCGCGGAGGGATGTTGACAAGAAGGCGATGTTGGAGGTTGATCGTGAACGCAAGAGTGCACACCTCCGGCTCTGGCGAGCTGGAGAAGCGAATATCCGATTATGTATGCGGGATGCTATATCCAACCTTCCAAGCTTGCGGCTCCGGGTATGTATGCTTCGTCGCTAGGGGATAGGTATTGGGGTCTGGGCACCGATATTGCACGAAAATCCGTGAATCTCGTCCAAGACACTTTCAGGGCTCAGGGCCAAGGGACCACGCACGAGAACGGCGACGTTGATTTGCCGGTAACAGTAGAATCGTTGAAACGTTAACTTAGATAAAGCCGCGCAAGGACGAAATTGTAACGAATTTGTAACGACCAATTGAGCACCGGGTGACAAACCAGGGACTGGACTGTGTCCACCGTGTCCTGATGTAAGGGAGACGGGGGGACAGTTTCCCGCAGCGGAATGTGCCCTTTTTTCGCCACCAGGGGGATGAGCGCCGGCGGGGTGGTGGTCTAGACTTGACGGAGGCGAGGAGGCTCACGCCGTGTCCGGGGGTCTAGATCTAGAGCGCGGACGTGTGTCTGACGGTCTCTTGAAGGATGTTAAGGCGCGCGAGGAAGGCGAGGAAGACACGGGCACCTTCTGCTAACGCGATTCCGTTTCTCGAAGCGTCGTTTATGGGATGTGGTGGTTGTGCCGGCAATAAAAAACCCGTGGCGACGTTCGAGATGCCCAACTCCGAATCCTGCTTCGTCCGAAGCGGCAAAGTGGAGCGCGAATGTGTTTTGTAAGCGACACGGCTTGCGCTAGGCGTGAACGAACAGAACAACGACGCCAAGCTGAAAGGGCTCCTGAAAGAGGAAGGAGCAAGGTGGGGGACGCAGGACAGATGGCTTGCCTGTGTTCAGGTACGCCTCGAGTTCCTGAGAAAGCTTCCAAGGGATGCATCATTCACCACCCGGTTCTTATGCCAAGGCCTGGCGACGGAAAAATATCCAGACACTTTCCTGAAAGCTGGGGAATATCTCATGTTTATTCGGGCGCCGGCCAAAAACATCCATTTTCATCACATACCGTAGAACTTTTTGCAAGATTTACAGCAACAAATTGATATCTGGACGGCATTTCCAAAATCTCGGTGAGGCTGGGACGCGGATACCTGGTAAATATCGCCCGAAAACCGTCGAATAAATTCTGCCGTGATGATCATGTCCGATCGGTTGGTCTCCCCCTGCGGTGAACTGCCCTCTTCAACCAGCCTCACAGATAGGCGATAACAATACGTGGCGGATACCCGAAATGGAAATGGGTCATGCCTGCAAATACATGGGGCTTGGCAAACCGCAAGCGCCGATTAGCTTTGAGCAGCATTGTAGGTTGCTGCGTATCGTGTTTTTCAAGCGAATGTCGTGTGGAGTTCCGGGCTAGTCCGGATCGCAAGCCGGACTTTTGGGAGAATAGCGAGGGACAATAGAATACGGGTGCATGTGCGTATACTTGGGGGGGGGGGGGGGGGACACGAGGTGAGATGAATGGGATACGGAGAGCCTTGTTCGCACCCAAATGACGGGCTCCGTCGCGTTATGTAAGCTTCATTCGCGGAAACGAACGCTCGGTAAGGCACATAAATTATACGCAGTCGGAGAAGGGCACCGTAGACTTCCTATCACAAGAAAACATGGCAATCAGGTTTCCATGGTATTCTTCCATTTCCAAACAAAGCCCGAACTAGGATAGCGATTGCCGGGAAAGGCAAGACAGCTCCGAGGTTAATGCAGGTCATGGGAGCGAAATGCGGCGTCCAGCGCCCAAGCCGGAAAATTCCCATTCATCGAAGGCCCGGTATGACATGAAGCGAGCATCGCCAGCTCATGACAGTGGGTCAAGCACTGGCAAATGCGCACAGCCACACCTTGACCCCTCATGTAAGGAGATTGACCGGCACACCGCCAGCCTGGTCATGGACGACATGTCCCCCGTGTCCAAGACTTTGCAAGCTTGTTTTCGACATATGCTTGAGAATCCCGGCATCGAAAATAACCTGCTCGCATCGGTGGGAGAGGCCCTGCATTGAATGGTAGCCGAGAGAAGGATGTGTGTCCCGGGCTGTTTCCCGTCTCCCGTGGGGGAGTACATTTTTCCACCGGCCTATCCGGATTCCGCTAGGATGTGCAGACGGGCGAGGGAGGGTAACGTCTGGGAGGGTAACAGGCAGAACGCAGCGACGTACGAGTTCGTAGTACGAGGATCAATGGCAAACCTTCCAGGGCCCGGATGGGTTCATACAGCTGTTCGGCTTGTAGGGACTCTGGGGAGACATCGAGGGGGTGACAGTCTCCGCACACTTTTGAAACGATGGGCGAGATCTTCGCTTTGCCTCCCATTGTGACTTACACATTCCAACTGCGAGATTCGAGCCGGGCGACATGCTCGTTGGACGAAAGAGGTCCCCTATGCTTGCATCTCCCAGATCTCTGGCTCGCCGTTCTCTTTCAGAGTAGCAACCATCTGTCTGGCGCGGGAGGGGAGACGTCGTCACGGGAGAAAAGGTGTCCGAGGGAGTGACACTCTCCGAGATCTGCAAAAGCGAGTGCCATTCCCCATCGAAAAAAGGAAGTAACCCGCGATTCGCGAAATCTCGTGTTTTTCGTCGGAAGCGCAAATGGGGTTATCCCTTCCTGTGGACCTCTCTGGCGCCCTTGCAGTATGAATCATGTTCGGAAATCGGTGGCGGGCCGGGATCGCAATGACGGAGGCAGCGTTGGTAGGAAAGTCGTGATCCCCGTCCGACAAAGAACTAGACTCCGAGACAAAGTACAGTACGTCTCCGCCGTTATTACAATTTTTCACCGCAAAATAAGCTTTGTCGGACTCGTATTGCTGTAACACGGCCCGTCAAATGCTTCAGAGTTTGTTTTGGCTTCACGCGAAGGTTAGGCACGCCCTGCGTCGCCTTCCCGTCCCAGTTTCAGAAAAACGGCACCGGACCCTCTCTGAGAGGTTTGTGCGAGTTGTCGACCATATGATGGATGATATAGTACGTGGATTCGAACCATCCACGTATTCGCACTCTGGCAACAAAAAAACAAACAAGGGATGCGGAAAAGGATTGATCATCCCAGAAGCAAAAACCTTCCAAAGCACGCACCCTTCCATCGCCGCGTTTCGCCGCGGCGAAAGCCGAAGTGAGATATCCGGCCCCCCGATGGAAAGGATGGGAAAGCTTCTTGTAGCGGAAGGTGGGCTACGTTCCCCAGGAAGCTGCTTCTACCGGCGTTCGCATAACCGGAAGGTTGTAGATAGACGGTGAGTGCGAGCTGCTGAAATGGACGAATGCAGTTGCAAATCCCACTCGCAAGGCTTCTATGCACGTCATCGCGGCGTGAGTGTCTTAAGACTTTGTCCATAAGCGGTGGATCCCGAGTTGAGGAAAGAACTGCATGCCTTGGTCGAAATCGAGATCGATATACTCGGTTGAGGGAGATCATCGGTCTCATGAGCATGTCCAAACTCTGCAAACAGGAGGGCCTCTTCAAGTTCGGCGTGAAATCAGAAATGACAGCGCAGAGTCCTGTCAAAATGTATACTTGGAAGCGTTTTCATCCATCTTGCAAGTCCAATCAAAGGTTTTTGCGTTGATATTGGACTTATATTTGCTCCATATCATTTCCTTCTCCTGTCAAAATCTGCATCCGTTGCGGCAGAAATCTCTTGCTTGTGCTCGGGAAACCCGAAACGCATCCTTAATGTTCCTTGACTTGCTTTCAGAAGACGTTCAACGCCTCAAGGGCCCGCCTGCTTCCTACGACCTCCATTAATACATGCTGAACGACCGAAGAGAAAAAAACAAAACAGGAGAATATACAGAGTGGAACGGACAACGCAGAAGGCGAGCGTGGGGTTTCTCCTTACCTCCGTGTTATTCTTCCATACTCCCACACAGCCCCGGTCGGCCACGCGTCACTTTCGCGTTTTCCGCCCCCAGTTCTCATCCGGACGCGTTGGGTAAGCGAAATCGTGCTGGACAAGGCCTCATAATAAAATTTTCGCGGAGATAGTCGCTCGTCCGTGCAGGAGGAGCGGAATTCACAGGGTGGATGATCCCATTGGGACCCCGAGTTGAATATCCCATCGTTATACTCGGACCTGTACGCGTTTTGTGTTGTGTTTGTCTGGCTCTCGGACATGTTTACCGCAACGTGTTTTAGGATCCCCCGTGACATGTACTTGGAAGCCCAAGCGATTCAACGCGTGGAGAGCAGGTCAAAGACAGGCGATGATGTTCTAACATAAGGGCGCGGACTCCGCTGTTTGAATGTGCCGGTTTGGTTAGACCTTGAAAGCAAGAGGACGGGACGCGTCAGTTTCGCGTTTTTGAGTTTTGTCCGAGACCTTTTTTTCGGACACATGCGCCTTTTGGAAACTCATAGTTTGGGACCACATGAACACCGATATAGGCAAGGAAAGGCCGCTGACGCAGTGGACGGGGCTTCGTTGTGTCCGGCACATAGAAAGGCGCGAGTTTTTTCGGGCGGAGTTTGAAACGCGTCCATTTTTTTGCTTACGCGCCACGCGTTGATCTCACCCGCCTAAGTCGGGTCCAAGCACCAAAACTTACAACACCACTTCCGGCACGCCTCTCCTGTTCAAAACTACGATAAAACCGTATATATGTAGCCCCGCCCGGCTAAATAAATGGTGGCGTTGCCAATTTCGAGCGTACTCAACAGACGTCTCTAAACACTTCGGCCTTGGTGAGACTTCCTCAATGCAATGAAGTGAGGCTCTATCGAAAGAGTCACAGCTAAGGCGGATGAGAACAAAAACGGGTTGCAATAACCAGGAACCTGGCTTGTCGGACGAGGGGGGTATTCATCGCACACAGGTTCTGTTGTGCTCTAGCATGCATCCATTAGAAGTCGCGAACACTGTCCTCACTCACTCATACAACTGTCGCTTCAATGTCGTTTGAGGATGCGCGCACGTGACCGTTGGTTTAAATGTGTGGCTTGGGTGATCCCGATCGCCGCGTTTGCGGCCAAGGAAGGAGTGTCACACACGGCCGTCAAGCCGCGCCGCCCCGTCGGCCGTGCGGAGAGTGAAAATGCTCAGCCATGCGGACGGTGAGAGTCAAGTCACAGAAGAAGCCTCCGGGGGGAGACCCATTCGGAGGGGGCGGGATTTTCAACAGCAGAGCAGTCAAAGTTCTCAAATTCACAACGGACGCGCACAGCCTCCCGACATGGTGGACCGCAACCTTCCCCCGGCCGCTCACTTCCTCCCGTGTCATATGAAGTCACGGACCCCCCCTCTTGAGGCGGGAGAGAAGCCTCCGAGGGACACAGCGCAGAGAGACAAGCAGCAGGGAGGGAGGAGGACAGAGGACAACAACAAAAGACGCTTAACTCAAAAGACGGCCGACCATCCAACCTGCCCCTCCCTTGACCAACTCGCCGCAACACTCACAACAGGTACGTATGTGTGAAGAGACAGAGAGACAGAGTGAGAGAGTAGCAAGGAATATGGGCGGGAACTACACGGGGCGTAGGGACGGGATGGGGGAAGCCGCTCTTACATATAGTGGGCGTTAGGCTTGGCAGTCCCCCCCAATTCTTGCTGGGATCTTACTAGCTGGAACGAGAGCACCAGCGTTGGGCAGCAAACGACATAGAATTGCCACACCTGCACACGTCCTTCCAACTATTATTCTTGGCTGACCCTTAAGATTGTCTTCCGCCTTCAGCATTCACAATCGTCGTGGGAACGTTTCGACAACCACCCGCGATCTATCCCACACTTCACAACACAATGTCCCCAACAAAACGGACAATGAAGGCTGCGGCTTTCTCGCTTTTCGCCCTCGCTTCTGGAGTTGCCGCTGCTGATGATAAGTCGGTAAGTTCTGTGAGCGGAAGCGTGGGTGTGTGTTACAAAAGTGAGGTCGATGATAGAAAGCATACTCACTTCTCCCTCCCACAGCGCCCAAGCGAATGCATAGCAGTGGACAGCTCATCAACATGCGCACCCTTCGCGGCCGGCCACTACATCAACGCCACATATCTCGGACTCGTCTACGGTCTCGACAAGCCCATCCCCGATGCGGCCTACTGGGACAACCTCGTCAAGACGGTTACTTCAGGCAGCAAAGAACAGGCCGCCATGTGGACCAACTGGGCCCAATGCACCGGCTACAAGGGCCAGCCTATCCAGTACTACCGCTCATATGTCTGCCTCACCGATATCAACTACTTCTCGCAAGGCTGCAACCCGGGCTACAAGCCGCCTTCCAAATCCATTTGCACGAATATCTGCGAATCGTACGGAAGCGCGGTCAGCACGTTGATTCAGGACGAGGAGATCTGCCCAACGCGGTTTGGTGATGCTAGCACCCCGGCCAGCGTGTATGAGGAAGTGAGGAACCGCAGGAACAATGCCCTGCAAGGGTCAAAGACTTGCTCGGCGCTCGCCGCTGCATGGGAGAAGGATGGGTACAAGAACAATGCCAGTGATTGCCAATACGGTACCGAAGATGACCACACCTCTTGCGGTGAGTTCCGATATATATATCGTCGATTGACATACTGCCTTGTCCATGTTGACTGATTCTGTCCCTCTCTCTCTGATAATAGGCTTCGCTGGTAATGCCGAGATTGCCAACTACTACTGCACAGACTACCCCACCGACCCCTGCTGCAAACGTCTCAAGGGCGGCCGCAACGTCGACTCCAACTCCAAGCCGGAGTCCAACTCGAACTCCAACTCCACCACCTCTGCCGGCCTCGACCAATCCAACGCAGGCACCAAGGCCGTCGCCGCCGCCGCTGACGTCCAAAACGATATCAGCGCAACCGCCGCGGCCGCTGCCACCGGTTCCGAATCCTTCGCCTCTAAAAACAAAATTCCCCTCGCCATCGGCGGCTCCCTCGTCGGCATCGCAGCCATCGCCGGCGCCATCGTCGGCACCCGCCACATCAAAGCCAAAAACTCCAACGGCTCCCACGCCCCGCGTCCGCGGGGCAAGATGACCGCGGGTACCGCTGTCCCCTTCCTCGCACCCGACATGAAGGACACGAGCAAGGACCGCACTGCGGCGGATGGATCGACGAGCACGAAGCATAAGGTTGTGTACGATTATACGCCGCAGTTGATTGATGAGTTGGAGTTGGCGAAGGATGATGTTGTGGAGGTGTGGGCTTCTTATGATGATGGTATGTACTGCGAGTCGTGTTCCTTTTGTCTTTGTGGAGTCATAACATGTATCTGACCGAACTCTTTTCTCTTCTGATTCTCTCATAGGCTGGGGTAAAGGCTTGAACACCCGCTCAGGCAACAAGGGAACTTTCCCAATGGCCTGTCTTGAACCCATCTCGGAATAAAACCCCGCCCTCACTCGCTTGAATGATAATGTTCTGTAATCTTAGCGTCGTCGATACGTTTTGTTTTTTTCTCTCTTGTATCAATCCTTTTTCGCTTTTTGCGCAAGAAAGACCACCCAACCCATTGTATAAATAATTCATAATCGTATCCGTGCAGAAATGTGAGGAGGCCCCTCGGTTGGAGTTGAGCGAAGCGCCGTGCGAGAAGGGGATTGTGTCCGCGCCGTTCGGACTTTACCACGAACGAGAAAGAACACCTCTTCGGACCCCCTTGTTGCTTGCTGCCCATTTCGCACTTGATAACACGAGATAGATTATGCTCCGCCAATCACCACCTCCCCACAGCATCTCCCCGGCACCCCCACCGCCCCTCTCCCCCGCCCTAGCACCCCGCATCAAGCTGGAATTCGACCGGGATGGATTCTGCGTGATCCCCAACGGTACCGTATACCATCCCCCACCTTCACCCCCACCCCCGTTCGCAGCTCACGCTGTCCCCACCCAGCGATCACAGAGGATGATGTGGATCTGCTGAGACGCGAAGCCGACGCGTTGTTCAATGCAGCAGACGTGGATGTCGTTGCTGAATTGGGGTGTATTGTGCGTCACATGGTCTTCGTGGGCTGGCATGATTGCGCGCGAGGAACCTCACACATGCGGTACGATTTCCGGCACAGATCGAGCCGGTCCCGGATGCGCACCGCGGAAGCCGGGTAAGGGTGGAGAGGGAGGTGTATATGGCGGCGAGGCGGGAGGGGGGTGCTGACGATGAGGGGAGCGATAGAGTTTTTGAGAGGATGGTGTGTGGGACCCTCGCGGGGTATGCCCGGGCTGTCCTCCTCCCGTCACCGAAACCCGGACCCCGCTTGGAAACAATCATGCTCGTAAGTTGACTCCCCGCTCTTTTCCCCTCCCCCATTCACTGTACGCGAAAACTCACATGGTGGGGGCGGGTTTGGCCTCGGGGGAGTATAACGAGCAGTATATTGTCAAGCCGCCGTTCCAGGGGGCACGCACGGCGTTTGGGTGGCATCGGGATGGGGAGTATGTTCGGGACGAGCAGCGAGGGGGCAGCGTGGCGTGCTGGGTCGCGCTCGATGATGTCGACGAGGTACAGTGCAGTACGTCTCATCTCCTCTCTTCTGCCCCCAATGGCGGGAGGAAGAGCTGCATGTTAAACCCCCACCCCGGTTTGTGTGTCCCCCAGACGAATGGAACACTGCACATCCAGCCCTTCACGGCCCCCCACTGCACCCACCAACCACCGATCGTGACCATCCGCGCCCAGGCTGGGACAATGGTCATACTCGCCTCGCACGTCATGCACTGCAGCACGCCGAATCTGTCGCGCCGGTTTCGGATGTGTTTTATGCCGCAGTTCTTCGTGCGTGGTGGGGGGGAGGGGGAGGAGAGGCAGGGGGATGCGGAGGGGAGGGAGGGGGTGGGGTTGGCGATTCCCTGTTGACCATTTAGAATAGAGGGGAAGACGGGTGGAGGGAACGGAAGAGGTGGTGGTCTGGTGGATATATACGAAACGGCGTATTCGCCCGCTTTTTGGGAGTTGGATATGTGGAGTAGATGGTTTTGCTCTTCAGATCTGGATTGGAGGCACGCCACACAACAGCAGCAAGAACGCTCCACAGTCCCGGGCCAAGTCATATTCCTCGTGCGGGAATGCGCCCATCGCACATCGGCATTTCGGAAACAAGGAAGGGTCGTCTCTCCGGGTCGGGTTCGGAGCTTCTCCCCATCGCAAAGGGGAGACGGTTTGGAAAGATGTAGAGAATCGCAAAACATTCGCCCCGTCGATGGTTTTCGAGAACTGTCACCAAGAGGGCCCGTACGCGTCGCGCAAGTGTTGGTTTCTGGGTGGTTTGGTTGAAATCTACCGGTACGGTACGCAGGAGACATTGCGTTGCTGGCATGCCAGCGAACATATCACGCGGAACGAATTGTCATCGTCGACATGGAAGACTCGATCGACGCTCCGTGGGGTTTTCCGAATAGGTTTCTCGCGTCGGTTTGCCATAGAGGCATATTCCGTGACGCAGGCGGGACTGATCAGAAAAGGAGACGCATCCAGTACATCGATTCCTGGGATGGTTGTATTTCGGCACCGTGCAAAAGCACTTGCTTAATGCTGTTTCCGAGGCGATCGGAGGGAGTCTCGAGTGGTGTATCTGCCTCCTAGAAGCGGAAGGAGGGCAGTGCCAGTAACTGCCAAATACACCAGGCTATACAGACAACATCAACCTAGGCGTTGAATGCCTGTAATCCATTCCGACATTTCAAACAGCGGACTGTGCGCGCCGAATTCATGAAGGTCGCTGTGCAGCATGCTGCGACCTTACCTTTTCAACTCTGCATTCCCTCTCCATCCGCCCATTTGCTTTCTTGTGACTTGATTGCTCAGCCAGGCAATGGTTCCTGTTTTCTCTCCATGTTCCTCTTCGCTTTCACCTGCACGCCACTCGGAGTATCCGAGAACCCCATCCACACAACATGCCAACCCCGCGCGATGCCGTCGCTCCCTTTCCCACCATGCATGGACTTTCGCAACGATGTCGGTTTTTCCGCGCGAGGCCCAAGTTACTCCCCCCAGCCGTGGAAGAAGTATACACTGACCACCAGGAGGCAAAAAAGCTCGACGATGGATTCAACTAATGTACAGTCTTCAGTAGTGGCGACTGGGAAGGGGTGTTACCCCCAAGGCAGAAATGCCACATTGGCGCGTGTTTTTGCGAACACTTGCCTGGCTACGGTCAGCGAATGTGTAGAGGATCTAGTGCCGCCATAAGAAAATATACATTGTGCTCGTGTAATACATACTGTGCGCAAAAATATTCCTTCCATAAGGGAGTTTCCAATTGTTGTTGGCAGTAGGTGGCGCTTCATCTTGAAAGCCATCGAACGAGCGGGTTTGGTGTGAAGGCGGAGGTCATATTGACCCGCTTATGTAAACGCGTCTCCGCCCATTTTGCGTTTTTGTTGACGGGGAGCCCGATGTTTGCTCTGCTCGACGTAACAATCAACAAGCTACGTACCCAATAAAGCAACACCTTGACATAAAACTTGGGCTAATTTAAGGTTGGCAATGGAAGCGTCCTGAGTTTCTGCTATTGCAAAACGGCATTATATCGTATCCACACGTACCCATCACCCGACCAACAGGACATGTCCGGCGTGGCTTCCTTTCAAAATCCCTTACGTTCAGCGTTCAACTGTTTCCCACATCCTCCTCCTGCTCGCCTTTCAGAAACCTGCTTTCTCAACCTACATCGCTCGAACGGCAGAGGATGGTGCACACCGCGGGACGTTGGGCTGCACGCCCGGGGCTTCAACGCATTTGCTTGCTGTGGATTGGAATGGTGACTTTGCTCGCGGGCACGGCAAATGCGGAATTGGCAGGGCTCACCACGCTAGATGCCGATGCCGTCTTCAAGACGACTGCAGCTCGTAGGTCCCATTCATTCGCGGTGCGTATTTGGGGGGCCATTGCTAATTGGAGGGGAATGATTGTCCCAGCCATCAACTTTCTTGCATACTCAAGCTCTGCAATAATGTCGTACGGGGATGCTCAATATGCCACTTGGTATGGGAACAATGGCAACGGCACGTACCAGGTATGTGCGTGGTGGGGTTCACATCCATGAAGGCACATCCGAATCAGTTTTACTCATACATGTATATCAAAATCCAACCATCTAGGGCATGATTGCCAGGCGAAGGCTGCATCCCGTGGGCAACTGGGAGATCACTACTCTGCCATTCAGCATAACTTCGTCCGGTTTCGCCGACTCCCGAAACAGTCTCTCGATGGGAATCTCCCCCGGCGATGGCCGGATCCATATCACGTGGAATTTGCACGACTCGAAGTTGTATTACCTTGCGAGTGAGCAAAATATGGTCAATCCGGTGGGAATAGCACGGTCCTGGACCTCAAGCAGGTTCAACAGCCCCCGCAACGACCTCTTAGGTTTGGTCATCGAGAACAACATTGCCTATTCATACTTTGTGGCCAGCCCAGTTGGCAACCTTCAAATGTTCTACCGCGTCGGTAGTTCTGTGAACGGCACGCTGAATTTGGCCGAGTTCAACGGCAGCGTGCCGACCAATACCAGTTGGACCAGACTCGGCCAGATCGCATCAAGCACCTATGGCACCTACACAACGCCAAGTGGCAAAACGAGCGGCCCAACCGATACCAGGGCCTTCTTCATGCACGGGGCCACATATTCCACCACGAACGGCAAACTGCACATCTACGGGACTTGGCGGGAGGGGAACAGCAGCTTGCAGTGTTCTAACACCGGTGTGGCAAACCACGACACCGTCTACGTGAACTCGGCCGACTACGGGAGAACATTCAGAGCTGCCAGCGGGTTACTGATATCCACTACTGGGCAGACCACGGGCACGCTTACGGTGGACGATGCGAGTACGATCATTGATACCTTGGGCCCCGATTACGGGCTTACGAACCAAGAGTCGCAGGTCGTGGACAGCAAGGGGGCGCCTTTCGTGTTGATCTCGTACGTTCCCGGCCGGTTCACCTCCTGCGTGACCGATTTCGTAGCAAATCGAACCTCCTACGCTCGTAACTTCCTCATCCGGAAAGTCGGAACCAACGCGTTCAACAAAACGGAGATCCCGTTCGCCCTGAACTCCTCGATGCGCTCCCAGCTGGTCCTCGACAAGAGCGATAACGCGTATGTTGTGAGGCCGGATTTCAAGATCCTGCGCGCCACGGCCGCGTCGCTGTATAGCGATTGGACCGTCCTGTTCAACTTCGCAGACGTTTCCGTATACCCGTTCAGCGAGCCTACGATCGATAAATCACGAGCGGCTTCCGACCAGATCCTTTCCATTCTATTCCAGACCCCGAACGGAATCCAGGTGGCGGATGTCGCCATGAAGCCTAAGGAAGTTTAGCGATAGGGATGTTTCTGCTTATACCCCGGTTTTCCTTTTCTTCTTCTGTTATTTCTTTTTTGCAGAGTTTAGTTTAGACATTTAGCACATCACGGTTAGCTCTCGGTTTGGCCCTCGTTTTGCGTGGTAAACATGCTAAGCAAACCCTTACATCGGGCCCCGTTCAATTCTTAACTCAGCCACCCATAGGTGTTTGTTAAACAGACACTCTCATAACCTTTTGTGTTCCGATGGACCCATTCCCGCTGCAGCCGTTCGCAAAGGGCAACGGAAGCTGGTATGTTCAACATAACGCGTCAAGGGAAAGGCCAGTGCTTATGCCAACGCGTTCAACAGCAGAGGACGCAACTGGACCCAACGCGAAACTCCCACGTTCGAACTCAGACACAGCCGTATGCCAAAATGCACGCCCCAACCCCTCACTCTCCCATATGGTGTCGAGCGGAGTGGCAACAGGCGGTCAGGGGCAGCGGACCGTAGTGCCGCGGGAAAGAGCGGCGGAGCAGGTCGCGCGGACGAGGGGTAGGTCCATGAGTGCCGGGCGGGGGCGCAAGAGAGCTGTGTGCCGGCGAGAGCGTGCCTCACAACCCATTACCGTCTCCATCTCCAGCACCCCTTCCCGCCCCACCGTACGCGCACCCACACCCGCAGATGCACAGCCGACGACGCTGCACATCCCCTCCCCCGCCGGCCTCCTCACTCTCCCCGTCCACCGCAACCTTTGGCACCTGCACCTAACCATCCACCCGCTCACTGCGCACCATCTCACCGCACTGTCAAACTTCACGGCTCTGGGATTACTCAACCTGTCGTATACGGATGTGGATTTCGGGATGTTGCAAAACTCGTTGCGGGGGGTGGTGGTGTTCCGGCTGTGGGTTGTCGGTTGCGGGAGGCTTGTTGGTGGCGAGCGGACGGCGGTTCGCGGGGCCGAAGGCGGTACGGATGTTGGCGGTGAACCCGACATCGCCCAAGCCGACCGTCGCGGATTCCTCCTCACATCCCTCCCGCGCATCTGGTCGCTGGACGGCGTCGTCGTCACATGGCGTGAGCGGCGGCTGTGGGGCGCCTTAGCTGAGAGCTGTGGATATGCTATCGCTCGAGGTGTCAAGGCGGGTGTGAGGTCCGCGGCTCAGGGCGTGGGGCTCGCCGTACGCAGCCGGTTTGTGGATCTTGTGCGGAAGGAGTTTGTGCCGTTAGAAAGGGGATGGCATGCAAAGGAGAACGACGACCGCGTGGACCCGGTGTTGTCGGCATCCCAGCAGGCAAGAATCACTTCGCCAACGGCGCATACCCTCCTCGCCACCCATCCGCACAACTTTACGATGGGTGTCGAGGAAGATCTTGCCCGGTTACGTGTGCTATGCAAGGATGTGGAACTTTCCTTACATCAGTCGGGACTGGATGTGGACGGGCTTGTGACGGAGGTGGTATTGGGTGGTGATGATTTGGGGAAGATCAAAGAGGGAAGAGGGGGGACATGGATAAACACGCCGGGGATCACCACACGGACAACGTTACTGCTGCTTCTCCTCGCATCCTTCTTCCCGAAAGCTTTTTTGAACGTCCAGTCCACGTTCGAGACTCTTTTCGGTGCCGGTTCAGATCATGCAGCCGGCTACGAGGATGACGGTGCCGGGGTTGAAGATAGAGAAGGGACGGAACGCCACTGGACAACCACTCTCGCAAGTCCCATAACTTGGTGTGTGCGCGACCGGCTCGCCTTGCTGGGTCTCCTTGTTGCAAGGGGGTGGATAGATCACGAGAGTGGTAGGTATCTGTTTCCCTAGTTTCTCGTCGATTTTTTCTCACCTGCACTTCATCCTTTTAAACCACCAGAAACATCCAAAAACCCGCATACCCCCCTCCTCCCGGCGAACAGCCTGCACGCCATTACCCGCTTCTCGCAAGTTGTGCTCGCTTCCACTCTAGCTCACACTGAGGCTGGCGCTGCACCAGTCACGTCGACGTCGATGGGTGCTCGGCCAGCTTCCGCAGGTAGAGGCGCGTCGGCACATAGGGGCCACGCAGTCAAATCTGTATCACATCCCCGGGCGTCTACACGCACCGAACCAAAATCAACGGACACACCCAAACCAACCACGCTCTACATCCCACAGCTGCGGATATACACCCACCGCCGCGCTCTGGCACGCCTCCAGCTGGACATTTTACAGTTATGCTGCCTGGATGAGCGGAACGATCCTTCACATAGTCGCAACTCCCAGGACGCCAATGAGAATGACGGAGGGGTCGGTGATACGAGCATCGCAACGTCATCAGCGACGACAACGAGTGCCCGCGCCGCCGATTTTCTGACGCGGGTGTTGGGACCCCTCAGCGTGGTCTTGGAGCGGTCCGCCGGCGTGCTCCTCGCACCCGCCCGACCCACGAAGCGAGGGAATGCGGGGCAGGCGAAGGCCCACATCCAGCAGAAGGTGCCAGGCGGACAAGTTGATCGCGCCGGATTGGAGGTCGGCGGAACCGCAACCACGCACCCGAATCTGCAGCCCACCCCGCCCACCTCCCTCAATCGGCCGCCCAATGCCACCTCATCCGAGACGCTGCGGAATCAGATAACCAGCTTTGCATCCGAATGCGCACTCGCGTCCACCGCCGTCGCCGCGGGTCTCACCGCCGACTCACGACACGCGCACGCGGACCTGTCCACGACGGCGCTGGCGCTGCAGATGAAGTTTCGCCTGTGCTGTTTGTGTCAGCGGGTGTTGGATGGCGGTGGTGTGGACGGGGATGATAGCGATGATGAGGGCGGCGATGGTGCGGGGTGCGGTGGTGATGACGGAGACATTTGAATGGGTCAAGATGATATGTTTGGTTTGCCCACACGAGCCATTACGCCATCTTGTGGAAAGTGGATATGGTAGGCGTTGTGGTTGTGTAAGTAGGATGTAGGGAATCGGGGAGGACTCGGTGAACAGAAAGGGAATGAACGTGCGACGCTTCCCCGTTTCCCTCCTCCCGTATCTCTCGTTTGCTCATGAGCGGCGACCCTTTCCATATGTACGTCAGCAGCCGCCCAATTTCGACAGCGCGGATCATGTCAATTCCGGGGGTAAAGACGGCATCTTTTGTCGTGCAGATCGGGTTTTGAGCCCTCTCGAAATACGTCTCCAAATGTATGGGCACTGGGACTTTTTGGCAGCTATCGTCGGAAAGGGTGCGCTATCCCATCGTCTGTAGATGTATTGTATTCAGGACACAGTTACGAAGGAAAAAGTCAGCCTTCTGTAGCAAGACACTTTACAGCGTAGCATGACATGTGAGGGGTGTTCTCCAGTTTGGGCATGGAATGATCCGCGCGCGCGTCGCCCAACCAGATTCACCACGGAGGCCTCCATTCCCTCTGACAGTCTGTGACCGAACAAGAAGGATGATGTCAACGTGACGTCAGCGGCTTCCAATTCAGGAGAAACGCGCAACATACACCACGGAGAGAGACTTAATAGTGACCTGCATCCAAGGCTCATCCGCGTGGGACTTCATAACAGTCCGATGAGGGCTAAGCCTCAACGAAGGGTCATAACATGCAGTAGGTGGCCATGGCTCGAGAGTCGAGATCGAGAGAACGGAAGGAAGGAGAAGGGAGAATGACCGCAAACTGACGCCGCCATTCCGTCACATCCTGCCATCGCACTACTACTGAGACAGACCCCTGGAAGTATGCATGTACTTCCCACCCAGCCACCCCACCCACTGAGTGATGATATTAGGGTTACGGTACGTCGTCGTTTTGCTGTGTACTATTTCGATGTGACTTTTTTTGTCATCCACCCTGCGCAATAATAACAATATCGCCGAGAATCCCAATCCCTCCTCCCACTTCCCTTCCTTCCCCTTCCCCTTCCGGTGGGTGTGGTGGTGGTCCTTTCCATTCGGTGTGCGGCTTAGCAGCTGGGGGGTTTGGTTACTCCCACTTGCCCCCTGTCGAATATCATCCTTTCTCGCTGCAAAATATTTATAAACGCAGCACATGCGCACGGGGCTTGGCTGCCGACAAAGAGAGTGAGAGAGAGAGAGAGAGAGTGACAGGAAAAAGAGCCAACTGATCAGCAGCAGCAGCGGGGCCCCCTCCGTCCGCATATTCACACGTACCACTGGCAACAGTCGTGTTCCGCAGCCCTCCCTCCCGTCATCGGAGGCTCATCCCATTTCCACTAAGAAAGGCTCAGAGGGCGGCGGGAGATCTCGTTTCTCGTCCTCCCATTCATTCAGTCAACGCGTGAGTGGCATGGAGAATACTTGTTTTCCGTCCGTCTTCGAAGCCCCCCAAGCCCATCCCAATGGATATCTAGATACCTATTCATCTCACCAAATAATCCCACCCCTTTTTTCCCAACTGCCCACAACGCCTTTGATCACTGTCAAAATAGCGCACGCTGTATACGCATCATCCCCTCCGCACTGCCACACGGAAGACTCGATATTACTATATTCTGAACAGACTGCATCGTTTTAGGGGACGGATGTCGCTTCGTTTCCCTGCTTCCTCTCGTCCTTTCGCCTCTTCCAAATCGCTTTTTTTTCGGACGGATCTTTGCGACATCGAGACATTTTGAAATACCTCTTTCTCCCACGGGATCTCGACGGAAAGGAAGTGTCGGCCGCCATCACCCCCTCTCGCCTTGCTGCGATCCCTTACGTCGTAGTCGCCATCTCTCGCTCGTTTCGCCGTCGTCGCCGGGCGGTCCTGGGAAAGCAAAAGGCACAGATCTCGCACTGTCGTTGGAAGTTTCCGTACATCTCGTCGGGTGTCCGTTGGGGAAGGAGGCAGCAACGTTTGACATTCCGAAAAGGTAAAGTGCCCAGTATTCATCCCACCCCTCGTGTCGCTGCCGTCCGCATTGATCTACATGCAATCGACGCTTACTGTGCTGCCGTCTCGTCCGGGTTCATCTCCCAGATCAATCGACACCTTACCGCGCACCCCAACATCCACCCAAATGCCTTCAGCAACAGTAATGCCCCCACCACCCCCCCTCCCCGCCTACACCTCCTCTCCCTCCTACACCCCCTCCAACCACACAAATCAACCACCTATCGCAGCCGCCGCCTCAACATCCCACGAATCCCAGAATCATCGATCAATTATCCTCGACCATCGCCATATGAGTCATACGAACGAAATGGGGTCGATGTCACCTGGGAAGATTCCGAATCAAAAAGGTGTTAATGCGGCGGGAAAGAGAGGACATGGGGAGATGGTTGGGGATCGCGGCGCGAATGGAAATGCGAACGCACCACCACCTCCGTCGACAACACCTGCGTTAACGTTAACGTCCACATCGACGTCACAGAAGCTGTACCAACTCCCGTCGTTGTCCTATATGCTCAACGGGTTGAATTCTGAGGGTGGGGATAGGGAACGGACGCCGGGCGTGGACAGACGGCCAAGAACGCCTGCCAATGTGAATGGCCACGGCGATGCGGGAGACGCGGGACGGTCATCGAGCGCCACAGCTGCCAACGGCTCGCGGTACGGTCACGACAACGGGGTGGGAAATACCAACGGGACCGCAAACGGGGCAGCGGGGCCGATACCGATACCGATACCGATGCCGAGTTCATCAACATCATCGACGTCATCCTACCCGTACTCATCCGCACCGACGAATACCATTTCGGCAACACATCCGCCGCGGGCTTATCAACCCATCGCGTACCCGCAACCCCTACCCGCCCCCCAACAACGAAGATCGCCGTCGGTGCCCACGTTGACGTTGCCGAGTTCTGTGGCGGCGGCTGTTACGACTGTTCCAGGGAATGTTGGGTACGCGCGGGATCCGTTCTTCGCGACTTCGTCCGCGGGTGGGAATACGATGGCGGCGACGTCCGTGGTCCCAACACCGGCGTTGAATGGCGCTTCGATCGGTACCGAGTTTCGGCGGTTTTCGGCCGACGACACCCGCGCACGCCTGTTCGACCCAGCGAACCTCAACCCGAATCATGTTCCGACCACTGCGGGTATGGGAGACGAGACGGAGGCGTACCGCCGGATCCTTCCCCCACCCACCTTCCATCAACAGCAAATTCAGCAACAGACCCAGCAGGCCAATCTCGGCAACCACCCCATTTATGCGAACGCGAATGGGCTGCAGCAACGGTCGGCGTCGGTTGGGGGGCATGTCGCGCAGATGCAGGTCGACGGCGGGCAGGGGAGGGGTGCGGGTCAGGGACAAGGATACTCTGCACCACAACAACCGCAACACCAGCTCAATGCGCTGAATGCATATAACCCTCACCAACCGCCGCAATCCGCAGAATACGACCCCCGCCGACGGGATGCTCCCCTCCAACAACAACCACAACAGCGGTACACCAACGGCGAATATGATCCCACCCGCCCGCCGACGCGCATCCCTGTGTCGGTCGCCGCGGGACATGTCCAGGGCGGCCAGGAATATGAGATGCAGAGACGACGGTCGGACGCGTATGCAAACGCGTTTCAGCAACAACCGCAAGCACAGCAGTTCCAACAACAACAACAACAACAGCACTTTGTCTACCCCCAGCAACAACAACATCAGTACGGTCATTACGGCGTGGCGTATCAGAATGAGCAGGGGGCGTATCACCCGCACCAGCAGCAACCTCAACAGGGGTACAATCCACACTACCTCTACCCACCGCAACACAGCCAAGACCCCCACCAACAACAACCCCGCACAGCCCGCAGCGACAGCCACGTCTCCGTCGTCGTCTCCGATCCCATTTCCCCCGCCGCCGTCACGTCCAAAGAGGATTCCTCCTACCCCCCGGTCCCTTCCGGACCCGTCTACGGCCGATACCCACCACCACCACCACCACCACCACAGCAGCAGCAGCAGTATGGGTATGATATGCAGGCGCATCATCAGATGCAGGGCGGGTTGTTGGATGTTCCGAGGTATCAGGGGTATCAGCATTCACAGCAGCCGACACCGCATTCGTCGAGCGCGGAGGACGAGAGCGGGAGGGTGGGGCGGGGAGGCACGTTCCCGCGGCCGCCCCCGATCATCACCACCCATTCCACTCCCCCCGCCCCATCCTTAAGCACCGCCGGGCGGTCCCCTTACTCCGCCACCTCCACCTCCAGCACCGTCGACAGCCACACCCCGAACCCCAACTCCTTCTCCTCCACAACAACAACAAAACCCCCAAAACCACCCCGCCTCTACACCTGCCCCTCCCCGCACTGCCCCAAAACCTTCACCCGCCGCTACAACCTCCAGTCCCACATGCGCTGCCATTCCGGCGAACGCCCGTTCGTCTGCAAGTACTGCGCGACCACGTTCAGCCGGAAACACGACCTCCGCCGCCACTGCCGGAGCCTGCACACCGAGGAACGGCCCCACGCGTGTGGGTTCTGCGAGCTGAGATTCGCACGGAGTGTGAGTATCCCGTCTATTTTCGTTCATGCATCGCTTGTGCGGTTTGTGTTTGTGTGCGGATATGCTGATTAACGCATCGCCGGATTTGTGATATGATAGGACGCGTTGAAACGACACCTCGTCACCGAATCCCGCCGCGCTTCCACGACGCACCCGCCCTACCCCCCCGCGGCGTCCACCACCACCGCCCCGCGCGCGCGTCCCTCGTCCGCCACGCATTCGGAGGGACGGTCGCGGACGGCGAGCGCCGGGTCGATGACGGATGGCGACGGGGAGGGGGAGGACGACGGCGGGGGGAGTGATGCTTCGCGGTGACAAAAAAATTCAACAGACGTAGCATGGGGAGCCGACTGCACTGCACTTGCGTGTCCCGTTTTTGGAAACGAGGGGGGGGGAACGTTTTGGATGCATGTACAGTATCCGCCCCTTTTTCGGGGCGACGGATCGGAGTAGTTGTATATGCTGCATTATAATCATGACGGCCTGCGCTGTCCATACCCCGGCGCAGATCCGATCATCGGAATAAACATGTTGACGCGTGCTGACTGCGCTTATGTTTGCCGGCAGCAGATTTAGAGCTGTGGAAGCCTTGAGAGGGTGTGCTATCTAGTTTCTGCGATCTGCGTTGCTGTGGGTGGAAGGCGTGCTCCGCCAAGTCAGCATCAAGCATCCCTGTGGTAGCAACAGCCCAAATCCGCTCATCGGGGCCGCGGCGACTCCCACCACCCCGAGCGCCGTCACCGCCCATGCGATGCTATGCGGGATCTTGACAGGCCTCTTGGAAAGGTCACCCACGTCCTTGACATAGAGTTACATCAAATTTACAGCTATAAAAGCCGATACAGGATATTCTATTTTTCTATTCACTTTTCCTATCTGCATTGCTGCGGGGAAAAGGCGTGCTCCTCCAAGTCAGCATCCAATACCCTTGCGGTATCAACAGCTGGAACCTGCTCATCGGGCTGCGGTGACTCCTCCCACCCCCACCGCCGTCACCGCCCACGCGATGCTATGGGGATCTTGACGCGCTGCTCGGAAAGGTCGCCCACGTCCTTGACATAGACCTGCAAAGCCTGTCCGACTAACGCAAACGCCACGCCCGTGACCGTAAACCAGAACCCGTTGCTCTGCGCGAATAGCGACGCGGTCGGCGCCGTGAGGACCGCGGACAGGTTGATGTACCCCGAACGCACGAGGGTGAGGAGCGGGCGGCGTAGCGCGGGGACGAAGAGGGGCAGGAAGGTGTGGGTCAGGCCGGGGGTGAAGAACGAGTGAACTTGATGGACCGGAAAGGGGGCGCGGACTTGATGGAGATGTTGGTTGGGCGTTGGGGTGGGACGGGTGATGTTGATAATCAGGCCGCGGCTGCGATTGCACACCAAAGTGGGGTTGAGTGTTCTTTCTCAAAGAAAGAGGAGCGAGCGGGTTGCGTGTATTCATAGGGTTATAGTGGGGTGACCGGGTGGGCCAGTTAAATACACGTTGAAACGCATGCTCGGAACGCTGAGGCGGTTAGTTGTTGCTACGTACTATACGTAGCAGGCGCTCCTCCGAAGTACGTACACCGAAGCATCCGCTGCATGCAGGTATGGCAACGGGGGCATTGATGATGTTCCTTACTTACTTTTACCTGGAGATCTCAAGTATAATGTCAAGAGGCCTAGCGAATTGGGATGATGCGTCTGGCGGAAACCGGAAGCGGAGGCCGAAGCTCCGGTCGGAGGATGCTTGGAGTCAATTACGCGTCTGGACTGGACGCGTTGTGGCAGGCGCGAGAACACATCTCGTCGGAGGGTGTCGGAGGAGCCAACATGAACGTTCCATCAAAGGAAGCTTTGCTTGATCGATATCAATGGGTCCTTCCGAGAGGACTGCTGGAGATACGATGTATTTTTTCCTTCCTTCGTTATTCGGAAATTCTTTGTTTTCTTTGTTTCCTTTCCCTTAGTTGACAACGGACATTCGCTCCCGCCCCACTGTAAAAGGTTTGTGCGTCATCGGTGCCCTCCCTACTCACCGTATTCCCTCCTATAACACACTCCCAAATTACACCAACACAAAAATCCGTCTTCATTAGATCTGCAGCAATGATGAGTCCTATCAAGAATGTCATGTTGATTGGCGTGAGTGCTTTGAATTGTTGGCATCCTTACTTTTGCACCCCCAGAAAAACGAAACTCACACATATTTCTTATGTTTTCAGGCGGGAGGTAACCTCGGTCCCTCGATCCTCCAAGCCCTCCTCGACGCTCACTTCACAGTCTCCATTCTCGCCCGGGAAAGCTCCCAATCCACCTTTCCACCCACGGTCACCGTTCACCGCACCGACTATTCCTACGCCTCGCTTCTCGCCGTTTTCCAAGGCCAAGATGCCGTTGTATCGGCTCTTGGAAGCAGTGCACTGGAACACCAAAACGTGATCGTCGATGCCGCTGTCGGCGCGGGCGTCAAGAGGTTCATCCCCTCAGAGTTTGGATGTAACACGGTAAACAGGAAGGGCGCCGCCATCGTCCCGTTCTTTCAGGCAAAAGTCGATCAAGTGGAGTACTTGAAAAGGATGGCGGCTGCCCATCCTTCCTTTACCTGGAGTTCGGTGATCACGGGCGGATTTTTTGATTGGGTGAGCGAGGTTTTGCCCGCCCACATGCCCTTGACCGCACTCCCTCCAAAAGAGTGTACTGATGAAATCTCCTTGATGTATCATTTTCATGCAGAGTCTGAAAACAGGGTTCAGCGGGTACGATCTGAACAGGATGACGGCGACAATCTACGACGACGGCACCAGGCGCACGTCCACCAGCACTCTCAAAACCATCGGACTCGCCGTAGCGCGCACATTGCTCCACCCCGCCGAGACAGCAAACACATACCTGTACATCCAGTCGTTTGCCGTTTCGCAAAACGAGGTCCTTGCTGCGTTGGAAGCGGTCAAAGGCGTGGCATTTGCCGTGACACATCGCACGACGGAGGCGGCGCGCATGGAAGGGGCGCAGAAATTGGCCGCCGGGGATATCATGGCCGGGTATCTTGATCTGATCATGGCTGCGGTGTGCAGCCCTGGCACGGGGAATGATTTTGAGCAGGAGGTGGAAGGCGGCACGACCAATTCAATGCTCGGACTCCCAAAAGAAACGCTTGAAGAGGCCATCAAAGAGGCGTTGGCGTAGGGAACGACTACGTACGTGCTTTGGAATGTTAGCTAGATCTGGGGATGGTGTGCTTTGAGTATCTTCGACGTTAAATCTACATACGCTATCGTGGTCTACGTTGCAGTAACGACTTGCTAAACTTTGACAAGAAGAAGAAGGCGACCAGGAAATGTATGCACACGGCTGACCCGGTTAGCAGTGCCAACTCGTCGCCGGTATCCTGGGAGAAGCCATAGGAAGTGAATGCAACGGTTAATTCATCACCCATTCGCAAGGGGCTTTCATGAATGCCAAGTGCGGCAAAGTGCGGCCTGACTTACCTCCAGAAACCCCAGGACTGGCATCATCTGCATCAAGAGAGCGGTCGTATCGAGGACGACCAATGCAGTTACAATCACTATCAGCTCGCGACCCAGTGCGTGGACATTCACCGGTTCTTGCAGCTCTTTGCTTTGGCCCGTCATTGCAGAGGTGGCGGACGCTGTTATCGAATCTCCGTGCTTGCTGAGTACGGGCTGATCGCTTGCCGTTGACCATTGAGGGAGATCGCGGTGAATCTGGCGGAAGGTATGCACCATGATTATGGTGAGGGACGCATCCACGACGATGATGGCAAGCCAATGTATATACTGCATTTAACGAAAGGGGACGGAAGTGAAGGATGTCGTTAAAAGCCCCGCCCTCAAAGGAATGCGTCCCAAAGCTTAAAGATATCAAGACGTACCAAAAAGCTGCCGAACGCCCATCTTAGTGTCGGATGGTCGACCATGTACGGGACCCACAACAAGAAATGGCCCGTGTAACCCAGCACTGAGATGCACATGGCCCAGATGCGCAATCCCGGGACAATCTTGGTGGACCATCCCAGCACGGGAATAAACATGTCGAAGCGCTCCACCAACGTCAAAAAGTAGAGTCCGCCTCCAAAGTCCGACCCGAAATTGGACGCCGCCGTCGTCCACCAGTAAGCGCTCCACACGCTGTCGAACGTCCACTGCTGACAGCGGAGGTCACGCACGCAGACGACACCGATCGCGGAGGCTACGACATTGAGGATTTGCCCTGTTATCGCGAAAACGACCGTCAGGAGTGACAGATAGCGAAAGGGATGTCGAAGCCCTCCCCCGCTGGCGCCGCCCCACGCTTTGAGAGCCCAGACGAATCCGCCAACGCATAATATGATCGATATAACCGCCACGATGACGACACATATGAAGAAAGGGGACTTCCATGATGTCCCATCCATATTCGTGCCTCCAAACGATTGCGGTAAGATGAAATGTCTGCAGGCCAAACGCGGTCAAAAGAGGGGGATGCAAAAATGTAAGGGCAGGTGCAAAAAACTTCGGGGAATAAGGAAAAGGGACAGCAGGGATGCCGTGGCGTGTGTTCTTAAAGGACAGGATCAACCCATTTTCGTCAGATGCAGACTTGAACCGCGGGCGCACCGCCGGCGCACGTATCCCAGGAATGACAATGCCTGGTCACCAGGAATAGGCCTGCCGAAGAATGGGCCTCCGGTTAAGGTTCAGTTCCGCGACGAAGATTAAGGTTATTGGGCACGCGTTCACGGCGCCTTGACCAGAGAGGTATAAAAGAAACCTTGAATACTCCGGAAGACTTCAAAGATGGTGTGTACGGCCGGAAAAAGACCTTAAGCGTAGACTCTCGAATCAGAGCTTCAGATGGAAACGACGATCCTGTACCTGTAATGCTTTGCTCGCAAACGCCGGTCACAGGACAGATAGGGGCCGGGAAAACGCGATAACTCTTGAATAACATGCCGTTTCTATCTATAGCACCCGTCATCGGGGCTCCAATATGGTAACCGGGAGGCCCCAAGCTATAGTAGAGTTCACGCCGTAACCAAATCCTTTATTCTCGGGCAGCGTGATGAGACCTACCTGTGGTCCTGTATAACATTGACACCCGATGCTGTCGCACCTGCGTAATAGCCGCAATTAAGCGGAGTACCGGTAGGGGAATGCTCTTCTTAAAGGGCCTACTCATAGCGACATTTATGCAAACTTGGCGTTCGGCCGCCGGCGAATCGAATCTTCCTTAAGTGGTTGGCGTCCAAAGGCGGAACTTGAATGGAACCCTGGTTCTTTCCGGCGGAGTTGCAACCAGCCGTAAGTTTTGTTTGAAGGATCAAGAAAGCAAGCCGGACGCCCGCTCGGTTTCCCGACCGACGAGCGGTGAGCAAAATGTCGAGAGCACGGGAGGATGGTGTTCCACGCCAGCGCACGGCAAGTGTTGACATACTTCAGCGATGTCGCGAAGCAGGAACCATCCACCAGCCCGGGCCCTGAAGCAGAGGAGAATATGGAGGGCTGGGGCAACTGGCGGACGAGAATGGCCCGGCGATGCGAACTGATGTTGTGACATAGCAACGAGATCGGTATCCCTCGGGAGAACCGATGCGGACTTGACCTCAATTGGTACGTATGAGGAGGCAGTCGACGGCATGCATGATTCGATAGGTTGCCCGATGACAGGTTTCCGGCTGTCTCGGGAGCTTCCAACACCCACCCCCCAGGATCTCGGTAAGCCGCGGAGGAAATTCTCACTTGGGAGGAGGCAGGATAAACTATTCGATAAGCCAAACGGAAGGTCTCGGCAACCTCTCAATCAGCTCTCGACCCCAACTCAATCTACTAATTAATTGGGAGGTTGAATACCATAAGCGAGTCTTAGATTAGCACTGCGAAATTCACGCGAGTGCCCGAGGACAAACGGGGCGCACAGCGAACTGGATATTTCAAGTCCGTCATCATCCCAACTCCGGTTCAAACGTCTGCCGCTCTGCACGGCAGCCCTCCCTCCTCAATCCTCAACTGCTTGTGCGAACGTCAGCATGCCACCAACACAAACTACTGCGACGCCTCCCGAGAAGAGTGGCAGTGGTTCGCAAAACGCCGCTCATACCAATAGCCGGTTATGTTCTCTCAGCCCTGAAATTCAGGAACAGATCTTGACCTGGCTGTCATCAACAGACGACTGGTGGGCCGTAACAGGCAGCTGCCCTAGTCTAGAAGGGCTCCGTACTGCCCGAACTTTCATGCAGGTGCTTCGGAACCAATAGAAAACCATTGGCAACATTGCTGACTGGGTGAAAGGAAACCGACAACACACTGGGTCGTCGACACCCTTTTACCAAGTCTATTCATCGACGATATTCACGCCTCGGCAAACCCGCCTATTCTGTCCCTGAGCACTTTCCTCTTCCGCGGCGAAGGTTGTAAGAGTATTCTCGAATGCGCACTGAAAAAGGTGGTCACATGGCCACCCCGCGACAGAGACAACGAATCGCAGCGTTGCGTATCCACCGTCATTTGGCTGGATCTTCAGAACGATGTCATAGATTTTTTAATCAGCAGAGGCGTTTTCGAAGCGAGGAATCTTTACTCTGCGGCGTTTTCTCAAGCACACTTGAGGATCCTCGAAAAAGGCTTAGCGGACGGAGTAGCACCCGGCTACAGTCATATGAAGGGGGACACTTACTACAGCAAGGCCATTGACCTAGTCATCGCTTACGGACTGCCGCCAGACGGGAACACATTATTACGCGCTTGGCGCAATCCTGAGGCGATAAAGTACATTTTCGGGTGTATTACAACGGCAGGAAGGCGCTTGAATGCGGCAGACATGGCTGCAGCGTTCACTTCCGCTTGTGAAGGCTCCGATGTCGGCCTTGTGGAGTTTTACATAGAGCAGGGGGCTGATGTGAATCTGGCTTCCCACGAGCCTCCGTCGGTCCCGCTTGTGGCAGCTCTGAAATCTGCTTACAAGGGTTGGGACATTGTGGAGATCCTCATCGATCATGGGGCGAAATTTGACGATCCTGATATCTTGTTGTGGGCTATCTTCAGAGGAAACGAAGAATGGATTCGTCGCTTTATCGATTTTGGTGCACCTCTTTCAAGGCGGGCCTGCGAAGCGACCATGGCAGAGCCACTCGACCCGGAGATATTTCGCCTGTTATATTCGACTCCCGACGGAGCCAAGAATCTCGCAGACCCTAACATGCAGCACCTCATGATGTGGCAGGCAACCAAAAGAGGTCGTCTCAACTTCCTCAAGATGTTCCGGGAAGAGTTTGGCTGGGACTATTCGTCACCGGAAAACTATCAAATGCTGGTCAACTATGCGAAGGCCAAACCTGATGTGTTGGCGTATCTGGAACAAGATCGACCTGTGGCCGTATAGTGTAATAACGATGTACATAGTAGGTACATACATGCTGAGCGGAATGCTCGGAATATCGCCGCCCCAGAAATCGTGAGTAACAAGCCAGCTGTACGGGATAGTCCCGTTCGAGGAATTCCTTCCAAACCATTGGACTACCAGCCAAAGATACCAGGCCTCGGGCAGAAGTACATAGATCCAGCCATGTGCGCACTGTGAGGAAGAAAGCGAGACGTTCAACTGTCGTCACCAACAGCAGCAGCGTGGTCCTCGGAGACTTCGTTGGCACCGCCGCAGCAGACGTTGGGGGGTCAGTGACGGTAGTAGTGGTTGGCATTTGGGGGTAGGACGAGCTACAGAACTTGCTGTATGTGCGGCGTCAGGCTACAGAACTTGCAAGCGTGGTTAAGATCGACAAAAGCGAAAACGGAGGTATGCCATTGGCCGAACCTGCTGCGAATTTCAAGTTTGGAGAGGCCAGCACCAGCGCCCACCTGCTGTACATGCACTGTCACAGTTAGCTTATCCTAGTAAGACGAAGGTTACAGCGGGAGACCACGGATGTGCCGAAACCCTGAAGTAATGTCAATACTTGCCGTACGCTGGCGTAGAACACCATCCTCCCTTGCTCTCGACACTTTGCTCACCGCTCGTCGGTCGGGAAACCGGGCGGGCGTCCGGTGCAGTGACACCTCCTTCGGGTTGGCGTGGCTTGCTTTCTTGATCCTCCAAACAAACCCACTTCTGGTTGCAACTCGTGACGGATTAGTTGGGATCAGCAGTGCGAACCAAGCCACGCCGAGTAGGAAAAGATACGATTTTAGATTGAATCAGGCAGGGTAAGCTAAGAGATTGGAGCCAAAGCCTTTCGACTCTCGGCGTATACCTGCAAGTAGTTGCACAAAATTCCGAATTCGAAGTCTTGTCAAACATAATCAGCGGCATACAATACTTTTTTCAATCTCGAATATAGGGCGCATGGTGGCTGGAGGTTATACATACGGGATCTCGGAGAGGCTTTCACGGAGTGGGGGTTTTGACTCTCAGGATAGAATTCGAGCGCCCCTCCCATGGGGAAGGGCAGTCTCCAATCACCACTTAGCTCGGCATCGGCAAGAGCCACCCCGGAAAGACCAGAATTTCAGTCTGACACTTTCTCAACACCGAGATACTACGAAAAGATATTATCGATTAAAGTATAAATTACTATGAGGCTCTCTGTTCTACGTCTACGTAGCGCATTGTAATCATGAGGAGTGGCTTGTCTATCAAGAAGTAATAACAAACTAGAGTATTGGTGAATGCATTCGCATTGATGCTCTTGCGCCATTTCTTCGACATTCAGCTACATATAGTTACTCAACCATTGTGCTTGCCGAACAACTTGAAGAAACCTCGCTTGGCCTTGTAGGTCGTCCTGATGGATTCAAGGGCATCATCTACCTTCAGAAGAGGGGAGGCATTCGATGCTTCGGCCCCCATCCTTGCAGCCTCGATAATACGCCCGGCTAACTTGTTGGTGAACCCAGGAGTGTGCGGGATTTGGTGTCCGATGTCATGGGTGACGACCTGACGCAACTCCGGCTGGTACCCACGTTCAACGTCTACGCTGCGCCGGAACAGATAGTCCTCGGAACTGACGACATGTACGGAAGGGACTTGAAGATATTTGCCGTCCGCGGCACTGCCCGAGTCACGGAGCCAGGAAGGCACAGCGGGCCCTCGAGCCTTGACGTGGCAAGCACTGATGAGGACACTGAACTTCCATTTCCGGGGAATGCGTCCGAACGTGACAAGGCGGTCGGCTAATTCGACGATGCTGGCGCCTTCCGAGAAACCGAGAATGCCGTCAAAGTCGCCTCCGATTTCGTACATCTTCTTCAAGATGTGGTTGACAGCGTTCAACGCTGTCTTCTCTCCTACATCGTAAGCTGACGATGGCAACCAGCGGTAGTAAGGACCTTTGAAATATTGAGAGACATCTGTTGAAAAAGAGCGCGGGTCAGAAGGGATTCTGCTCGGAAATAATCAAACGTCAAGGCTTACATGAATGGGTTTGCTTCCGCGGTCCATCGATGAAGTAGAATTCGACTTCATCCCATAGCTTCTCGCGAAGCGGTGCCAACTGGTCAGAAAGGATCTTTCCGCTCGTTTCTGACCCATGCAGGCACATGATTCGCAGCTTGCTTTTCGGCGAATTCTCCTTCGTGGACAATTCTGTTGCACTCCTGTTGGTGATGTGCTGGTCATCATCGGTAAGCATTGTCACATCGGCCGCGGCCAGATCGAAAACAACAGACTTGGGTCGATTAGGAATGATGGGACTTCTGGACCTTCGATTGACAGGTCCTTGAGACTTCGAACGGGTTCTGGATGACTCGACCAACAAAGCGCCAATGGTGGGGCTCTCGTAGAGAGCAGGAATCGTGAGCTTGATTCCATTTTGGGCGGCAGCTTGAATCATGCGAGCGGCAGACATCGAGTTTCCGCCTAGCTCGAAGAATGAGGTGTCCAGTTGCACACGTTCGATGTCACATTTTAGGACGGCCGCCCAAATTTGAGCCAGGCACTCCTGTTTTGAGCTGACGACACTTCGCCCCCGATCGCGACCGGTATCTTTTCGAGGCCGCTCCTCCCGGAGGTTTGTCGACAATTTTTTCTGCCTCTGTAGCTCATCCCGTAGTCGCCGCACGTCGGCTTTCCCGTTGAAGGTTTGTGGGAACTCGTCAATGGCAAAGATTTTGCCAGGAATTGCATAGTGTGGTAGGAACCCTATCAAAGTCTTCTTGATGGCTGCCAAGTCGACGTTAGAAGGGCTCACACATCCAATCAGAACATTTTCGTGGACGAATGCTGCAGCTAGCTCGACGCCGGCCCCCCGAAGAAGCGAGGTAGTGATTTCGTTGAGCCCGACTCGGTATCCATTGATCTTCACTTGCTCGTCAGTTCTGCCCGCAAATTCGAAATCGTTATTGTCGAGACGTCGGACAAAATCACCGGTGGCGTACATCCTGGCCCCGGCTTCATTGCTGAATGGATCTGGCAAGAACTTCTTGGCCGTCAGGCCGGCGTTTCCGATGTATCCAAGCGAGACACCAATGCCGCCAACGTAGAGCTGACCAGTTCCACCAACCGGAACATGCTGAAGATGTTCGTCCAGCAGGTAGTAGGAATTGTTGGCAAAAGGCTTTCCAATTGTGATGGGCATGCCAGGCTTTAACGGCTCCGTACACGATGTCGTCACAGAAGTCTCCGTCTGTCAAATACGTAACTTTTAGCAAACCCGGCACATCGATATAAACCGTCGAGACAACAACTAACCGCTCCATAGTCAACGTAAAAGTCAACATGATCACCCCACTTCTTGACAACTGAGTCCGGACACGCCTCCCCAATTGCCAACACCGCCTTGAGGTTGGGGAACTCCTGCGGCTCCATTTGAGCGAGTCCGGTGGGGGTGAAGTTAATGCAGTCAACCTTGCGGAGTGTCTTGAAGATGTCATCTTCTCGAAGGACGAGCGTGGCACCCGTGAACCAGGTACCCCAAATCTCCTGAAGTGCTCCGTCAAAGGCTATGCCTAGCATTTGACCGACGCGGACATTCGGCTTGCCATACTTCGTGAACGGATGTTGCAAGATATTGTTGACAACGCCTCGATGCATCACCATCGCTCCTTTTGGAGTTCCCGTTGTGCCCGACCTAAGTATGGAAGAGCAATCAGTCTCGTATGCCCTCGACATTCTCTCTGATTCAAGCCACGTACGTAAAAATGCAATAAGCGGTGGTCTTTCCTGTGCTCGTATCAACCAATTCCATGTTGCCTGGATGCTTGAGAAGTAAGTCTTCGACCAACAGGCAGCAGATGGACTCCTGGAGGGGTGGGAGAGCGTCGATGGCCCCAGCCGTAGTCAAAGTGACTTTGGGAGATGTAGTTTCCAAGATGTACTTAATGCGATCCTTGGGATACTCGGCGCTGACAGGTGTGCAAATACCGCCGGCCTTCAGAGTAGCTAGAAGGGCGATACCCATCTCGATGGATCTGTTCACAACTATGGCGACATATACGCCATTTTGTACACCGTGGGCACGGAGATGTCGAGCAACCGCCGTGGCTTGCATGTCAAGGTCCCGGTAGGTGATCCGACGTTGCCCAAACTCGATGGCGATGTTGTCGGGATGAGTAGTGGCACTTTGTTCAAATCCCTGATGGATGCAGTCGAAGGGCACAGGTGCCGCGGGGCCTCGAACAATCATCTGGTCGTCCTTGCGGTATTCGAGTGTTGTGACTAGTTGATCCGGAGAATCGGTCACAGCTTGAAGCAACATGGCGAATTCTTGCAAAAACTCTTCCACGAACTTGGATTCAAACAATTGAGAGTCATATTGTATGGAAACAAAAGTGGCCCCTGATGTACCACCGCGGGCATCGACGTTCAGGGTGAAAGGAAAGTGAGCAGTTGACGGAACCTCGTACTCCACTGAATTTTTGCACGAGAAGAGATTGTCCGTAGCCTCGAGCCCGGTCGTAGTGTTGTAGTCGAACATGAGCTGCAAGTCGGACGTTGTGATGCCGTTGGCGGTCATGACGGTCTCAAACGGAACGTCAATGTTACGCAAAACCCCAGTGACGTTGGCCTTTGTGGTACGCAGATTGTCCATGAAGGCGTTCGTCGCGTGGAGCTGTGCACGGAGCATGACGGTGTTGATGAAACAGCCGACTGCACTGAAGCCATCGGGTATGGCGTTTCGCAGGCTGACAGGTGTAACGATACCGAAGTCATTCCATCCAGTACGTCTGACCACAGAATGCAATGTCAACGACACTTCCAATCCCTGAGCATTTTCACAAGAAATCACGACATACCTGGCAATGAGGGACTCGAAAAGTGTCAAGTACGCTGCGAAAGGGGATGCCGACGCCTTCGCACACATCTTCAGGAAGCTTTTCACCGTCGATTGTTTTAAGGTGATTGGCTTTGTCCAGACAGCGATTCCTCTGGTACCGCTGGTAACGGCAAGGGTATCATGAAGCGGCACGGCAGAGAAGTTTTTCAAGTACGTTTCCCAGAAAGTTGATTGACTGGTCCAAAGCTGGCGAGAGTTGGCTTCGAGTCGTTCCCTTTGTTTTTCCATGATTGAGATAAATTGCGGTGCCGGCTCCAGCGTTAGAGATTTTCCGGCGACCAGACCCTCGTAAACTTTGGTAACCTCGTCGAGGAACAGATTGAGTCCCCATTCATCAACAGCGATGTGATGGCAATTGAGGTAGAGTCCAGTGCCGTTTGCTAGTCGGAATACGCGGAACCTGATAGGGAGCTCTTCAGCCAAGTCGTAGATGACCATATTGTTTTGATAGCAATATGTCTTTATTTTCGACACCGCATCAGAGCTCTTCGACAAGTCGATGATCTCAAAGTCGTAAGCCAAGTCGTCCCGCACAAACTGAACTAGCTCCGTGTAACTGGCATTCAGTCGATATGTGGTCCGCATAATGCTGTGGCGATTGCATGCGATTTCCATGGCTTGCAGCAAGTATTCACAGTTCAAATGTGCATCTGTTACCCAGAGATTGTCCAAATGATAAGCGTTGTCGCCGTGAGCAACTTGACCGGCCCACATGCGCTCTTGTGTGTACGAGGCCGGATACTCAGCTCCCGCCACGATTGTGAATTCTCCTTTCGGAACCGGCGGTTTTGTCCTTGCATCGTAGGGAGCAACGCTACCAAAATCAGGCTGACACTCAGATCCGCCGTGTAACATTCTTTGCTTGATCATGGCAGTAAGAGATTTGATTGACGTCTTCTCGGAGATGTCGGCGACCACCAACTCAATAGCGAAGGCCTTTCGGACCCTCACGATGAGCCGCATGACCGCGTATGATTCGAGTCCATGTGACGACAAATCGTCTTGGGGATCAATGTCGTCCGTTTTGAGCAGCTCCGTGAGAATCTTGAACACCTCCCTCTCAAGATGGCGTTGTGTTTCCGTTAGTGCGATGACCGAGGAGGGGTGCTGTTCCGCGACAGGCTGCCGCTGATCCTGGCGTAGCTTTTGGTCGATGAGCGCCGTCAGGGACCGGACAGAAGGATTCTCTGTGATCTCTGTGCCCATCAGATCGACCTGGAAAGTCTTTCTGATTCTGTGAATAAGCCGCATAACTGCATACGATTCCAATCCGTGGGCTGTCAAATCATCATCTGCAGAGATATCGTCGGCCTTCAGAAGCTCTGAAATCAAATTGGCAACTTCAGATCCAAGGTCGCGCTTCTCTTCCTTTCGAGCGACGACTGCACCCATTTGCTCGGTGAGCAACATATCGCAGAGAGACTGCACCGTGCGACAAGACTGCAGATGCTTGACGGTGGTGTCGAGTCCATGTATTTTGCGCGCACCGAGCACGAGGCGCATCATTCCATAAGAATCGAAGCCAAGACGGGCCAAGTCGTCTGACATACGGATGTCTTCAAGGTTCAGGATCTGGCATAGAGTTTGCCTTATCCATTGACTCAGATTTATGCCATTGGTATTGGCGTCAGCTTTTGTCGATTGCGGGGTGCCTGTTTGAGGAAGGTTCATCGCAAGAACTCTTTTGCGGTCGATCTTTCCAGATAAGCTCAATGGGAAGTCCTTCATGGCAATCAGCTTCCGAGGAACCATGTACGTCGGCAAGTTCTTCTTCACGTAGGCGTGGATCGATGCCAGCTGCTGGTCCTTGGATCCATCCGTGATGGGTCCAACAGACCCTGTGACGTCGTGGAATGTGACATAGCCGATCAAACTTGGCTTATGAGTGCTGTGTAGTAGAACACATGCGTTTCGAGTCTCGTTTGATGCCTTTGCAAGCACATGCTCGATTTCACCGAGCTCCATGCGGCGACCGTTCAACTTTATTTGGTTGTCCAATCGCCCAAAGCACTCAAAGCGCCCGTCGGGAAGCTTGCGCACTAGGTCACCTAATCAGCGTGGAGAAACGAGAGCAAGGGTTATTTTGAGATTGAGATAAATATTTCATCAACGGAGTCTTACCAGTGAGGTACAGACGCTGGTTCAAGGGAGCCGGACCGTCGATAAATTTTTCCTTTGTGAGATCCTCTCTGTTAAGGTATCCCCTGGCGACATGACCTCCAGCGACAGCTAGTTGACCTTTGATACCGATGGGCACGACATTCATGCGCTCGTCCACGACAACGCAGATGCACGAGCCCACCGCTCTTCCAATGACGGTTGGGCTGGTGGATGGGCCGGTCCGATCTACGGTTGTAACAGCAGTCTCCGTGGGACCTGGAAGGGTGACGGTTCAGCGTCACCTTCTTTCATATGGCAGTACGATACGATCGAACTTACCATAGGCATTGATGAGCAATTCCGTGTTGGAGAACCATGTGTCGATGACACTTTGCGTGATGGGTTCACCAGTCGAACAAATTCGCGTGACTGAAGGAACTTCCTCCGGGGTGAGCAAGGATAAGACCGTAGGAGTGAGTGCGAGGGCGTTCACCGAAAGTTTGCGGATCACCGAAGCCAGATCCCTGTGCATTTCCTCGACGGGTGCGATACAGACGGTTCCACCTCGGTTGAGTGTGGAGAAAATGTCAATGACCGACACGTCGAAAGTGTAGCTTGAGAAGTTGAGCATGCGAGTAGATCGGCTGTGTTGAAATTCCCTCGACATCACTTCAGCGTATTTCCACGCATTCTCTTGCTCAATCATAACACCCTGGAATCAAGAGGTCATCAGCGCTTCAATTCGCATCTGCATTCGCGCATCGACCATTCTACCAACCTTCGGAGTGCCAGTTGATCCACTCGTGAACAAAATATGGCTCAGGATGTCGGATCTGATTTGCTGACCTTTAAGCGGGGCGGTGGACATAGTCGAGGTAGGGTCGAGAGCATCGAGTTCGATGACGCGATGTCCAGCACTACGGAAAGCAGCAGAGTATTTTCGAGTCGTCACGACGAAGGGGGCCTTGGCAGCGCGAACGATCGTGTCATTCCTGGTAGTCCCACCGGCTGGGTCAACCGGAGCCCAGCAGCATCCAGCTTTTGAAGCCCCGAGCATCCACCAAACCGCATCGAAGCATTTATCCAAGCAGAGAACAACTGCGGTTTCCAAAGGTAATCCTTCGGATCGCAAGAAGTGCGCAACTTGATTGGCCTAAAAGGACAGTCTGTGAGTCGGTCCATTCATGTAGAAAGTATTGCAGCGCAGGGAACAATGTACCTTTGCATTCAGCTCGGCATAAGTCAAAGTGCTTCCATCCAAATGTTCCAGCGCGATCGAGCCAGGACTTTGAAAGTACTGCTTCTCAAATAGAGTGTGCAGTGTTTCTAATCTGTTCCATGAGCTTTCGATGTTCTCTGAGCTGAGCAAAACCAACTCCTCCTCGTTGTTCACCATGCGCAGATATCCAACCGAGGTGGACGGCAAACTGGCAACGGACCGTAGGAGTTCATTGAAGTGACCGAACAAGGCATTGATGTAGGGAGAATCGTAAAGCTCAGTGTTGTAGGAAATCGAGATCTTGACTTCGTTCTCGACCCGCGATTCCACGAGGTAAACGGTTACATCATAGTGCCCGCTTTCTTGGGTACCGATGCTGATATCTTCCGCGCCGGCGAAAATGTCGCTACCATCGGCGATGTATTTGTCATTAGTCACATGGGAGAACATCACCGGGAACGCCGACAACAGTTGACGAGCTTCTTTTCCGGCGATGCTGTTCACAATGCGCTCAAAGGGCACATCAGTTTGAGCCATCTGTTCCATCACCACACGGGCGTTCCGCTGCAAGTAGTCGGTGAACGCTTGATTCGCATCCATCCTAGCGCAGATCGCAGCGGTGTTCAAGAAGCAGCCCAGAGTGTCTGTGTAAGCTGACGCCGTGCTGCGATTCGTGAGCGGGGTTAGAATGGCGAAATCCGCCGATTCGGTGTATCGGAACACAAGAACTTGAAGGAGAGAAAGCCATCCGACAAACGGCGTTGCGCCTTGAAGTTTACACAGTTTGAGGAACTCGTCCACTGCTGCGGGATCCAACAGGAATTCTTCCTTGCGGCTGACTGATTTCTTCTCCGTACCGCCGCTTGTCCAAGTAGGGAACCGAGCGGGCACAGTGTTCGCGAGGGTCGTGCTCCAGAATTGCAGTTGTTCCTGTTCAACTTCAGCGACATGATGCCTCTGCCACACCGTGAAATCGACGTACTCTAGCGACGGCGGGGAGATCTGGATGGAATCATTCTGCATGATCTTTCCGTAGGTGCTAGACAGTTCGTTGAGAAGAAGTACGCAAGTCCACTCGTCAAAGAGAATATGATGAACATTGAGGTAGACGCAATAGTCATTCGTGCCCAATTGGAAAACCTTGAATCGAACAGCAGGTGTGTCGCTCAGATCGAACAACTCAGCGTTGTCCTTTGCACAAAGCTTCTGGATCGTTGATATGGGATCATGGGAGGAAGTCAAGTCGATGGACTCGAAGCCGTACGTCATCGTAGAATGAACGACCTGTGTGAGGTTATCACCATCGAAATCGAAGGTTGTTCGGAAAAGGGCGTGTCGTTCGCAAACCAAGCACATTGCTTTTATAAGTTTTGCGGGATCCAGCGCGCGCCGGATGCGCATCAGCTCAGGAACATGGTACGTGCTGTCTTTCCGGGTTTCCTGTGCAAGCCACATCCGTTCCTGCGCGAAGGACGCAGGGAACACACCGCCTCCTTGGGGTTTCAGTACAGATTGCCTCTGAACCAAGGAGGCGGCACACGACAAGGGTGGGGTGGCTTTGTTGAGGCCTTGCAGCTCGTCGATGTAAGCCCCAAGTTGCCGGATGTTCCCATGGAAATCCAAAATGGTGACTTTCAGGTCGTTGGCGTGGAACGTACTTCGGAGCAGTCCCACCAATCTGATCATGGAAATCGAGTTCATGCCGATGGTCCGCCACGGATCGTCGATTCCAAAGTTTCCATTACCGACAAGATTCTTTACGAGAGAGAAGATTGCAGCCTCGGTGGCCGTGGTCGGTTCCGCCATCTGAGTTTTTGCGGCCTTGGTGCGCTGCACGCACACTTTTTTGAGAGACGTTTTGTCAATCTTCCCGTTCTTGTTCAATGGCATGCGTGTCATCGGCACCAGGACCGACGGGACCATATAGTGAGGTAGGGCAGCTCTGGCGAGTTGAAGCAAAGTGGATTCCACACCTTGCACAATGCTGTCAGGTTCCAAGAACTTGGATTCCTGGTGCTTCTCTCGGAACTGATGAAGATCGTAGAAGCATACAAGACTCTTGTCCTTTTCGCCTGCGAGGGTCATCACCACCGCAGCAAGATGTGTTACTTCCTCACAGCGCAGGAGAACATTTTCGATCTCGCCCAATTCGATACGCAGGCCATTGAGCTTCACTTGATCGTCCGAGCGTCCCATGATAATCAATTGACCGTCGTGCCAGAAGCGACCGAGGTCACCGCTGCGGTATATGCGGCCGAACTGCGGGTGGTCGACCCATGCCTTTGCTGTAAGGTCTGGACGGCCAAGGTAGCCACGGCCCAGTTGTGGACCCGCAAGGCAAATCTCACCGACGCATCCAATGGGAACGGGCTGCAGGTCATCGTCAAGGAGATATTGAATCACCTCCCTGAAAGGATATCCGATCAAGTGAATGTTCGTTTCATCAGCATAGTGCCGGTGAGAGTGGGTCAAGCAGCATGTTTCCGTAGGGCCTAGGGTGACACAAAATCAGCATGGGCTTTGATGCAGCAAGTCCCTAAATCAATAAGCTCACCGCAAGCGTTGCCCAGGTGTATGCGATCACCCCAGCGCTTCACAAGGTCTGCTTTCATTGGCTCTCCACCAATATCCATTGCCCGCATGCTAGGAATGCGATCTGGGTCAAGCAACTCCAGGACAGATGGTGTGGTGGCCAGGAACGTCACGTTCATCTGCGCAATGACGCCGGCCAGATCCGTTTGCAAATCTTCCTTGGGAGCCATGCAAATGGTGCCACCTGAAATTTCATACCCGGAGTCAGCCACCACTTTGAAGTCACAAGAAAATCAAGAAACTCAAAACGCACCATGTCTTAATGTAGCAAAGATGTCCATGACGCTGTCGTCAAAGGTAAACGCAGCGTAGTTCAGGCGCCGGTCCCGACTGCTATGGTTGTAGCGTTCCGAAAATCCACCACTGGCCGAGACGATCGCTCTGTGTTCTATCATCGCTCCTTTGGGCTCGCCCGTCGATCCACTCGTGTAAATGATGTAGGCAAGGTTCTTTGGCGAAAGCGATGGAACCCTAACATTCTTGACGTTGACATTCTTACTCGTAAGCAGCGAATCCACTCCGATGACATTAGCTGTTAGTTTGGACTGCAGATCAAGAACTAGCTTCGTCAAGGTCAAGACGGTAGTGCTCTTCGTTTGCGTGATAATGAAATTGATCCTATCGCTAGGAACTTCGGTGTCGAGGGGCACGTAAGCACCGCCGGCTTTGAGAACTCCCAGGACGGCCACCACCATCTCCACACATTTGGGAAGACAGATGGGGATAACGTGCTCGGGGCCCACTCCGATGCTCCTCAAATAGTTCGCAACGAGGTTACTTCGCCGATTCAGTTCGGCGTAGGTAAGTGTCGTGCCGTTCAAGAATTCGACGGCAATTTTGTTCGGGGCTTTCTCGACTTGTTGCTCGACGAGATGATGAATGCATACATTGGTGTCGACTTCCACAATTCGGCGGCCCCATTGATTGACCTGGAACGCTAATTCCTCCGGACTACTGAGGGCAAGTTTTCGCAAAGGAAGACTGGTCGACTTGACCAGATTTTTCAGCGTGTAATGGACGTGATCCATGATCCACTTCAATTCCCCTTCAGCGATGATTTCGATATCGAAGTCGACTTCGGCCTCCCATCCCTGAGAAGACTTCTTCACTTCCAAGCACAATGCAACGTCCATGTCCATCTCGGCTTTGAGGAGCTTCAACCCGAAAGGGGCGGTGTCCTCCGCTTCATTCCTCGCGTCTTGAATGACGAGCATGGTAGTGAATAGAGAGCTCATGCTTGAGAGTTGAGGGGCGCATTTGAGCACCTCCGTCAAGCTGCAACTCTCAAATGCCATCATTTCGATATATTGTTTCTGCAAGGCGTGCAACAACGACTTGACATCCATCTCCTTGTCCAGCTTGATACGGACCGGAACGCAGGTGACGCATGGCCCGTTCATATTCTCAATGCCGTCCACCGGAGCACTGCGGCCAGAGCTGATGCAAGCAAAGGACACGTCGTAGGTGTTGGAGTGGGCGCCGAGAACCAGGGCCCAAGCGGCTCTGAAGAGAGTCGAGACCGTCACGCCAAGTTGCCTTGCATGCTGTTCGACGTCCACCTCGATAGGAACTGTGAGTTTTCCGGTGCTCTGAGGCTTGTAGCCCGGAGAAGGTAATCGCGGGAAGGTCATGCCCTGGAAATCTTCAAGTTCACGATTCCAGAAGGCGCGGGATTCGGCCTGATCCTGGGTGGAAAGATGCTGAAGGAAGTCGCGGAACGGCGGACGGCGAGTCAATGCACCGCCAGTCGAGACAAGGCGCAAGTCCTCCATTGTCATTTTCATAGACCATCCGTCATAGAGAGCATGATGAATCGTCCAGATGAATCGCAAGCTCCCTGCTGGACCGTGCACAAGTGCGAATCGTACGAACGATGAGCCTTGAATGACTCCCTTCGCCAGATCGGCACTCAGGATGCCCTCCAGCTCCTCCATGTCTGTGATATGATGATCCTGCCAGGTGGCGATGTCATCGCGCATGACGACTTGCAAGCACTGAATGTCGTTTTCAGTGATTTCAGGTAGAACGAACGTCGTCCTCAGGATCGGAGTGGCAAGAATTACCTGACGCCACGCCTGCTTGAAAGCGCTGACGTCTGGTTTGCTGGTGAACTCGTATACAGCTTGACAGAGGTAGGAGCTATCCATGTTCAAAGAAGCAGCGACCAGACTCTGCTGCATTGGGCTAGCCGGGTAAATATCTTCGATGGCCTCGAGGTTGATTCCTAACTCGGGCAGATCTTTGGAGCTGACGCGAATGAGATGAGGGAAGCTCAACATGGCGAAAGGGGCAGCCGTGACTTTCATCCGTTCTTTCTCAACGATCGCCTGAGAAGCGGAATGTGATGCAGGGGATTCATCAGGGAAAAGCTTTGCGAGTCCGGCAATCGTTGGATTTTCCAAGGCCTAAAATCACTGAGTTAGAACCTGCGCCGAGCATACAAAACAGAGCGCCCGACCTGCACCGATTCTCGCTTTACCTGTGACGCAGAGATGGGAAACCCTTTCGCTCGGGCATTGTTGACAAGTTTGATGAGGGCAAGGGAATCGCCGCCCAAGGCAAACAACGAATCATTGATGCCGATATCAGACGGACTGAGACCCAGAAGAGAGCTCCACATCGCTTGCATATCCTTCTCGAATTGTGTCACAGGCTGAAGCTTCGCGCTTATTGCATCGCGAGTAAGCTCATTGTTGGCCTTTAAGTCCAGCTTGGAAAACACTACATCCAGAGCGCGGCGATCTAACTTGAAATTAGGGCCCAAGGGAATGGCTATGAAAAGAAAAGGGGTTCAGCATTGGACGTTGAATTCGACATTTTCCGATACATTTGCCAATAGGGGACTTACCATCAAGAGGAACCCAATGTTGGGGTACCATGTACGACACCAACTTCGCGCGCATAACAGTCTCAAGGGTTTTGATCACATCCCGAAGCGAGGACGCGCCATCCCTCCGCACGATAAAGGCCACGAGAACGTGTGATCCGTTGTGCTTGACGGCATGGGTGACCGCCGCTTCGAAGACGTTAGCCTCCATGATGACAGTATCGATCGCTTCAAGGTTGATGCGCAACCCGTTGATCTTCGTCTCATTGCCTCTGCGTCCCACGATCTTGAGGGTTCCGTCCGGCTCGTATATGGCCATGTCGCCAGTTCGGTACAGACGCCCGCCTTGCTTGTAGGGGTTTGGGAGGAAGGCACTTTTCTCGCGTGCTGTTTCGTTGATGTAACTGCGGCACACTTGGAATCCGTCGATATAGACTTCGCCGGGAACGCCGATGGGCACCATGCTGAGGTCGCCATGCAAGAGGTAGGTGGCAACATCGCCGATGGGAAGACCCACGTTGGCGTTTTCGTCTCCTGATTCCACGACCCTCATGTGTGTATGGATGGTCGCCTCTATGAAGTGGGTGAGTATGAGCATCCGCTAGTGTCAGGCTGTAGCACACAAAAGCCATCAACTCACCGGTCGGTCCATAAGCGTCAATCAGGCGCACACGGTGAGCCCAACGCTTTATAAGAGCTTCCGACATCATTTCTCCGGCGGTGACCAGCTGCTTCAATTCGGGAACGTTGTCGGGGTTCAAGGTCTCGGCCATGGAAGGGACCATCTCAACGTGATCGATCCGGGCCTCGTTCAAAACAGTGGAGATATCGCTCATAATGTCGTCCTCCGATGCCATGACGACCGTTCCGCCGGACGTCAAAGGAAGGAAGATGTCGGCCACAGAGAGGTCAAAATTGATTGGCGAAACGTTGAGAACACGGCTCCTGTGACCAATATTCCACAATCCATGTGCCCGCAGAGAATTGACGACATTGACATGCTCCAGGAGCACCCCTTTGGGTTTCCCGGTGCTCCCCGAAGTAAATAAAATGTACGCCAAGTTTCGATCCGACAGGTTGCGGACCGCAGGACCCTTTGCTGACGGGTACACCATCAGATCAGCTTCCAGGGCGTCGATGAGTACACATGGAACGGCGCTCTGGGCGGTCGCTCCTGAAAAGTGCGATGCGAGGTTCCTTGTAGTCACCACCCATTTAGCTTGAGAAGTTGCGATGACTGCCTGATTGCGTTCTACCGACGACGTCTTGTCGCTGAGAGGCAAATATGCGCCTCCGGCAATTAAGATCGCCAGCGCGGCAACCAGCATGTCGAGGGAGCGGGGTATGCATATGCCGACGGCCATTTCAGGACGGACGCCGAGTGAATGTAAATGATGAGCCAATCGATTCGCCCGCGCCATCAATTGACCGTACGTGAGCTTGTCTCCACGGAAGAACTCGGCCGCGATCTTGTCCGGGCGGAGGGACGCTTGTCGTTGAACCAGTTCGTGAAGTAAGACGCCACGGGTGGGCGGGTGGCGACCCTGGGCAAAAGAGTGCAGAATTTTGAGCTCGTGGGTGCTCATCGCGGGAATGGTCTCTACAGTCCGGTGTGGATGCTGGATCATGTAAGCCATCGCTTCAGCGACGTGCCGGGAGAGGAGGTCGATTTCAAAATGAGAAATGATGGATTCATCGAAGCGGAAGGTCATCTCCATGCTGTTGGAGGTGAGCGACACTTCGACTCCAAACGGAAGGTCCTCTCGCATAGCGATGGTCTCCAACGCAATGTTGATGCCAGGACCATCATGGTGATCTTTCGAGTGGTTTCCGACATTCTACAGAAAGGGAAATGGTCATTTACATAACTAGCAGAGGCCTATACCGCAGATGAACGAACCTGTAACGCAATCATGAAGTCAAACAACTTGTCCATCTTTGCCGCTGAACTGACAACGGACTTCGGGGTCGATTCGTACTCCATCATGGTCGAGTTGTTGTTGCCCAAAATCCGCAAGTGATCCAAAATAGTAGTGCCATCGACGATCTTGGTCCTGAACGGTAAGACGTTGAGGCACGGCCCGCAGATGCGCTCGATGCCGTCCAGAGGCGCTGTACGTCCAGAGAACACGGCTCCAAAGACAATGTCCTTGGATTCGACCCGTGCGCTGACGGCCGAGCCAAAGGCTGCGTAGACCAACGCTGACGCGAGGATGCCATGTTTGGAAGTGAAGACCCCCAATTCGAGGGACACCTTGTTTTCAGACACGCTGGTATTGTGAGAGGCGAGTTTACCTGATCCCGATGATCTGAGTGATCAGAGATTGTAGTGTCAGTACCGGGCGCATCTTGCACAATATTTTTTCAATGTACACAGCTAGATGCAAACCTTGGGTAGTTGGTGCGTTCCATGCCCCCCAGATAGTCATCCCAAAAGGCCTGCGAAAGCGACCAATCCGCATCCATCGTGAACCTCGTAAAGTGCGCAAACGAAGTGTAAGGCTCGATTGCGCGGCCATTGTATCGCTGGCGAAGATCCTCCACTATCATCTCCAACGACCACTGATCCATGATAGCGTGCTGCATCGACACCATCAGCGACGTCTGCTGCCCAGGTTTCTCGATGAGAGCTGCGCGGACGAAAGGCTCGCCCGGTCGAAATCCCCGTGCCATGTCCGAGTCCAGGTATTCTTCGACCACCGTGTCAAAGTCTTGGCGTGCATCGCAACGGATGCGTTTGCACTCCGACCGATCCGTGTGCAACACGATCTGAAGGAGATCGGTCCCGCGGACCGTCTCCGTTGTGTAGCAAAAGGTGCTGCGAAGCATGTCGTTGGCTTCGATGAGATCCCTCCACGCCCTTTCGAGGCGGGCTGGGTCAACATCCCCGGAGATTTTGAGCGCGCTTTGCCATGCGTAGTGAGTAGGTTCGAGTACACTTGCACCAATCAGAGCAGTTTGCATTGGGGTGCTCGGCACTGCATCCTGTGCACAGTAGAAGAAAGATGGGGACGATGGTCTATGTAGCGCATGTCATCAGATTGATATGTCGAACCCGACGTACCTTGATCTCATCCACCCGGACACTGCAGGCCGCAGCGCACTCCTCAAGGATCTTTGGTCGTGCGCCTGGCGCCATACACAACAAGTCGAACGGAGCGATGACCGTCTCATCATCGTAACCGCTATCGAAAGTTCCGCTCCTAGACAGCGTCGGAGATGCCAGGGGTTCGGTCTTCACCTCGGGTGTCGACACCACCGAAAGCGGAACCTGTTGTACTGCCACCGAGATGGTTCTGAAGGGTTGGCCACATGTGTTGCTGGAAGCAGCATCGACCAGCATGTTCCCGTATTTCACCCACTTCTGAGCAAAAGCATCGACGGTGGCCTCGGTAAAGTCTTCCGAGCTGTACAAGAAGCGAGTCTCCAAGGTTCCTGCATGCTGGATGGTCTCGATGCTGAATCGATAGCGGAGCATCTCTGTTTCATCGTAATCGTCCTCTCCGTTGGGGTACTCCTCGTGCGCCAGATCGAACAGCCCATCCTTATCTTCAAGCTGATTGAACGTTCCATAATAGTTGTAGATGATCTCGGACGTCGGGTGTGACGCCACGAAGGCTTTCGACGATGGCTTGTCGGAGAGGTATCGCAGGACGCCGTAGGGCAAGCCTTTGAGAGGAAGGTCTCTGATTGTCCGCGCCACCTCTTTCACGTACGAGCTGTAGCCCTCCTGGTGGGTGGGCGAGCTCGCTGGGAAGCTGACTGGGAACGTGGTGGTGAACCATCCCAAAGTTCGCGAAACATCCAAATCCTCGTCCCACGCTTCGCGCCCGTGGCCTTCGAGATCGACGGAGAACGAGTTGCGGCCGAACTGCTCTCCATACGCCAGAGCAAGCGCTGCGACCAGGAGTTCCAAGGTGCTGCAATTGTAGAAGGGGAGGGCATGCGCGAACAATCGTTCCACCGTCGCGGTGGACAATTGGACCGTGTGTCGACGCATGGTGTTCGCCCGGTACAGTTGGCCCGGACAACTTTTGCCAGGAAAGTCCGTCCGGATCAATGGTTGGGCAGGGATCGTGTTCCGCCACAGCGACACCAGATCGTTCGATCGACTGTATTCGACCTGTTTACGAGCCCATGTTTGGAACGACGTGGTCTTGGCAGGTAAAGCTTCGACGCCCGTGTACACGGTCTGGAAGTCTTCGAGCAAGATTCGCCATGACACGAGATCCATGACCAGGTGGTGGATGGTGATCGCAAGTCGCTGTGTGCCATCGTCCATTTCAAACAGGCCCGCGGCGACCGTTGGCCCAGCGCTCAGATCCAACGACCGCTGAAGAACATTCAGCTTGTCCAGCATTTCGGTCTTGTCGGACGCGGTGAGATGCGCGGTGATGACGGATGGGTGTCCGTCGGCGGTCAAGATGCGCTGTTCAACCGCGCGACCGCCCGATGGCGATAGCGTGAAGCGTGCTCGGAGCATGTCGTGATGGGCGACGAGTGCGTTCATCGTTTTCGTGACCTTCGACACGATGAGGCGTTGGTTGGGGATGAGAAGGAACGTTTGATTGTAGTGATTTGGATTCATCGCTTTCCATTCCAAGAACCAATGCTGGATCGGCGTGAGCTCAACAGGTCCGCTAACGATATCGCTCTCCTGTAGCGCCGGCTGTGCAAGTGGGGTTGCTGACGCCGTTCCCTGAGTTGGCGTGGACTTTGACGTCGACGTGCGGGCATTGGTTTTGGCCGCCAGGTTTTTCAAAACAGGGTTGTTGAAAACGACGGTGGGGGACAACCGGATTCCATGCATTTTCCGCAACCGTGAGGAGACCAGAATCGCGGAGATCGAATCTCCGCCGATAGCAAGGAATGACGTGTCAGGCGTGATCGACTCGACGGGGACCTTCAGCACCGCTGCCCAAATGGAAGCGATGGTGGATTCCGCTTGAGCACCGTTGACGGCAGTGGGGAGCGATGTAGGCTGGGGAGCGGGCGTGGTGTGGACTGTTGCGGGGCGAGAGCTGGTGGTAGGTTCGGGACGGTGGCTCATCGCAGGCTTGGGCGTCGGGCCGACGGGTGCAGTATTGAGCGTGGTCAACGCAGGTGCGGGCGGCGAAGAGTTGGTGACAACTATCGTCGTGGATTGCACAGCTTTTGCGCTTGGGACCGCTCCTGGGCTCGCCAACAATTCAGACAACTTCCGTCGATCCGCTTTTCGGTTCACTGTCATGGGCAAAGCTTCCAAGGCCATGATTTTGGTGGGCACCATGTAGTATGGCAACAGCTAGATTAATATAGCATTCCCGTATCAGCGAAGTAACAAATGGTATGTTAAGTAAACATGTTCAGCTCTCCGCCTTTACCTTCTTCATCCCGTCGCAAAGTTCCTCCACATCCAAATGACCAGGGGTCACGAATCCCACCAGCTGCTTAGCCTCATACAAGACAACGACATTGACGACACCGGGCAAACCGCCCAGGACTGTCTCGATCTCCCCCAACTCGACCCGGAACCCGTTGAGCTTGATCTGATGGTCGGCCCGTCCGACGACCTCCAATTCGCCGTCGTGGGTGAACCGACCGACATCGCCCGTGTTGTACATGCGGCTCCCGTCCTTTGCAAAAGGGTCCAGGCGGAACTTTTGGCTGGTCAGGTCCGGAAGGTTGCGGTAACCGTTGCCGACGCCGATGCCACCGATCCAGACGAGACCCGGAACTATGGCGGGCGAAGGCGATGCAGCGATAAAGGGGTGGAAAGTAGGACGAGGGGGGCTCAGATATACATATCCGTCATCGGAGCATAGGTGTGACATATTTCAACTAACCTCCCAGTGGAACAGGCCGCAAGTGGTCATCCAAGATATAGCAGGTGTCTCCAGGAATGACGCGCCCGACGGTGATGCGCTCACCGGGGCGATTGACACCCATATGCGTAGCGTGCGTCTCTGCCGGTCCATACCCGTTCAACATCAGCACGCGATCCCCCCACCGGCTTACCAGCCCCGCGTTGGACGCCTCTCCCGACGTGATAATCTTGGTGATGTTGGGGTACTGATCCGGGTCGACGACGGACAAAGCCGAGGGGGTGATGAGGAGGGTGTTGATGCGATGTAAGGCTTCTTCCCAGTCCTCGCCCAGGTCGTCGGGTCGCACGACGAGGGTTCCGCCGCGACAGTGCGTGGCCAGGATCTCCCAACCGAGGTTGTCGAAGCCGATGGAACTCATTTGCATCTGACGCGTGGCGGGACCGTTGCCGAACCCGCCGTCGGTGTGGAGGACCAGGTGGTACATAACCCGGTGTGGGATCTCGACACCCTACGGGGAGTTCCGAGACGTAGCAAGGGTGTCAGAAGAAATCGGGCCAATGAGATGACGATTTTTGTTTTTCCATACCTTCGGTTTTCCGGTCGTTCCGGACGTGTACACGACATACAACAGATCCGCACTTGTGTTTCGCATGATCGGGTTCTCGGACGGCGCGAGGTTGTTACCCTCGTGGGTAAAGTCACGCACTTTCAAGATGGGGATGGATCTCATCTCCGGGGGAATGGCGGCGGCGATCCTGGCGTCGTCGACGAGCGTCGTCACCAGAGCGACGCAATCGGCGTCCCGCATCATGTATTGGAGCCGATCGCCCGGGAAACTCGAGTCCATGGGCACATATGCCGCCGACGACTACAAGAAAAAGGAGTGGCAATAGAGTTGAAACATGCAAAGCTGAAAGCTCTCCCAATCCCCACTCCCCTCGCGAAACATACCTTGACGATACCCCAAAAAGCAACGACCAGCTCGACGCCCCTGTCGACCAGCATTCCGACCGACTGACCGGGGCCGACACCCAGCTGACGAAGCGCGTGGGCGATGCGGTTGGCGTGGGCATTGAGCTCTCCGTAAGTGATAGCTGTGTCATAGTGTTCCGCAGCGACTTTGTCGAAAAACTGCTCGGCCTAGAAAAAACGGTGTGAGAAAAACCATCCCCGTTCAGGGAAACCCAAAAATGGGCAAAAGGAAACGCGTGAGACGCGCGCGCCGCCGCAGCTCCAGCTCAACTCACCTTCTTCTCGAACGGGATCTGCACACACCACCTGCCGCGCGGCAGCAGCTCGTTTTCAAAGACCTCTGGTTCATTGTCATTGAAGTCGCGCAAAATCATGCGACTCTCCTGTCGGGTGAGGATATTGACGTTGGCGACAACGGGGTCGCTTCCATCCGTTGGAAGCATTCCTGTCAAAGCCTGCAAAAGGTGTCCAGCGAGCGCCTTCATGGAAACGTCGTCGTATACAGCGGGAGAATAAATTATTTCGGCGGGAATAACCGGCAGGGCAGCGGCGGCGGCGGGTGTGGCGGCGACCGCGGGTTTTCCGAAGCGAACGATGATGGAAAGGCCAGCGTTGTCCAGGTGAGTGGCAACGGCGTCGCGGGAGGTCCAAAAGCCTACGGCGACGCGGAAGAGAGCGTCGGAGGCGCTGATGCCGGCGGCGGCTCGGATGTCCTCTAGAGACGCGCTGGAGGCCTTGCTGGCGGCCATAGCGTCGTCAAGGGCGCGGAAGAGGGTGCTGACGCGGCCCGCGGGTGTTTCCATCAACTGGATGCGGACGGGACGCGGAGCAAAGGGTTGCGCGGCGGCGGTGGTGGCGCTAATAGTGTTTGCAATGATGTCGGCGCCGAAAACCACGTCGGGGGCGTTCAGGTAGCGGGATTGAACGATGGCCCAGGCGGAATAGACTACGGCCTCCAGGGTGCAATTGTGCTGATTTGCGAAATGGACGGCGCGCATCGCAAGCTCCGCCGGCATCTCGAAGGGGACTGAAGCAGCAGCAGCAGCGGCAGCGGCAGCTTCGGTCTGGCCGTGGGCTGCAGGAGCAGGAGCAGGGGCGGGTAAAGGCAGGGCCGCTGGGGCAGGCATGCCATCGAAGTTGCGAAGGTAGGCATCGGATTGAGGCGCCACTTCTTCGCGGTTCACGTCCAAGAACGATTTCCAATAGGACAACATGTTTGTCGAGAAGATTGTGGTAGTGGCGAGATGAAATCTGTACTTGGCGTTGACCGATCGATGCTCGTTCCTAGTGTGGGTACGGAGCAGGCAGGAGGAGCACTTGGAAAAGGACGTAGTCTACCTATGAAGTACTGAAGAGGAGGGGTTCGGTCTGTCATGAGGTGCCCATTCATTATATCTGGTTTGTCCGTTGCGTATGGGAGGACTCTCCTCGCTCAGAGACAAGCTACCAAAGGCCAAGAGCATGCTGGCAGGCGACTTCTGCGTGTTGGGGCAGGAGGAAGGACATTTTACGATGGTGGATTTTTTGGAGCAAATCATTCCGTAACTTTGTATACGTTAGGCTCTTTAACATTGAACCGCACGGCGGCGGCGATCCGCACTTGCAGGGATACTGTATATACTGCGAAGGCACATTTAAGAGGCCGCTCGATCCGTCCCGACTCCCAAGACTCCCAAGAGGGTGTGCGAAGAAGCTCCCGAAGTGCGGCTGGCTTTCGGACGATCGCATCTGCGCAACATCAAATAAGAAAATAATGCCGCATGAGCCGAATTAATTTTCGAAGGCTTTGCAAAAGCCGCGCTCTGATGCGAGAACCTTCCGAGAAAGTGAAAGTCGCCGCGGCGGGTGGACGGAGTGGGGCTTTCGTGGCTTTTCGTGGGGGATGCGGCGGGCGAGGGTTTCACGTGACCTCACATGACCGAGCCACGCACAAGGGAACGATCGTGGCTTCCCATGCACAACAAGAGAACACGCCTCTTGGGGAAGTGTGTCACGCGTTTTCCATCTCAGAGAGGCACCAAGTAGACTACGTACGTATGCTGCAAGTCACACTATATCGCTCGGCAATCTATTGAATAATGTCTACGTACTAGAGCATCCCCAGTATGGGAAAAGCTGTTCCTTGCACAGGAGAATAAATGATGGAGAGAGGGAGGGGCGGGGAAGATACTACAAAAAAAACACATACACACACAGACACCAAACTGCAATGCAACTATAACTGTCTCCGAATCGCTTTATATACGACCCCCCATCAACGCTCTTCCTCCGTCTGCGCGCAGCCCGTTGATGCAGTTCCATTCGCGACGGGTGGCGGCAGGAGGGCTGTCCCGCTCTGCATGTCCGCCTCAATGTCCGCGACGGGCTCAATGTCCGTGGGCAGTATGTCGGTGCGCTCCGTCGACACTCGCACGGGCGTGAAATCTGTGCTGCTGAGGTACCATGGCCGGCAGCCTTGGCTTGGCGGGGCGTTGCTGACGGCGTTGTAACTGACGATGATGACTCGCCGGTCGAAGGGAGACATGTTGGCCGGCGAGGCGTGGTACGTGGATGGGTGCATGAGCCAGACGTCTAGGGAAAAAGGGAAAAAGGAATTGGAAGGTGTGTGAGGTGGGGTAGGGAACGAGACGGCTGTCACATCACACATGCTCACCTCCGGGTTTGCCCCTTCCCAACACCAACCCATGTTGGGCGACCGCGACGGACAGATCGGCCTTCGATATCTCATATTTGAGGTTCGTCGCGACGAACCCAGACACATCTTCCTCGATCTCTTGAGCGTCGCCGCCGGGGACCCTCTGTTTGCTCTCGACCAAGGTCGTCTTCAACGGGATGGCGCGGCTGCCGGGGACGAACATCGGTGCGCCGTTGAACTCGTCCACGGTGTCCAGGTAGATGAAGAAGTTAACGGCGTTGTCGGTGGGCATGAGGTCTTCTGTGCACCAATACGCCGAATCCTGATGCCATGGCCATACTCCACCTTCGTAGCCGGCCTTCATGTTAATCTTGAACTATGGCGTGATGATGACACATGTGAGCGAGTTCACTTTGCAAGCACAAGGGCAGGCAGGCATTCCGCCCCCGCGAGAACCCTCCCTCACCTGGTGGACATACACATCATCCTTGAGGATCTCCGCCGCGATGGCAGCCAGCTTGGGCAACGCCACGAGGGTCTTGAAGACGGGCTGTCCCGCGACGTGCGATGCATAGACGCTCCGGACGACATGTGTTCCGCTCTCTCTGACCGCCGTCTCATCGTCCGCCGATTTGCCGACCAGTTCTCCCTGAACCGCTCGACTCAAGACATGGATCTCGTCGGCGGAAAAATGGTGCTGGAGAAGAAGGATGCCGTCAGATTCGTACTGTGCGACCTGCTTCGCGTGTAGCTGTTTGATTTTGGTAGGGACCACCATTGTGACGATGTGAGTTGGGATTCCTGGACGGGAACCTGCTGCTGCTGGAAGGCGTTGGGGGCGGTGGGTGGGGCTGGGTGGTCCTTCTTGTGGGATTGACAAATGGAAGTCGAGGCTTTGTTGGAACGTTGGTGTTGAGGCCAAATGTGTTGAGCGGCCACAAAGCTGGGAAGGCAAACGGACATGAAACAAATCGAGGGTTGGATTGAGGGGAAGCGGGGGTGTTGTTGCTTCGTGATGTCTCGGTTATATGTTAAACGAAATGCTCTGGGGGTTCGGCGACATCATGACGACTTCTCCCGCTCATTTTTCCCATGCAAAATTTCTATGTCACAGCTGCTTTGCACTTCTGACGGGGACAAAAGCGGCTTGGCATGCGACGGAGTACAGACAGCCTTGGGGACCTCCGGATGGGAACAAGGCAACGGGCGCACCGCTGTCGAGCCTCATTCGTGGGAGGACTTGCGTTGGGAGGGCGGAGACTTTTTCGCGGTCACGAAGGCTCTGGATAGCCGCCGCTCTGTTTGACTATGAGTTCGTGGGGCCTGCTGGGGTTGGGACGTGTTGGGGGTTGCGCGTTGGATGTCGGCCGTTCTGCAAAAGCGAAAAAGTGCCGTCAACTGTCGATTCCCGACCCCGACTGACGGCACCTTCGTGCGGTGACTTTTTTTTCACATTTCCCATTTCCGCTCTCAACCCAGAAAAAACACCCCATTGCCATGCCCATCAGATAATTCAAGCACGGAATCTTGCCGCAGTTCATGATGCTCTACAGGCACCGATGGGATCCCTAGGCTTCGGCTGGAACCCCCCGACCGAACCCGCCGAGCGACTGGCTTTCTGCGAGATTCCGTGTTCACAATGTTGAATGAAGTCGGGGGTGGGATCGATAGCTGCGCTTCCCATCGAGGCCGCAGCGAGAGATGTATGATCACGCCGCTGGTGGGTTGAAATGAACGGGCTACGCCGCCGGCGTGTGGTCATTCGCGAGGAGGGGCGGGGTGATGATGATCCAGGAAGCCGTTCAAGAGACCGCTCGCGAATGAAAGAAAATGTATAAGTAACACCACCCCTCCTCCTTGCTGCCCTTTTACGCAAGTCACCGTATAGTTCTACCATTCTGGTACTCTTTCCCCACCCCCTCCTTCCAAGATGCCTTCGGAGCTCATAAACAGCGCGACCTACATTCCCTTAACGGAGGACCAGGTAAGGCAACAGCCTTCTCCATCCAACCTTTGGGTCACTCTCTCAAATATGGATCTCCTCCGGACACGCGGACGTTTCCTCGCAGCTTCCGTCGGCAACGCTCCGTAAAGCGTCCAAGATCACCGTTCGGTTCGATGACCGGCGCGAGTCGGCGTTCCACTGCGTGTGGCTGCGCGATCATTGCAAGTGCGCGGAATGCTGGCACCCAAAGACCCACCAGCGGTTCGCGGATATCACGCAGATGCCGCTCAACGTCACTGCCGGCCGTATGCGCGTGTCCGAGGATAGGAAGGAGTTGATCGTCACTTGTGAGTGTGGGGGGAGTGCTATGGATTGATTATTAGCGCTGGATTTGTTTACTGAAGGGTCGACTGCCCTCGATCTTTATCTATGTTTTATCTGGGCACAAAACAGGGCTTCATGATGGACATGAAAGCCCGTACAGCTTCGAATGGCTGCGTCATAACACGTACGACCCGCCGCTCTGCGAAGACTTTGATCTGTAGGCCATCCAAATATCTCGTATAGAAATCACCAGCAAGATCGCAAGCGCACAGTCCCCATTGAATTTTTTTCCCCATTTCCCTCTTTTTTGTGCCATTCCATCACCATTCCCACAGGAAACCTCAACGTCTCTGGAGGGCATCCGATCTCGAACGCGAGATGCCAACCGTGCAGTACGAAGCCGTGATGGCCGACGACGAAGCGCTCAAGGCGTGGCTTCTCAACATCGTAAGCAGCGGCGGGGTCTCCTCTCCATTTCCGCGTCTCCTCCCCCCCGCTCAATCCTCTCACACCGACCGCGCTATTCCCCACCCCCCGACAGGAAACCTACGGCATCAGCTTCATTGACGGGATCCCGTCCACGCCGGAAGCGACGGACGCGCTCGTGCGCCGCATCGCGTTCGTGCGTGAGACCCATTACGGACTCACCCATGTCATCGCTAACGATATGGCCCATGGCGACGCCGCGTTCTCGGGCGCCCATCTGCCCGCGCATGCCGATACGTGCTATTTCACCGATTCCGTAGGGTGAGTATCCCTTGCCCTCCCCGAATTCCAGCGCACCACCACCCGACCCCACCTCGTCTGTCTTGGGGTGGGTGGGGCGAGGATGAGTGCGTGCGCTTATGTGTGAATGACGGGGACAAACGCAAGCGCGATCGCGTGAGACATGGCACCCCACTGACCCACCCCGTCGTTCCCGGCAGTCTCCTCCTCATGCACATCCTCTACCACAACAACGGCACCGGCGGCGAATCCACCTTCGTGGACGGGTTTGCCGTCGCCGAGCATCTCAAGCACCATCACCGCTGGGCCTACGACGCTCTCACCAGCGTCGGCGTCAGTTACCACTCAGCAGGCGACGCGTCGACGCACATCTCCCCTCTGCGCGCATCGCCCATCCTGCAAGCGCACCCGGCGCACCCCGATCGGCTCCTGCAGGTCCGGCACAACAACGAGGACCGGTCGGTCCTGCGTGGCGTGGAGGGAGATGTGATGGCGGTGTTTTATGCCGCTTTGCAGTTGTGGACGAGGTTGTTGAAGGAGGATGAGTGGCAGGTGAGGATCAAGATGCCCAGGGGCAGGGCGGCGATTGTCGACAATTGGAGAGTGTTGCATGGGCGCACCGCGTTCACCGGGTCGAGGGCCCTGTGTGCGGCGTATGTGAATAGGGATGATTGGAGGAGTAGGGTGAGGATGGTCGTGGATGGGAATAGGGAGAAGCAGTTTATTTGAGGGGATGGTCTGTCTGGCCTCTCCCTGCGCCCAGTTGCTTTTCTTTTTCCCTCCCCTTTTGATCTCCTTGCATCACCACAGATAGCCAGATATAGTATGCCTCCATTTCAATGGTTTTCCCGTGTTCCTTTTTCGAGTTGGAACTTTCATTTCCTCTCCGTTTTCATCTTTTCTTTAATATTCTTCTCAATAATACACAACACATCGCTCTGTTCAAAAAAGGTCTGAAGTCAAAAGAATGTTGAGTGTCGACCTTTCCTCCCCTCTTTCCTCTCGAGGTGATCCACAAAGATTTCCCTAAAATCCACCGAACAGGAATATCTTCAAACAGAACACCACGTCGGTACGGAGGGGCGTCATTTCGCCTGGTCCATCCATAGATAATCCCACCCAGTCAGGGTTACTCCCGCAGGCATGGCATGATGAAAGACTGTACTTGAACGTTTGAAGGCCAGTGTCCAAACCCCGTGAAGGCCAGTGTCCAAACGATGATTGAAGGCCAGTGTCAATCAACCCGAACAGTACTCAATTAAAAAGCTTTCCTAATAAATTAACTCTAGAAAAAAAAAACAAGGGCTATCGGGTTTTCAACCCCCCCCCCCCTCTATGTTACTCTAGTTCTGAAAAGGGGGCAAAGGACGCGACGGGGGAATAAAAAGTGGTATGAACAATCCTACTTTCAGGGCGAGACCGAATCTTATGGGATGTGGGAGCTACTAATGCTGGCTAACCCAGGTATCTACCGCGGCCTTGAGGAAGCTTGCAAGGTCCATCGGCATGGTGTTGGGTGGTGGCGGTGGCTGTTGGTGATGCTCTTGATGTTGCTGTTGTTGTTGTTGTTGTTGTTGTGGGTGTGCATGGTGTGCATGATGTTGATGAAGGTGCGTTTGCTGTGCACCCCCGTTGCCCTGGCTCCTCATCCCCGTCTCATCGACGAGGGGCGCGTTGGCGAGGATGCTTGTCGCGGCGGCGGCCAGCTCTGCGGTCGTGGCGGGCACGCCGGGGTCCGTCTGCGCGGCAGCCGATGACGCTGCAGCGGCGTCCGTCGAGGACGTCGGGACTCCCCCTGCTGCTGCTGCTGCGGCTCCTCCATCGGCTCCGACGACCGACGGCAGGAACATGGAGGACCCGTCAAGCAGCTGGGTGAATCGCGTGATGCCGTGGGACGACAGCGTCTCCCAGCGGAACTCGTCCATCGCAACGGGTGCTGACGTTGCTCCTGGTGCTGATGTGGATGAGGCCGGTGGCGGCGGCGTCGTGAGCGCTTGTGAGTTGGAGCCGTGAGGCGCTGCTGCTGATGCGAATGCGGGTGCTGCCACATGGTGCTGCTGGTGCGGCAGCCGCGCCGATGCATGGTGCGAAGGAAGATCAGTGGTAGTGTGCATGCCAAGGACGTGTGGGTCCATCTGCTGCGATTTTGCGGATGTGAATTGCTGATGCTGGGAGGTAAGTGGCATGAAGGTTTGTGATGACGCGGGCGGCGGCGGGATCGTGGATTGTGGTTGCGGCCCGGTCAGTTGTGCGTAATGTGCGTTTTGGTCTTGCATCAAGAACGGATGGAAAAAAGAATGGTGCTGCGGGAGGAGGCCGCCGGGAATGGCATCGGATTGAGACTGTTGCACCAGCACTTGGTCAGAACGATACGACGGCGCCTGTGGCTGTTCCTGGTATTGCACTTGTGGTTGTTGTGAATGATGGGGATGCTGTTGTCGCTGTGCTCCATTATTTTGCAATTGTTGCAATTGTTGTTTCTGATGTTGCTGCTGCTCCAAAAGTTGGGAGTGCGGCATGGAACGGTTGAGATATCCCTGCAGGTGCTGAGAAGGCGCTTGCGTCGTGTGCTGCAGAGATTGGGGTGGCAACAGCCCCGAGGCAGCGGCGGCAGCGGTCGTGGGGGTGGCTTGAACCGTAGGCGGACAAAGCGCGGCGGCGGCAGCGGCCTGATCCGCTACCACGGTGCGCAGCTGATAGTGTTGATGCTGACGCCTCGCGAGGAGGCCCTGCAAACGATGGTGAAGCATCACGGGTCCCTTCTCGACCAGAACGGTAGAGGTGGAGGTGGTGGGAAGGAGATGATTGAGGAGGCGGCAAGCCTTGTGCAAGGTATCAAGTAACGCGACGTGAAGGCGTTTCCACGTGTCCCACTCTTCGAGGACCATCGGCTGCTGTGGATGACCGGACATGAGGTCAGCTGGGGAAGACGCCGAGGAGCTAGAGAAAGGCGAAGAAGAATCCGAGGGCGGTGGGAAGGATCCAGCATTGACCGGCGTGGCGGCCGTCAGCCACAGACTGAGACTGTCCGAGAGCATTTCCGAAACGTCGACACACATCTCGATGCCGACCGCGCAAAGGTCGAAGAGCTCCCGCTGGCAAATTTCGTCGGGTACGGTGATGGCGGCGCCCCCGAGACCACCGCTCATGCTCGCTATGGTGCTCAGCAAAGGTTGTACGGGTCTTAGGGCGCTTTCCAGCCTGGACAGGTCGATTGCGGATGACGACCCGTTCGGTTCACCTTGATGATGACTTGAGGACCGGTCGGGGGTTATTGCCTTTGCTGTGGGACTCTTGAGTGCAGCGTCCGTGTGATGCGGCGATGTGTCCGAACCAGGCTGGCTGCCATCTTCAGAGGCGAGCCGCACCGCTAGGATTTGGTACAACAGCAAACGAATGCGGCCAGTTTGTGAGTCCGCGAAAGCCAAGGTGAGCGGCTCCGGGTTCGCCATCAAGAACAAGCGAATCTCCTCGTCGCAGGCAGTCCTAACGAGGCATCGACGGCGCCGGGATCCAGGGGGCGAGAGTCTCGAGGGGAGCGTCACACTTTGGTACATGACATCCTGTTCGCTCCGTGCCACAATGCGTGCGGCGAGCAGACACATTTCGGACATGCTAACGAACATGTTTAGGCTGGAAGCGTACACCGATGCTGGCATCCGATTGCGATGATGCGCATCGTAGCGACTGGACAGAGACCCGTTCTGTAGGGCGAGGAGGGCTGCGTTTCGGGGCATGTCGTCAAGGGCCGAAAGCAGCGGCGACGTCGGCAGCCCACAGATCAAACGAGCATAGAGTGAAAAGACAGCACAGGTCCACCAGCAAAAGTTGATGAGCTCATCCTGCACCTCGGCTTCCGATACCGATCCTCGCTGGACGGGTTCAAAGTCCCGGCCCAATGTGGTCATCAGCTCCAAGGACGCTACTTGGCGGGACCCGGCCTTTCCTCCCGCTGATGCCTGATCTCGTGAGACGGATCCATGCTGTTGTTGGAAGTTGTGCCCGCGGTGACCGTTCTGAGTGGGTTGAGCCCGCGCCCGGGATGCGTTTACTTCCTGACGAGGCACCAACGCTTGTGCCGATGCCCACGCTAGGTGGAGGAGGGTGAGCGTCTCCTTCATGCGGCTATTCGTCGGGTGTTCGCTGCCGGCCTCGTCCTGCAACAGCATGAGGTGCTGTAGGATCACAATGAGCAGCGTCTGGAGAGTGTCCAGCTCAAAGCAGCCATCGACGCGCATGTAGATGGCGTCCAGCGCCATAGAAAAGAGATCGTCGCACTCCTGCCTGCAATGCGAACCGCTCGCCGATGACGATACCCCATCGTCGTCGTCATCGCCGTCGTGGTCATTACAACTGCCCATCGACTGGCGCAGACAAGATGCGGATGCGAGGACGACAAGCACGAGCGGTTCGCGCGAGAAGGCGGTGAACGAGGCGAGAAAAGGCGCCGAATGGGAGGTTCCGCTGCTGCGAAAGGCGGTATTCGAAACATCTTGCTGCAAGAAAGATTGCGCTCTGAGCAAGAGAGTCTTGTTGACCAGGTAGGAGAGAGGATGAAAGAGAAAAAACAGCTCGATCAGCTGGAAAGTCTCTAGTCGGCTCATATGCTGGTGCTGAGACAGAAGCCTCTGCGGCTGCTCTTTCATCTCTTGCTGAGTCTGATGTCTTGATGATGCTGACGACAGTGATAATACGGGTATGTTCGATGGCATCGAGAGCACATTGCTATTGCCCAGAACGTTCTTGAGAAGCTTTGACGACAGAGACAGGAAGCAAACGTGATGGTTTATTGGCCGCCGCGGCGGGCAGGGGAACTGCCTCATACGTTCTGATGATGCCATCGAGGACAACGACGGCGATTGAATGGATAAAGCGGAGGATGTTCCAGGAACTCTTCCGCCCATCTCGTCCTCACTCGCAGAGCATGTGCTGGTGGAGACCGAGGAGAATCCGCAATTGAGCAGATGTCCGTGGCCGGTAGAACGGGACGGCCTTAAGCTGTCTTCCGCTGGGGATACCGAGACCGTCGAATCGCAAGTATCATTGGACGGCAGGCTGGAGGGTGGAGAGGGAGGCGAATTTGGCAGGTCGAACATATGTGCGATCATATCCGACGTGGCCATGTCGTGCATGTTGACGGCCGACCGCTGCAATGTCATGTCCGGTGTGGAAGTGGTCTGACGAGAAATCATGGGAGAATTTTCGACGTTTTGGCTCCCGCTCTCCTTGTTTCTGGTGGAATTCTCCAAGGCAGCAGTCAGCATCTTTGCGGATCCCTTTTTGGACGCGCTGCCGCGGCTGCTCCCGTCTCTCGTGGAACGGCCATGTAGATGCCTTGCTGATGCGCGAAACTTTTGTGATTTGGTGGACGGTCGTCCGAGCTTTTGTCGTGGGAGGTAGATGCATGTCTTCTGGAGTGATTTACATCGGTCGCAGCCATCTTCTTGACCTAAACGAGGGAACGATGCCATCAATTAGTAAGTGAACGTGATTTGGACTCGCACCTTTGTGAGTCTCGCGGTCCGTCTGTTCTCCTTTTTGTCTTTCCCAACCTCGGAGGAGGTTGCCAGAGCCGTAAGACCAGGACTTTGTGAGACTTACCGCTACATCTGATCTTCCGCGCGCGACAAGGCTGACAGGCATCTCGCAATGGGGTCTCGTCCTTCTTGACGCTCCCTGCGCCGGCGCCGGGATTGTTATCCACGGAAAGGTCGGAGGACGTGGATAATGAAGACGCGGTGGAGGAGAAAGACGAGTCTACAGCATCCTCCTGGGAATAGGGGAATGGGAAATACGACATGGTCTTTCCCACGAGGAAAGGAGATGCGGTGATGCCTACCATCTCGTCAGCACCTCACGCTACTAGCAACGTTAAACCAGGACGATTCTAAGGTTGCGCCGAGGGAGATGAGGAGGAGAATACTGTACTGTACTGTACTGTACGTGGGCGTGGTCGCTATAATAGTAGTGCTGAGCATCTACGCGCAAGGATTGCACGCGATTCTTTCCTGGCAATTGTCACTAGGAATACTACCCACCACTTCATGGGGACATTGGGGAGTATTCAGAAGACCCTTACCTTTTTTTGCTAAGGGTCTAATAATATTTTGCTCATATTAAAAACGAGCCGCCGTCAATCATGATTCATGCATGACAAGGATTCGCGAGTCGCGAAGGGCGTTTCTTCTTTTCCTTTTCCACGAGCGCGCAACGCGTCGCCCCTCCTCCCAATTTCTTATAGCAGCTGGCAGCGAGCGGTCCGCTGCGGTCGCGCCTGCCATCCTTATGTGCCTGTAATGTATGTACGACGAGAGCCTGAAAGCGGCGGCTTGGGGGCATTCTGGCGGAGGTTCGCAAGACTCGCCACGCACAAGCCACGCCAGGGCGAAGTAAAAAAAGAAGACTCCACCTTTTCCCAGGCTCTGGTGGTACGACGTGCCAGTTCATTATTACCCCAACGCGTCGACAGCAATAACTTAAAGTCCCCGAGGCCTCTCCGCCGCGCGATTCATGATTCATGAACCATGCATGCTGCATGATCATTTTGAGGGGCGATCCTCAAATCCTTCTACGTATGATACAACGCCCACCTTCGATGGTTGTCGCGCGGTGTAGTACCGCAGCAATGCGTGGTAGATCTACACCTACGTACTAGCAACGATCTACTATATATATAGTACGACGTTCACGCTGCCACAATGGGCATTGGATACGCGGAGCCTCGCGGAGACTTGGAGAGAATAATAGCGAACAAGGCCGCAAGATCAACCCTTATTACTGTAGGACTTACTATTAGATATGATATAGAGCTTGCAATCGTGCGCAGGCCTCCCATCACTGCTACACCGTCTTACGTCTCCTACGCAGCTCAATGAGCTCCGCTCGGCGACTATCACTTGGACAGAAATATCATGCCGCTGGCAGGAGTATAATACTAGAGGAGTGTTTATTTTCGACAGATTTTCAATTTTCGAGTCTCCTATATCGGTGTCGATAGGTGCCGTAGTTTCCATAAACTCTCGTTGCCGAAATACCGCCGCGCCAATGAGCGAAAAAACAACTCTCCGTCCGCATAGGACACCGCTGCACTTGCGTTTGCAGCACGGCTGCTCTGCACCTACTGACATAGGTTCGCTGGCAGAGATTGGCGATCGAGCGCATGCCGGCCGTATATAAAAGTGTTTTTCCCACCGCCATCCCCACCCCACGCACGTTTACCGTCCTTTGGCAAATCAGGTCTGTCATCCATCCACCACAACGGTATATTCGGACGGCCTCCGGCAACTTTGCAAGAACATGGAGTGGTGCAGCGACCCAGAGAAACTGGTGAGTTCTGCCTCTTCCCTAGGTCTCTGCGTCAACTGGTAGAATGCGGTTCACTAACTTTTGTTCATTTTCAGGGTCCGGTTTCAGAACTCAGGCCCGCTGACTTCAGCGCCTGCTTCCACGACTACATCCTTACATTGTCGCCACTTGCGCTTGCGGCGCTATGTGTTGTCTTCGGCCTCTTTCGCACTGCAAAGTCAAACAACAGTGACGCCGGCAAGACCAGACCATCACGACTTGGGACGGCCCTGATGGCGTTGAGCGCCGCTGCCGCCTTGGCTTGTTCCGTCGTTCTACTGATTAACCCATCTGGAGCATCCACCGTGGCCGCTCTTGCCATTACCATCCTCGTCTCAATCGTACTGGTTGCCCAGTTGATCGATTTCTCTCGTTCCCGCCCCGCCCGCGTCTCCATTGTCTGCTTCTGGATATGGCTTGCCTTCGCCACCATCGCCAAATTGAGATCCCTGGCGCTCGCTGATCTCACTTCCTCGAGTCACTTTACCTGGAACCTTGGCGTGTTGATTTCCTCGGTACTCTGGTTGCTATTCGAGGAACTTTTGAGTAGAAAAACCGCCGATGGCGAAGACGCAAACCCACTGGATCGAGCAGGATTGCTCACATACTTGACCTTCGGATTCATTTGGTCCAAGCTCCGCGACAGCCACAAGTACAAGCTCGCTCAAGACGACGTGTGGAGAATTCCGTATGAGGAATCGACCATCCGAGGTCATGACAGGCTGACGGCTGCCCTCTCGGTTTCCGCAACGTCTGGCAAGGGGAAGCTGACCAATGTCAGCTTCTGTCTGGCCTTGATCAAGTCTCAGCTTCCCATGGTCATCGGAGCGATAGGCCTCAAGGTCCTCGCCTCGATTCTGATCCTTGTTCAACCCCTCTTGCTTGATACCCTCATCAATTACGTATCTTCACACAACACCGACCCTACCGCTGGTGCCGTCACGACCCCACAGCCTCGCTCCACCGGATTCCTCATTGCGATTGGAATGCTCCTCCTAGGTCTGGTCGCAGCGATCATGAACGTCTGGGGCAGTCAATTGTCTTGGCTCCTGTACTACAGATGGAAAATTTCCACCGCCAGTCTGGCCTTCCGCAAGAGTCTTCGATTGTCGCCAAGCTCGCGCGTCGAGAACAATACCGGAAACGTTTCCAATCTGCTCTCCAATGATGCTATGGAAGTCGGCTTTTTGGCAGCCAACATCCCGGAAATTGTGGCCGCGGTCATTCAAGTCGTCTTTGGCATTGCCCTCATCTGGGTTCAGCTCGGCCTCTCTACCCTCTCGGTCATTGGCTTCATCATCCTTCTTGGCCCATTGCAAGTCTGGAACGCGAACTTTATCGAAAAGTGGAGTGATTTGCAGTTTGAGGTCATGGACACTCGCCTGAGTCTGACCACCGAAATCGTCAACGGCATGAAGATCATCAAAATGTACGCATGGGAATCATTCTTCGCACAGAAGTTGCAAGCCTTTCGCAAAACAGAGTTGCACCACCTATACATTCGCCGTATCGGTGAAATCTTCGGTGTTTTGCTCGGCAATTTGCCCCCCGTCATCATGTTCGTCGCCGCTCTTGGCATCTCCACTGCGGTCGAAAAGAAGCCCCTCGACGTCAACAACATCTTCGTGTCGCTAGCGTTGTTCAACTTGCTCAAGGGTCCGCTCGTAGAGCTCTCAATGTCTCTGCCCGGCGTCGCCGTCTCGTGGGCTTGCGTCAAGCGCGTCGTCGTGTTTTTGAACGAAGGAGAAATTGATGATTACGTCGACAGAAACAGCGGCAAACCAGGGTCGATTCATATCAAGGCCGGTCGCTTCACTTGGGGCGCGCCGGAGAAGGATGCCGAAGATGAAGGAGAAGCTGCATCAAGCAAGGACGACCAAGCCAAGGGTACCGCTGTGGCTAACCTGATCGATATCAGCGTCGACGTTGCTCCTGGGGAGTTTATCGGTCTCGCTGGAAGTGTTGGATCCGGAAAATCGTCCCTTCTGTGCGCTCTGCTGGGCCAGATGGAGAAGATCGTAGGCAACATTGCCGTCAACGGATCGGTGGTGTACGTGTCTCAAAAGCCTTGGATCTTCCAGGGAACCGTCCGTGAGAACATCCTCATCGGTCGTCCCTACGAAGCGGAGCACTACCGTCGCGTCGTCGAAGCGTGCGCCCTTGCCCGGGATCTGGACCATATGACCGCGGGTGACCAGACCGAGATCGGTGAGCGCGGAGTCAATCTTTCCGGGGGCCAACGTGCGCGTGTGAGTCTCGCTCGTGCATTGTACGGCCACGACGCCGATATCTACCTCTTCGATGATGTCCTCTCCGCCGTCGACCGTCATGTCGCCAAACACATCTTTGAAAACGTCCTGGGCTCCAAGGGCATCCTGGCTAATAAGACCCGCGTCCTCGCCACCCACGCCGTTCACTTCCTCGATGGTGCCGATCGGACTTTGGTCATGAAAGACGGTTCCATCATCGCGTCCGGCTCTTACGAGGACCTTTTGGCCGACAACATGATTTCAGAAGCGTCCATGGAAGTGAATTCTGTCTCGGAAAGCGACAACGACAATGAAACTTTGGATCGTAAGTCTCGTTCATTGCTCAATGTTCTTCCTAACGTTTCTGGTCCATGTTCTAACACATCCTTCTCGCTCTTGACTAGCTCGCCGCGCAGCGAAGGGCGACTCCAACGCCGGTCTTGGTTCTGAAGAGGACGAGCAGGAAAGCATCGCCAACGTCGATCGCATTGACGGAGAGAAGGCGAAGATGATCGAAGAGGAAGAGACCGAGAGTGGCAAAGTTAGCTGGGGCGTCGTCATGATGTACTTCCGCGCATGCTCGTTCGCCCTCCTCGCCGCCTTTTTCCTTGGTCTCGTCGTCTCAGAAGGTGTCAACTTGGGCTCCCGATACTGGCTGCTCTACTGGAACGACAACCCCAGCTCGCACAGTCTCGCCTTTTACTTTTCCATCTACGCCACGTGGGTCGTCGGCTACGTCATCCTCTACCCCTGGGCCGGCGCATTGTTCCTCTGCTTCATGGGCGTCCGCGCTGGTCGCGTGCTCCACGAGGATCTCCTCGCGCGGATCTTGAAGATGCCATGGACGTTCTACTCGGTGACGCCCGTCGGTCGTATCATGACGCGCTTCAGCAACAACCTCGCCGCCGTCGATTGTGGGCTCCCAGATGCCTTCTACGACATGATCTTTGCTCTCGCCAACGTCGTCGTCAACTTGCTTCCCACCGTCATCAGCATGCCAACCTTCCTCATCGTCATCCTCGTCGCGGGTATTCTGTGCTACGCTCTCATGTACCTGTACATCCCCGCCTCGGTCGCCTACCTTCGCATCAAGTCCAACTGTGACGCGTTCATTTGGTCGCACGTCGATGAGACGCTCAACGGGCTCGACAGCGTCACGGCCTACAGGTTGGACGTGATTGCTGCCGAGAGGAACGCGTTCGTCATGGACAACCAGCAGGCCGCCCTGATCATGTTCTACTGGGCCAATAGGTGGTTCTCCCTGTGGATTACCATCGTCTCCACCCTCGTCGTCTTTGCCAGCGCCATCTTTGCCGTGCTCTCCGTCGAGTCGATGTCTCCGTCGGTCGTCGCTCTCGCCGTGTCGACCATCTTGGCTATCATGCAGGAGGTCGCCATCATGATGACGAAGCTCGGGTACCTGCAGACGCAACTGGTGGACGCCGAGCGTCTCAAGCAGTACCTGGACCTTCCCATCGAACAAGACGTTCCTGCCGATGCTCAAAGAGTTCTCCCGCAAAGCTGGCCGCAGAACGGTCGCATCGAATTCAAGAACGTCAACATGCGGTACCGCTCCGGCCTGGACCTCGTCCTTAAGCGCCTGTCCTTCACCATCGAGGCCGGCCAGAAGGTCGGCATCGTCGGGCGCACGGGGGCGGGCAAGTCGTCCCTGGCTCTGGCCCTGATGCGATTGGTCGACATCTGCCCTCCTTCAAGCACCAGCAAGTTCGATGAGGAACGCGGCGATGAGGCGGCGCTCGAGGGCGGCTCCATCACCATCGACGGCGTCGACATCGCCACGGTCCCGCTGGCGACGCTCCGCCAACGGCTGTCCATCATCCCGCAGGAGGCGTTCCTGTTCACGGGCACGGTGCGGGAGAACCTCGACCCCTTTGGCAACTCGACCGACCACGCCATCTGGGCCGCGCTAGACAAGGTCGGCTTGAAACCGTTCGTGCAAGGCCTCAGCGACGCCGCCGCCGAGAATTCCAACGCCCCCGCCTCGGGCACGGGCCTAGACGCCGCGGTGACGGAATCCGGCAGCAACTTCTCGGTCGGGCAGAAGCAGCTGCTGTGCGTGGCGCGGGCCATCCTGCGCGACTCCCGCGTCATCGTCCTAGACGAAGCCACCGCGTCGGTCGACAATAATGCTGACGCCGCCGTGCAAAGGGCCATCGCCACGCAGTTTGCAGGTCGCACCGTCATCACCATCGCCCATCGTGTCAACACCCTCATGTCATACGACCGCATCATCGTCATGGACGCTGGACGCGTCGTGGAGTCCGATTCCCCCGCTGCCTTGTTGGCGAACCCGGCCTCCTTGTTCTACGCGTTGGTCCATGAGGCCGGGACCGTCGATGCTTAGGACGTGAGCAATCATCGCCTAGGACATCACTTCTTCCCATCTTAGTCAACCTTAGTGTACAATTCTTTAGCTTTATATTATTCACTCATGACATTCGTTCTCCCCATGCATGCCAATGCTCCCCGCTTTATATTATTCACTCACATAGCATTTCGTTCTTTCCGACCTGCCAATGCGGGCGTAATCTTTATAATACGAGTCTTTATACTTTGACTGTTCTCGCAATACTCGTGCATCGATGCGTACTTGCACCCTGTCTGTGGGCTGTGGGCTGGCCAACCCATACCATCTCACAAGCACATACCCGCCGCCACCGCAACCCGCGGTTCGGTGATTGCACCTCACCTGTTTCACGACCGGAAGCTCGGGGAGACACAGCGATGGGGTCGGTCGGTCCCATACCCGAGCCACTTGGACCTTTTCGTTTCTGTTTTCTTTTCTTTCTTTTTTTCACGACCCTTGCCGGCGCTGGCGTCCAGAGGGGGGGGGGGACAGGTCAGCAGGTGGAAGTTTTGTTCGAATATGGCCCAAACACTTCCCCGAATCGCAGCGACAGGCTTCACCCTTTTCGCTTTTGCGAGTCGGATGTCCCAACCCAAAGGCGGTATGGAGTTTATGGCATCCATCATGCGGGCCGTAGAAAGGGATATGGTGGTTGCCCAGTCTCCGCCCACCCCCACCAAAGGACCCCCGCAAAACCAGCCAGGGCAAAGATTCCAGTGGCGAACGCGATGAATAAACACTAAGCGGTTTTTTCCAACTCGGGTAGAACGGACGGTCTCTTATCTGCATTCGGAATCGGTGTGAGGAGGAGAAGAGGTGGGTTCTTCCATACCCTCCTTTCCTGCGGCCTTCCTGCGGCTCGTTCTCTCTTTGGACGCTTCCTTCCGTTCTTCCCTGGATCGAATGTGGTAGACGTGGACGCCCCCCCAATTCAACGCGTTGCTTAACCTTTTTGGCTCTGATAACGCGTGGCCGCTAAACAAACCGCTTTAGATTCACTGTAGTTCCAGCCTCTCGCTTCGTTTATCGCCAGTCTCTCGCCCAACTTCTTATTACAGAGAGAAAAGAAACAACAAAAAAGAACAAACAACGAAGCAAATAAGCAAATAATATCTACGGACCTAGGCTAGCATGAGGGATGGATTGAGTTTACTAAAGGGGAGTGTATGGGGGTGCGGGGTCTTGTCTTGCTTAAGTTAGATGGGGCAGACAGCGGCGACCATGGGCTCAATGTCCAGGATGAAGACGCTGCGCTCCGTCGACTGCGACGGGTCGTCTTGCAGCACGGCGCCTGGAGAGGGACGGCCCAAAGGGCGAGCGAGTATCATCAGTGAAATACAACATCACAACACTTCCCGCCTCAAAGGAACACATACCCGCATAGTGGGTGCACTTGTCGTCATACACGGCAAAGCTATCCAGGGGCTCCTCCAGCGTGAACGTCGCAATGACATCCTCCTGCGGGATGGTGGACGGGTGACAGTCCTGGTACTGGGGTGCGGCGACGATGTTTTCTCCCCCTTTGGCGTTCCGCCTGCGAACCATGTGGACGACGGAGAACTTGTGCCCGTCCTGGTGCAGTGCGTTGGGCGTGTTGATGCCGACGGGCCAGTCGGGTGTGGGCGCGGTCTTGACAAAGTGGATCCCGACCAGGATCGGGTGACGGAGCTCGTCCTCGTTCCAGTCACAGAGCGCCACGTCCGAGAGGATCATGCGGTTGAGGAGCCTGAGGTTGCGGACGGGTTCGGTGACCGGCTTGTACCAGCGGCGGACGTTGTTGCAGTCGGCGTTGAACATTCCTGGGGATTGATTATACACGTGCAAAGGGGGGAATACACATTGTCGTCAATACCACCAAAACCTATCACATCACTCACTCGCACGATCACCTTCCACCACCTCCCCACTCACCCTGGTTATACGGCACTTGCTCATCTCCATTCTCATCCAGGTAAGGGGGCAGGTACCTCACGCGCATCGGTTTCTCCCACGGGAGGACGACGGCACGGGAGTAGGACCTGAACCTGGACCAGTTCCCGGGCACCCAGCGATCTTTAGGGAGGAGGTCCATTTCGTGCTCGAGGGTGCGCAGCTCGGCGTCGATCTCGGCGTCGGTCATGCCGACCCAGTCGCGGGAGTTGAAGCGGATGTGCGAGTGGCCTTCCTTGAGCGTCCGCAGATCGCGGAGGATGCGGTCGTGCGTAGCGATCGGGAGCGTGAAGGCGGCGTCGTCGTCGTCGCTGCTGCTGCTGCTGGTGGTCGTGGTGGGCGTGATGGGTGCGGTCGGCGACGCTAATGTGGGTGCCGCGGCGGGCGTTGTGGCGGCGAGCTTGGCTTTGAGCGTCGAGACGTCCGTTGGAGCGGCGACTTCGGTGTGCAGGATGGGGCTCATGACGGCGATGGGATGCGGGAGTCCACAGGTGGTGTGCAGTCGGGGGAGAGAGATGTAGAGCGATGGGCGATGGGTGATGAATGGGATGGAAAGGGAGATGCCTAAGATTTGGGATCGGGAGTAGGGATGTCTTGGAGGGCGACGGATCTAGCTAAGAGTGAGGGGAACACGGCATGAAGGGACACAAATGGCAAGCTGTGGCTTTATATATAACAGGCATTTGGTGAATCGTGTGCCGGCCGGCTGCGCGCCTCTGTTTGAGAAAGGACGGGTATCGGAAACAGTGTCGGTGCGGTCGGTCGGTCGGTTTCTTCGTCACGGATACGAAGGGGCACCCTAGGTCGTGCGTTACACCCATAAAGATGTTCCGTTTTGACGGCCGCCTCCCCTCTCGGGACGGTCAATTCCATCGAACCCATTGTTTTTCACAAAATATTCTCTTGAGAACGCGGCAACTTCTCATGTCGCTGGATCCTGCGCGTGTTTGTGGATGTGGGGAGCGCTTCACTCAGATGGAGGCGATAGGTTCCGCGTCGGGCATCTCAAGGGAAGATGTCCGAATCTGTCCGATGAGCCAAGGGACCATCCCGTACATAGTAGATACCCTCCTCAAGTGAACTGTGGCGCGGCGGACGAAATCATGGTTTTGTGAGAGGTCTCCGCGCTCTGCGGCCTTTGACGGCGGCGATGCAGTCGCTGGTATGATAGATATTTCATGGTATATGAGGTAAATCATGGTGTCAGAAAATCTCCGCCGCCCGGCAGAACAAGGTGCCGGGCAGGTGCCGGGCGGGGAAGGCTTCACTCTGAACGAAACAGGGCTTTCGGCGGCTGGCGGGTGGCAGAATTATGAAGAATCGGCTCCAGAAAGTCTCCGCTTTGCAACAAGAAGCGCAGCCGCCTTATTACACGCAGACTCCGCTAATAGAGCCTTCCCATTACGAAAGTCACCGCTCAGACGCGTTGCCCCCCGAACTCGGAGGTTGCGCCACACCCACGCCACTCCTGACAGCACCCTCCCTCCCGTCACTTTCATCTTCGACAGGAGTCGTCCCTGACGCAGAGTTCGGACCACTTCTGCCCAATGTTATTCCTGCCAAGGACTCATCAACCATAGTGGGGGAATCAATGGTGCATTAGGGCGACAGACAAGGAGGAAACGAGCGCATCGCACAAAAGCGCCGCAAAAATGCCCCCACATGCCAGTCCAAGCCTCTTTTTCCAAAAAGAAAAAAAACAAACCCGCATGCATCGGGCACGGCGAGAATCCCGCCCCAAACCGCAGAGTTTTCTCTCAGATGCCCGGTCCGCTGACGTATCTGGCGGATTGCCTCCGCCGCGTGCGTGTGGGGAACGGGAGGGTTTTTTGTCGCATAGCGGGGAGCGTTTGTCGACCAGTCAGTTAAAGGCCAGCGGCGGGTAGGTCTGCAACCCTCCTCTAAAACTTCCGGCCGCCTGCCCTCCGTACCGTACGGCAAACTCTAAATCCTGACCTCGGAAGCCGCACTAAGAGAGGTTATCGGCCACATCTTCATCCACACCATCGCCGAGAAAGAGGAAAAGTAACAAATCTTCCACGACACGAAAACAGATATTAAATTTGGTTGCCTCGCCTTAGCGGGAAATCACTGTAGAGATTCTGATGCGACCGACGAGCGGGCGAGCAGAGGGCCAGAGCGTCAGCGGTGGAAGTGGGTTCGACGGTGTGCTGAGATGGTCGTTCTATCTTCCGTCTTGGGAGGAGGAGGAGACGGGCGCGGTAAGTTGAAACCTACGATTCCTCCTTACACCGCCCGATCCGTATGGTTAAACCACCATCTTCCTCTCACACACACACTACGTAGCCCGCACAAAGCCTCGCCTCGCTCGCGCACGCGCTCCTCCCACCGTCCGAACAGACCCGGATCAATAGCTACCGATTCGCGCGGGACGGCATGCGGGCGTTGGTTGGGCAGTTGCTGGCGCGAGCGGCCATCGTGGCGCTGTTAGCCGCGCAGGATGCGTTCCCTGTGCCCGCACCGCTCGATCGCATCTGGTATGCGATCCGAATCGAGAGGGATGAGCATGGAAAGCCGTTTTTGGTATGTATCCGGGCAAAGAGAGGACTGGCGAGCGCAAGCGAGGCATCATTGCTCGCCCCAGGTTTTCTTGGGGGCGAGCGACAGCGAGCGACAATGATTAACCATCCATCCATCCCCGCAACACCCAAACTAACCAACACCCCCCCTCCCCCCCCCCCCCCCTCGCCCCTTATATAGTCCTCCCCACGAATCCCATTCCTCCACTTCAACATCTCCCACCACGGCGACTGGGTGGTGGTGGCGGCCGGGTTCGCCAAGCAACTCGGGGTAGACGTGGCGTCGGTCGAGGCCTCATCGTTGTCCGCCGACGAGCACCTTCGGGTGTTTGGCGAACTGTTCACGAACCGGGAGTGGGAGTACGTTTACGGTGGTGGTGCGCCCGGCTCACGGACGCCGCCGCAAGGGGGCTATGGCGAGGGCAAGGAGGAGCAGATATACGCATTGCGGCGGTTCGCGCAACTGTGGGCGCTTAAGGAGAGCTACGTCAAGGCCGTCGGGGTGGGTCTGCCGCTCGATCTCGGGCGCGTGGAGGTGCGGTTCGACTCGGACGGCTGCGGTGGTGGTCATCATCATCACGCCGCACACGGACAGGGACACGCACTCTCGAGCCCACGAACACAAGGATGCAGCGGTGGCCAATGCGGGTGCAAGGGGATCCGGGTAGCGCTGGACACAACGGGGGTGGAACCGCAGCGGCAGGCCGTGGCGGATGGGAACTACAGTTTCAGCCTGGACGAGCTGGATGCGCAGCATCCCGTGGCGTGTTGCGTCGTCAGCGCCAGTCCGGAGGTGTTGAGAGGGTTTCCATGGTGCGATGCCGATGCAGATCAGGATGAGGATGATGATGGTGGGGATGATGGGTGTAAGACGGCGCAGATGGAGAATATGCTCGTGGATGGCAGGGATCTGTCGAGAGAGCATCGGCATGGACGGTTTCGGAGCATCCAGTGGGCGGAGTTGGCTTTGCGCGTACGGAGCGCCGGGGGGAAGATGCCTTAAGGAGAGTGTGTTTTTGCACGCTCTCTTGTAAATAAACACGTACATATCCCTTTCCCTGCGTATGCTCGCGGCAGAATCCTTTTTCCAGCTCTGTTCAGTCCTCTGCCCATCCCGGTCAGGTAGCATCTCTTTCTCCCGACGGACGTACGAAGTCTAAGTGTAGGCCAAGGTCGTCTGGAGGTCTCTGTGAAAGACACCTTCGTGCCTGATAACGGTTTCCAATGTGTACGCCCCTTGATTCTCCGTATTGGGAAGCGTCCGGAACCTTCCCTCGTCTGGTGGGCCGTTGGGCTTATAAGAGTTTTTGCTCCTTCGCCCCAATTTTTTCGCCATTGCCCATCGGAATAAGAGGAGGACGATCGAGAGGATCCCAAGCAACCACCACAGAGAAATACAGGCTTTATTTTCTTCAGCGCTCGAAAGTGGCTTGTCCGACCTCGGTCAACCTCTATGATAAGATTGCTGCAGAGCCCACCGATCGATTGTGAGTGTGGCGCCGCTTGTGTTATTTCAGTTTCGGTTGTGGTACTTCGCAAAATAAGATGAGATGGAGTGGGAAGCGGTCGAACGAAGTGTGTGTCGTTCAGGAACGTCAGGACCGAAGTCTTGATACGGCCCAGCGCACGTTCCTCCAGGTCCATTTCAAGATCTGCATACTCGGCGTCTTGCAGAAACTTGTCGATGAGGCAGAAAAATGGACATGGTAGGAGTTTTCGGACCAACAGAAGATGGCGGTGGTGTCAGGTACTGAAGACAAGTCTCTGCACCACTCCACAGTTTCGCCATCATCAAGAGTCAAGTGTTCTGTGGGTTGTTCAAACTTCCAACCGCCGGGATCTCACAGCGCGGTTTGGAATGTTCCGATCGATCAGGGATTCATTTGACAGTTTCGACTGTCTCGCGCCGGCGCCGGTGTTTCTCAACGATTTTCCGGCCGCCGATCACAAACAGAAATTCGATTTGAATTTTTGAGATGCGCAAAGGTACAGTTAATTTTGACTCGGAAATTCCTTATCCCGCTAAACCCCTAATGAGCCTTACCCTAAGTCGGTACCGAACAAAATATGTGACTTAAGTCGAAATATCTCCATCTAAGTCTGTCCGGAAGGTTTATCCCGGGACAGAAGCCAGGTTAGACAGTTAGACTTAAGCCTAGCATATATAGAACAGTCTGGGTAATGCATGTTCGAAAGAGAATGAAAATCGAAAGGATTGGGGGAAGTGCCGTCAGTTTTGAAGATTGCAGAAAGCAGATGATGATTGGGGAAAGTGCCGTCTATTTTGAAAATTGTAGAACGCACATGATGAAACGAAAAGAAATCGAAAATACAGATACGCCGTTCAATCATGCCGCCTATCTATGTTCTATCGAAGATTGACCGCGACTTATACGAAAGAATGCAAGAAGGGGAGGCTCGCTAATTCTCTCCAAGTCTACAAGAACAGCAAACCAACAAAAGCCGCCAACCCAGTAGCAGCGGCAGCCTCCGGGATGGAAGCCCTGAACGCACCGCTCCCAACGTTGGGGCGGCGAGAGTCACGGTTCTGCACCGGGACTCCAGCGGGAGTTGGGATCGTGTCAGCATCCTCCCACACAGGTGGCGTGTTGGGATTGCTGGCACGGATGTTGATGAGGCCAGAATGCTCAACGACGGCGCCACGGTTATCGGAAGCCCACACCATCCAGTTTCCGGGTGGCGCGATGTTGGCCGAGGCGGGGAGCTGGACGAGGAGCTTGTCCTTGCCGTACTTCAAGATCTCCAGCTCGATGTGGCGCTGGTCGAGGTTGACGGTGTGGGTCATGGATGCGTAGCGAATGATGCTCACGGAGACGATGGTATTGGCGATTGCGTCTGTGAAGCGCACGACGATCTGCTGCCCGTAGGTCGCCTTGGCGGTGAGGAAAGGCAGAACGAGCTTGGGAGGGTTCGCGATGAACTTATATGGAGGCCAGTACAGATCCAGCGACCTATAGCGAGGACAGAAATCAGTATCGTTAATGACTATGATTCATTGCTGTGAGAGTGCAGTAGACTTACATGTCGTCGGGTCGTCCGTTGGCAAAGTCGTCACCGTTCTGCGCATCACCACCACCAGTGACCACAGTTCCGTCTTCACGCAACAGAGCCGTGTTGTGGTAATGGCGACCCGTGGGTGCAGCTGCACCTACGGTCCAACGCTTCGGATTTCCTCTAGCGTAGGAAGGATTAAAAATGACAGGCTCCTTCACGCCCTTACTGGCCTTTGGCTGTCCAAACACGCCCCCCTGGTGTCCCTGTCCGGAGCCAGACACGATGAGAATCGTGCCGTCGGGGAGGTTGACAGCCGCGGGCTGAGATCGCGCCAATGGCATTGTTCTCCTTTTGCCAGTCCAGGTTGGTGGTGACCGTAGCGCCCTGGTCCTCGAGCGTGAACCAGTGGCAGACGCTGGTGGGGGCGCAGTTGGGGCAGTTTGACCATTCATCTTTCCCGCCGTACTCGCGAGGTACGGGCGTTCCGTCCGGCGCTGTTCCGTTTACACCGCCGCAAAGCCAGGTCTCCATACGATAGTTGTCGCGGAAGGACAACATCGGCACAAAGTTAGTGCCGGCGAACGGGAAGGACAGGGGCTGCAGTCCATTCTCCTTTGTAAGGTCCATGACCAAGTGCGGGGTCTCTGTGCCGGTCGCTGGATCGACGATCGCGGACTCGCTGTGCGCGAACATCCAGACTTTGCCGGAACTAGGCAGAATGTAAGCCACGGGGTACATGTTTACTGGGAAGTGCCGGGCCAGGAAAGCGAGAGGTTTGGAAGGGCCTCCTTGGCCTTGTTTGTCGCTCCACATCTACAACATCTACGATGGAGCATTCGCATTCGGGTCCGAGGCATTGAAGAAGTAGTGCTGGCCTAACAATGCAGATTTACACGTAAATAAATAAGAAGCTATCAACAGCGAAGGTGTAAAACGAAACTGACCACCAATGATCATGATCTCCTCCGTGGGAAGAGCGAGCAGGGATGGGTACCATCGTCCCCAATACGTGTATGTGTTCCCTCCAGCCTGATCGGGTTGCATGTCAGGCGGGCGATACATGGAAGCAACAACGGTAAGCTCCGCTTCTGTGGTGGCTGTCGACGGGTTGTAAACCCTGATATCAGAACGCCCGTTACTTCGTAGAGTTGTCGTTCCAAACACTGGTCAGTGACATGTTCACAGCGCTATCCTTTGGGCATAAAGCTGACAGAGGCTTACGAAGTATAGTTCCCGGCCGAGCCATCCCAATTCTTGTTCCAGAACTGATCTCCACCAGCGACCAGATAAGATCCGTTGGCCAGCTGGGCATGGCCGGAGCAGAATGCATATCCATGCAACTGGCCCGTGTAGTCCTTCACGAAGTTCCTGTTGATGAACGTCGTCTTCTGCGCAACACCGTCCCATTCGGCGGCATCCGTGAAGAACGGGAGGCCCTTGAGATTGGGGTTGCCGTGATACCACTGGCTCGCACCGATTGTGGCAAGCTCCGCAGCGGTCCAAATTGTTGGGTCGGAGTCGTAGATGTGGAGACGCTCTCCCATGTAAAACTGACGCGTTCAGAAAATGCGGGATATGTCAGGCAATTGATACTCACTCTTGACTCGCCCCGGCTCCACGTAAGGAAGAGCTCGATCCTAACCTTGTCTCCGGGAGTGTAAAGCAGATGGATCGGCACAACGCCAGCGTTGGGAGTCCTGGGGACACGCAGAAATTCATTGAGAAACGTCCCACAACCCTACACAAGTATATGCGTCACAACTTACCAAGTTTGCCATTTACCGATAACAACGGGATCGGTCGCTGCGACATCGGCGGCCTGAACGGCGCCCATGGCCGCTACGGCGGACAGTGCCAGGAAGGCACGCATTCGATGCACGGCTGCCATGTGGTATTTTCCTCGCCGCGAAAGTATCAGGGAACAACCTGCTGCCTCTACGAATAGTTGCCAATGCAAGGGACGGAAGTCGAGTTCGACCCTTAGTGCACCTCTTAGGGTTTAGGGTTAGGGTTACAAGACCCCCTGGGTTGGGTTTTATTTTTGGGTTGCCTGGAACCCTAGGGACTTAGAAATTTTCGGGTTTTTTGGCTTTTGGGTGTGTTCTACAGTTCAAATTCTTGACTCTGAGGGGTGTGGTGGCGGGGGGTGTTGCGCACCTAGGCAAGTCAGGGGGGACTAGGTGTGCAAGGGCAAGTGATGGGTCATATGGGTGGTGGTGCGGGTACGGGGGGGGGGGCAGGGGTGCCAATAGGGGAGGGGGGGGGGGTTGATATAAAGGGGAAATATATGTTATATATACGTTATAGGACTTGTGCAAATTGGGATTTTTTTAGTGCCGATCTGGAGTTGGCGTCCTAATTAAAAGTTGGCCCCATATCATATTCTCTAATTGAAGTACTCTCGGATTGGCAATCCGTGCGGAAACGGCTTCAGAAACTTAGAAAAACGAAATTTTCACGCGACGGGGGGTAAAAAGTTGGAAAATGTGGTGATATCTCAACATCTGGCTGACTATCCAGTGGAGGGCACTTAATGAAAGTTGATTGTAGCCTATGGTTTGCATAGCTGATGTGGTAGCAAATCTTGTGTAACCTTGCTTTTGGCTGAAGAACAGGGCCCCTTTTCAATTCTCAAGTAGTGACCCCCAAGACCTCCTAACAAAAGACACGAGTACGTATGTGCAGGCAAAGGGGTTTGGCTGTGTTCTCCAGTAAACATTTTGTGATTCCGCTGTGCATCGTAGACTGTTTGTAGGACCGTTGCGGGCTTGCTTGCAGGGTATGCAGAGTGAGAGGGTTGGGGTTAGAGATTTCCCAGATCACTTATTAAATTCAGCCAAACTGTCTCTGTCATGGAACATTTAAAATGGTGGAAAGTAGTATTGCATTTATTGATTTAGAGTACATTGGAAAAGCGCACATTCAGAAAAGGGTTTTGGTGTAAAGTTATCAACGACATTCAACAGTACTAAAGGACTTCCGCAAGCATGTCACGGACTTGGTTCTGTCCAAAAGTCGTACGGCACTCAGGGTACCTGGCGCAGCGGAGACGGAAACGATGCTGACCGCCAATGCTATGAAAAGCTGAGCCTCCACAGTTGGGACATTGAAGCTGATCACGATGCTGATGGAAGAGTTCACGGATATTGCCAATGGGAGCAGCATCAGGCACTTCCCCATCCCCATGACCCCACCAAGCACGAGCAGGATCAATGACGGGTGCAATGCCTTTGAACCATCCGGGATTGAAACCAAAAGAGTTGAGAACATCTCGGAAGCGCTGACAGTCTGTCACAGTAGTCTGTCTATTGCGATCTCCTCTGAATAGAACTCTGGTGGCAGCGTCCATGATGCCATTGATGAGACTGTAGTACTCTTCCACCGGCACAAGCTTCAAGGAGTTTGCGCCCATGTGCTGGAAAATGGTCTCGATCTGGTCCAAATGGAGATTCAAAACCATCTGTTCCGCTGATTCCAACCTGGCGCACTGAACTCGCACTTCAACTCGCATGCCAGTAATGTGGAGCGGGTGACCGTTGAGCCATTGACGTAAACCTCTCAGTGTCTCACTGCGATCACCAAGGCTGGACTTGGTTTGGGGCATTCGCGAAGACAAAGTCGAAGAGTAGGCTTTGAGCGCATGAACAAGCTTTGGGTAGCAAGTAACCCGAACATTGGCGTGACCCGCAATGTCAAAGCGGGTGGACCCAAATCCCTCACCAAGGATGGTGAGCATGGGAAAGGTGGCTCCAACTCCACGTCCATTGTAGCAAACCAAAGGAATGACACCACGAGTGTTGAATGTCTGACCAATGTCCCATGTGTTGAGTGCAGCATCGGGATGGTTGCTCACTTCCTGGTCAAAGGAGTAGGCTGGCAAAGTCTGAATGCGTTGCTTCATTCCATACTGCACAATGCGTACAGAGGGTGACACAGCACCAATGATGTCCTGGAACCCAGACATCAACAGATTTTGCCGCCCAGCAATCAATCGTGAGTGATCCGTGCTTTCCCTCACGATGATCGAATGGGTTAGGGTTAGGGTTAGGGGTAGGGTTAGGGTTAGGGTTAGGGTTAGGGGTAGGGTTAGGGTTAGGGTTAGGGTTAGGGTTAGGGTTAGGGTTACAAGACCCCCTGGGTTGGGTTTTATTTTTGGGTTGCCTGGAACCCTAGGGACTTAGAAATTTTCGGGTTTTTTGGCTTTTGGGTGTGTTCTACAGTTCAAATTCTTGACTCTGAGGGGTGTGGTGGCGGGGGGTGTTGCGCACCTAGGCAAGTCAGGGGGGACTAGGTGTGCAAGGGCAAGTGATGGGTCATATGGGTGGTGGTGCGGGTACGGGGGGGGGGCAGGGGTGCCAATAGGGGAGGGGGGGGGGGTTGATATAAAGGGGAAATATATGTTATATATACGTTATAGGACTTGTGCAAATTGGGATTTTTTTAGTGCCGATCTGGAGTTGGCGTCCTAATTAAAAGTTGGCCCCATATCATATTCTCTAATTGAAGTACTCTCGGATTGGCAATCCGTGCGGAAACGGCTTCAGAAACTTAGAAAAACGAAATTTTCACGCGACGGGGGGTAAAAAGTTGGAAAATGTGGTGATATCTCAACATCTGGCTGACTATCCAGTGGAGGGCACTTAATGAAAGTTGATTGTAGCCTATGGTTTGCATAGCTGATGTGGTAGCAAATCTTGTGTAACCTTGCTTTTGGCTGAAGAACAGGGCCCCTTTTCAATTCTCAAGTAGTGACCCCCAAGACCTCCTAACAAAAGACACGAGTACGTATGTGCAGGCAAAGGGGTTTGGCTGTGTTCTCCAGTAAACATTTTGTGATTCCGCTGTGCATCGTAGACTGTTTGTAGGACCGTTGCGGGCTTGCTTGCAGGGTATGCAGAGTGAGAGGGTTGGGGTTAGAGATTTCCCAGATCACTTATTAAATTCAGCCAAACTGTCTCTGTCATGGAACATTTAAAATGGTGGAAAGTAGTATTGCATTTATTGATTTAGAGTACATTGGAAAAGCGCACATTCAGAAAAGGGTTTTGGTGTAAAGTTATCAACGACATTCAACAGTACTAAAGGACTTCCGCAAGCATGTCACGGACTTGGTTCTGTCCAAAAGTCGTACGGCACTCAGGGTACCTGGTGCAGCGGAGACGGAAACGATGCTGACCGCCAATGCTATGAAAAGCTGAGCCTCCACAGTTGGGACATTGAAGCTGATCACGATGCTGATGGAAGAGTTCACGGATATTGCCAATGGGAGCAGCATCAGGGTTAGGGTTACAAGACCCCCTGGGTTGGGTTTTATTTTTGGGTTGCCTGGAACCCTAGGGACTTAGAAATTTTCGGGTTTTTTGGCTTTTGGGTGTGTTCTACAGTTCAAATTCTTGACTCTGAGGGGTGTGGTGGCGGGGGGTGTTGCGCACCTAGGCAAGTCAGGGGGGACTAGGTGTGCAAGGGCAAGTGATGGGTCATATGGGTGGTGGTGCGGGTACGGGGGGGGGGGCAGGGGTGCCAATAGGGGAGGGGGGGGGGTTGATATAAAGGGGAAATATATGTTATATATACGTTATAGGACTTGTGCAAATTGGGATTCTTATAGTGCCGATCCTGGAGTTGGCGTCCTAATTGAAAAGTTGGCCCCATATCATATTCTCTAATTGAAGTACTCTCGGATTGGCAATCCGTGCGGAAACGGCTTCAGAAACTTAGAAAAACGAAATTTTCACCCGACGGGGGGTAAAAAGTTGGAAAATGTGGTGATATCTCAACATCTGGCTGACTATCCAGTGTAGGGCACTTAATGAAAGTTGATTGTAGCCTATGGTTTGCATAGCTGATGTGGTAGCAAATCTTGTGTAACCTCGCTTTTGGCTGAAGAAAAGGGCCCCTTTTCAATTCTCAAGTCGTGACCCCCAAGACCTCCTAACAAAAGACATCGAGTACGTATGTGCAGGCAAAGGGGTTTGGCTGTGTTCTCCAGTAAACATTTTGTGATTCCGCTGTGCATCGTAGACTGTTTGTAGGACCGTTGCGGGCTTGCTTGCAGGGTATGCAGAGTGAGAGGGTTGGGGTTAGAGATTTCCCAGATCACTTATTAAATTCAGCCAAACTGTCTCTGTCATGGAACATTTAAAATGGTGGAAAGTAGTATTGCATTTATTGATTTAGAGTACATTGGAAAAGCGCACATTCAGAAAAGGGTTTTGGTGTAAAGTTATCAACGACATTCAACAGTACTAAAGGACTTCCGCAAGCATGTCACGGACTTGGTTCTGTCCAAAAGTCGTACGGCACTCAGGGTACCTGGCGCAGCGGAGACGGAAACGATGCTGACCGCCAATGCTATGAAAAGCTGAGCCTCCACAGTTGGGACATTGAAGCTGATCACGATGCTGATGGAAGAGTTCACGGATATTGCCAATGGGAGCAGCATCAGGCACTTCCCCATCCCCATGACCCCACCAAGCACGAGCAGGATCAATGACGGGTGCAATGCCTTTGAACCATCCGGGATTGAAACCAAAAGAGTTGAGAACATCTCGGAAGCGCTGACAGTCTGTCACAGTAGTCTGTCTATTGCGATCTCCTCTGAATAGAACTCTGGTGGCAGCGTCCATGATGCCATTGATGAGACTGTAGTACTCTTCCACCGGCACAAGCTTCAAGGAGTTTGCGCCCATGTGCTGGAAAATGGTCTCGATCTGGTCCAAATGGAGATTCAAAACCATCTGTTCCGCTGATTCCAACCTGGCGCACTGAACTCGCACTTCAACTCGCATGCCAGTAATGTGGAGCGGGTGACCGTTGAGCCATTGACGTAAACCTCTCAGTGTCTCACTGCGATCACCAAGGCTGGACTTGGTTTGGGGCATTCGCGAA